AGCTTGCTGCATCAGCCTGGCGACCATGCAGACACCATTGTCAACCGTAAATTCACACATGCATCATATAGACAACAGCGCTCTTAGAAGGTGGACATGACTAGTACAAACACATTGAGTGTAAAAGCGGGCAGTCAAGCGGCATGGAAAGCTGTGCAAGAAGATTGTCACACGAGGACAGGTGGCGCACCTCTCCTGCTCAGCAATGAGGTCTGGGACGTCCATGACCAGCACAGCGTACTGCTGTGCATTGACAGCAGAAAGGTTGCCGTCGTTGCCCACAGTGTTGATGAGCTTGCGGAACAGGACACTGGGCTTGCCCATGATGACATTCTCTGTCATGGACAGCTGCTTGGTGTGCCACCACCTATGCACCCTCTCACGCCCTGCCAAGCAGCAAATCAAGAAAGACCTTACTTCCAGACATACCTCATGAATGTTCAATTGCAAAGTGATTCTCAAAACAAGCACGTTCAGCATTGCAGAACGAAATATCTTCCGTGCCACATCACAACAATTACGCACCAATTTCTTGCGATCACTGAAAAGAGACACAGGTTCTGGCCTCCCCATTATCAGTGAATTGCTCTCACCTAGGTCGCCGTCCTCAGCTGGAGGGTTCCTTTCGTACTGGCTGATCTTTAAGCTGGAGCTGCCCAGCTCTGTTGAGGTGGACAGGGTGGACGCTCTGTCAATGGGCGACCCCAGAGCGCTCCTCCCAGAAGGAGACAGCTCCAGCAGGTGACCGCTGCCTGACATCCGCTTCTGTGATGCGCTCAGAGAGGTCCCCAGCTGGCCGTGTGCCCTGCCTGAAGCAGAGTAATGAAGGCGCTCAAACCCACCAGAAAGTATTGGGGGCCACCCTGTAATGTGGGGCAATCAACATAATGTGGGTGAAAGTTGCACCATGCAGGGATGCGGCGTTGTCATGCGACCCCCTCGCCGACGTTCCGGTGCTGGTGGCTGGAGACATTGAGCCACGCTCAGAGTCAGCCTGCGCGTCATCAAGACAACATAAGCATGCGTGGACAAATTGCCATGAGAGATGACCAGGCGGGCCTCTTACACAGCCTGAAAGATCACCAGCAGATCCTAAAGTGTTTGGTGGCAAATGAGCACATTCTGCATAGGATGGCTATGGGCAGGGAGGCGGCTGACCTCCGGCACTTGTTGCAGCCTCTCTCCGATGCCAAGCTCTACAGGGGCCGGCCTGTCAGTCTCCTCCTCCTCAGCAAACCCCTGGTAGCGGTCCCCATGCAGCCGGCGCTGCCGCTCGGCGCTGCCGCGCTCCCGGGCCCTGGCCGCCTCATCTGAGGGGCTCAGCGCGCCAGCACCGCCAAAATCAGCCGGTTGATGGGTCGCCGCAACCGCCGCCGCCTTGCCCTTCCAAGAGTGCCGACGCAGCAGGCTGGGCGCAGAAATGCCAGCGGAGATCGGGGACAGCGGCAGCGGGCCAGGCGAGGCCGGCCGTGAGGAGCTTGGCGACGTCATGCTGCTGTCATGCGCAGCTGCGCATGCAAGAATGAATGGGTTAATGCACTGCAAAAGTAAGGTTGAAAAGTGAAAACGCCTTTGGAAGCATGCAAACTACTTTCTGAAAAAGTTGACGTGAAACATGCCACTGTATCACAGTGGCTCTCCAGGCTTCCAACACAGGCGCGGTGCTAGCAGGGAGGGGCTCACAATTGTTCTGCAGGTCGAGCAGCTGCGTCTCCCCAGTCTGTATGGCCTTCAGCTGGCTGCTCATCTCCGGCGCGTACGGCGCCGAGGTGGCTATCTGGTTATTAGCCCGCATGATTGCCTCTGCCGCCGGACTTGAGGCAACACCTGCCGCAGTGCAAAGCAGTTCACTACCCAAGCAGGCCTCAAAGGCAAGAGATTATCAGGTAAGATTCTGACTGGAAGGTATGCCAGTCAATGATCTCTGCAATCTACACATGTGCATTTAGGAGGATGAAGAACCTGGGCGCTGGTTGAAAATGTTGTAGCCGGCGGGATGCGGGTAGGGGGTGGGCAGGTTCTCTCGGCCACCCCCAGTCTGTGGCTGCCAGGGGGCCATGCCAGGTGTGGGCGGCCTCCGCCCGCTGCTGACACACATGCAATGGTCAGATAAGCATGGGAGAGCCGGCTTTCGACATGCAACACCAGCATCAGGAATGACGGTTATTTTATACCTCTGCAGGTTCCTCCGGGAGATGGTTGACCTCTTCCGACCCATTTGTAGGGACCCAGCCTCTTCAAAGTCTGGAATACGGCCCATCTGTGAGATCACAGAATGGTCTGCTTAGCACGAGACATGAACAATAGGAATGTGATGCATGAGCATCCCCACAGCAACACCACAGCATACATGCATTCAGATAATACACACCTGATTGACGTTCAGCATGCGGAGCATGTTTGGCTGCTTATTCTTAGGGCCCTTCTCCAAAAATAAACGATGCCACTCGTTGATTTGATCCTCTCCCCCAGTCAGGTAATGCTGGCGTAGGATCACATAGCTCTGTGCAGCACAACATTTGTGACTGTATTCAGAAGTGCTTGGTCTTCTCAAGAGCAAAACAGCAAGGCTGCAATAAAGCACCATTGACAATGTTTCAGAAATTTTTTTGCAACATGACTGGATGGGGCCTGACCTTGCAATACTTGAGGAGAAGCCAGCAAACATATGCCACAACCAGGAACACGAAGATAAATGCTAGCCTGCGAAAAGAAAAGAAGCTCCTCCTTCATGCTCCCTAGCATAAATTGAGCATGAACAACTTCAAAGTTGTCCTGCAATGTGACCAGTCCCACAGGGATTCAACTTGCTTACCAGAAGCCACTTGAGCCTTTCTGCAAGTTGGAAATGGTAAGCCGAGCAAATGTAGATGTGGTAGCTCTGTTGCTGTTGGGTGTAAATTGGGGCTGGACACGACTCCCAGCAAGATTGATGGGTAGCACTGCAAGCAAGACAACAAATGTGGTCACTAACATTCCTCACAGGCATGCCACAGGCATCCACACCAACATGCACTGCATTCAGGGCAGGAAAACCAGGAAAGGACGCATCTATGGATGGGATAGCCAGACTCACATGCTGCTAAGCCCACAATGGCCACTGGAAGAAAGATCTGCATGCCTATGGTGTTTAGCCAGTTCATCATCAACGAGTCCAACCCAGCTGTGTAGAGCAGCTGCATGTCTGTGCATCTCAACACAGGAAGCAGCCAGGACCTGCAGACACCAAGCAGATGAAAACCGATACATTTGGACTGCCAGGACAACGGCACCTTCTAGTACGTGAAGTACGTGACCACGTGCCATGCCCACAGCACTCCGACCACTCTGGCATGGCTCAGGTAGATTTGCTGTCATACCACATGTGATTGAAGCCGCCCACAGGCAAATGAGGAGGCTTGTTCCACACGCTTGGCAGGTCCTGCAAACCCCAGAACCTTATCAAAATGCCTGAAAGGACTTCATCATGCACATCACACAGCACTAGCGCATCAAAAAGAGACATCACAAGAAGCGCGCCACACCAGGCGCGTCCTGAAGACTTGGATTTTGCCTCGGAAGATTGCAAAGACCATCAGGAAGAAAAACCCAGCAATTGCAGAGATCCATAGCCTGCAAGACATGACAGGTGATCATGTTGCACATGCACATTCAATGATGCAATGGCATCAGCCATCAGCATGCGCTGCTGGGGAGGTGAAATACGCACGCTGTCAGAATAGCGTTGTCTGTAAGCTGCACGTTGAGACAATCAAATCTTCCTTTCCGGCACCTGAAGGCATCAAGCTTGACAGTGTTAGTAGTCCCATCACTCCACAGGAAGGAAATAGTCTGTGCTCAAATATATTTCAGACATCTGGAACCATAAAAAATACCAAGGCACGGTCGTCTCTGGTCCTGGCGCAGCCAGTGTTAGGCCAGGGTCCAGAGTATCATTGGTAGGCCCCGGCCAAGGAGAGCCATCTGGAGCCATAGAGGGCGCCAGGAACTCATAGGCCCATGCTGGGCCCTGAGCTACACTCATAACTGATGACTTGTGTTAAGGGTACCTGTTCCTGCCAACCTGAAAACCGTCGTCACTATCTGTGACAATCAAGTTTGAGTATACAAGCGTTTTCTCCTCTTCTGTGTGGCAACTGCTGCTTCAAGGTACAAGTGAAGAGCGTAGTGCACATCTACTTCACTGGGAAGTGCCCTTTTATGGAAATTCGATTGCACGTTACCCACCACGTGCACCAACTGAATATTCGAATTACATTCTAATCACTGTCAATCTCACAGCTTTCACAACTGTCTGCCAACAGTTCGGTAAGGTGCCCGCAATCAGGCCAGCATCTCGACTCCTGACCAGCACTACCCCAACACATCGATACGCTTGTACCTCGAACAGAGCACATCAGAAAAGGTTCGCACAAACAGTCTGTCCTCCTCATTTGTCGTGGATTATCAATGTTTTGAAAGTTTTGAGTTGGAAGCTAATGCATGGCAGTTCCGAAACCTAATTTGGCAATATGTTCAACTTGAACCTTGGAAACTGACATTGTGTATACCAACACACAGCATGGCAATGTCGCTTCAGTGGTGTAGCACCTTCAAGGGCAGTGCCACACCGCAGCATGTGCGCCCCGCAGGATAAACATGCACCATGGTAGCATTCAATCATCATATCATCCAGTATACTATGAATCGATTCGAATTCCGTATTCCTCGAGTATTCCTTTGCATCACCGTGAAAAAAATGTATGGTCATGACTGTTCAGTGATGCATACACCCTCGGAAAGATCCTGCTTCTCACACGCTCAGTTTGTCCTGTCAATAATGTGCCACTGGCTTCCTGACTAGTACTTAAGTATAAGCTTATTGTACATCTCACATCTCCTCACACAGTGGCAGAGCCTCACGTAGTGGTAGAAATACAGAATGACCGCCCTACAGGTGGGGAGTTGCAGCCAGTACTCCGAGGAGTCCTTGTGAAAGTCACTACGGTAGCTACTAGCTATCAAAATGCGCGCATGCCGCTGCTGATCTTAACAGAATCTGGCAATGTGTACAGCTGCTTGAACATTAGATCGGCAGTCTCATCCACATCAGAAGCCCAAGGCACACGGCGCACATTTGTGGGTGTCCACTTCTTGTAGCCGGCGCGGCTGTAGGCCGCCTTGGCCACCTGGTCCATGCAATCTAATATTTGAATGAGTCTACGCACTGTACTGCTCCTTTTGATTTAACTTGACTGAACTTACAGCTTGACGCGCAAAATATCTCAAGATATTCTTGACCTCCCTCCCATCCTCACAGGCCTCTGCTGGCTGAGAACATCATCATTCGATGAATAAGAAACTGTGTCACTCACCTTGTATTCCTCGCTGAGCCAGCCGCCCAGCGGGGACCTGCTGTCTCGCATCGTGGTGGCGGCCTGAATGTAGATGTCCCAAAAGTTTGCAGCGGCTGCCACTCCCTCACATGCCCGCACCAGCGCCTGCGCCACTCCTCTCCTGCACAGTACCCCCGCTCACTCAGACCCCAATCTAAGAGCGCCCAGATGGACAACTTTAAGCAAGTCCTAATGTGTCTGGCAAACAGAGGAGAACACAAGGCCAGGAGGGACCCAAACTGCGGTAGATGGAAGAGACACACGCAGCAACTGCTGCAAAACGGAGTCCACAGCCCTGCTGTGTGATGATGGTGTGGAAACAAAGGGGAAACCAAACTTCCCTGAAGCCCCAAAGTTGTAGGGAATGACTTGCCAAATGACCTGAACCCTCATTCAGCCGAGTCTCTCCCCTTCAGCGGTGTCCAGAAAGTAGTGGTCAACCAGCCCCGATCCGGGTTCCCGCTCGCACCAGTAAAATACAGTCATGGGCACATTGCGATGAAGCTTGCTTGGACTGGTGGAAGTTCACCACACAAACACCAGTAATTAAGAAAGATTATTGAAGCACCCACCTGCGCATCTTGTAGTGCACGCCTGTCCACCAGATGAAGGCGGCGCGCTCGTGCTGGAGGCCCTCTGGCGGCCTGCGCGCCAGCCACAGCGAGTAGTCCAGTGCTGCTGCCGGCAGCGGCGGCCGCAGCCGCACCATCTTCCGCAGCGCCACTCGCCGGTCGTGGAACATCTGCATCATGCCAAGCCAGCTGCCTTCAGCTCCCACCTCTGCCAGACACCCCCCATGACCATGCCATTTCAATAAGTTACTGTGGAGGCCGGAGGTATCAAAGCGCCAGGAATGTGCACGGCAACCCTTCAAGAGTTTGCTCAAGGTACTGCTGGCATCTTTTGGGAGCTGATTCAGTTAGGATGGGTATGAGAGTGTGCACACACCAGCGCAGTCGCGCCCACCACTCGCGAGTCCTGCCCGGCCGGCGCCAGCGAGGGATCTGTGCGCACACAGACAACTCAATCCTCAGAGAGCTTCACTTTTAAGCAAGACACAGCACGTGCACAGGCACTGCAGGGGCAGCAGACCACTGCAGACAATCACTCCTGTCACCAGTATGGGGCGGTACCATTAGGGACAAGCTCAGCGACGAGCCAGATCCAGCGGCCCCAGGCGTCCTCTGTCTGGATGCGGTACAGCTCGGCCGGGTCGGTGACTCCGCTGCTGGACGCCAAGTCGCCGGCAGGTTCCACACTCAAGCCGGCATCGTGCTCCGTGATGGGCCGCGGATCGCGCTCGTACTGCTGGCACAGCCGCTGCAGCTCCTCTCTGCGCATCCAGCTAGAAATCAGCAATCTCACTTGTTTCTTACACGACAGCGAGGTGCTTTGCTGTCCACAAGTGTTGCTGAAGGGGGCGCGGCCTGGAGCGGCAGAGAGGGTTGAGGCACTCACATCATCCATGGGAATGTGGGCGGGTTTCTGTCCACCAGGAAGGCCTCGGTCTGGAGCAGGGCTGTCTCGAAGATGTGCTCGCGGTGCATGGGCCGGATGACAATGCGCCCCAGCTCAGAATTCACCTGCACGTTGCTTCCAGGCCTTAGAACTTTGATATTTGCAGCCGTCCTCTTGGGCATATCGAGAGCCAAGCAGCCAACACAGAGACAGAGAGATCCTTCCTGGATTACCTGATGCAGCGGCGCGAAGCAGGGGTCACTGTCAAGCTGCTCCTGGGTGATGCGGCGGGTGTGCGCTGCAGGGATGCAGTCGGCGTCAAGATCAGGGCACTCATCACGGATGTGGTCCCTGAACATGCCACGGTCCTGGCACTGTGCTCCACAGTATGGGCATGTCGTGACACTTCCACCCCATGCATGCCGCTTGCCAACCTGCAAGCCAAGAATCACTATCACTAAAGCAAGAGGACACTTCAATAATAGGATGCTGCAGGGGACAGAAGAAGGGACAAGCAATGCTCATGACCTGGCATGCGAGCTCACCAAATGTTCTGCCAAATTTGACCGAGTTGGAAAGTCTGTCTCCAGGCACAAGGCACAACGATGGCCTCTCGGGCTTCCAGGGAGGTGGCGCCATCCTGAAGGCTCTGCATTCCTGCTGATGAGACTCTCTGATAACCGATCGCTCTGTACCCTGGGCCTCTCAGCGGAGAGCCTGCATACTAGCCTGAGGGGCGTGCGTTGTCTCTGTAATCTCTGTTTTCCAACATGCTTTGAAACATTTGATTGAAAGATTCTCCCCAGGAAAATCGAATGACGAGCACAAGGGCCCTTTGAAGCACTGCTCGATGCGTCACTGCAGGCGAATAGGCCAAGGGAGACGAGCATGGTGGTCCCAGATATTAGCAGACTTCGTTTACTACGGATCTTATCCTTTCAACTTTCTGTAAAAGATTGAATTGTAATATCATTAGAAGCATACCACCATCTTGCAACGATTGTCTTTTACATCGAGTCTTGCGAAATGCCCCTTGACACGAGACCAAGACAAATGCGACTAAGACTTGTTCGCAAACCTGTCTCCTGCACTGACAAACTAGATCGTTCCAGTTAAACGATCGATGACCATTAATACCAACAGCAAAGCCCAGGCTGCAATCTGCCTGCGACTAGCTAGGTGGCAAAGCGGGTGGGTGCGCATCTCGAGTTGGGTGGATGACCTGGTTCCCTGCACCGATCGTGGTTCTCCCATTTTGTTCGCATCGGGATCGACCTCGGCTTCTGCTGCTACTCGTTTCAGGATCTGGCAATTGTGGGGTTCGATTTCGAGTATGGTGCCAACAGCAATGACCGCGCAACGGCACAGTCTCAACCAGGTCCGGTGACACCCCCAGAGAACCACGTTGGCTTGGCTTAAGGTACATGCATCTTTCGCATCTTCTTTCCTTTCGTTGTATTCAATAAATAACATTTTTTACACAGGTACACGGATGCCTGCACTTGTCTGGGCCACGACACAAGCTCCTGCAAGCGCCTGGAAGAATAAACGAAAAGGTGGGTTCCATTGCACATCAGCAATCTCCGCATGTGCTTAAGAGGCTCATTGTGGGGTCATCAAATATTCCAAATGGCCACACCCTGGATAGCATGGCAAACTTTGTGTAGATCTCTCATCGCATCCCTCTTGCTGCATCAGGAGATTTTCCAGCAAGGAAAATTGCTGGGGAGGAAACAGCGCCTGCAGTATGTACGCCGCATGAGTGCTGAGCCAGACACACAGACAAGCAAGGCACCTGCAACCATTGAGGACCCTGACGCCGATGTTGAGGTGAGTCTAAAGCTTGCTCTAGCCTGGCATGCTCATTCCAATCTTGATCAACTGGTGGTCCTCTGCAGTGTTGTTAATCATCCCTGCCACTTAGCCCTGGCCAAAGTGCTCAGCCCAGTACTCGGACGCGTTAATAGTAACATGAAGCGTGTCAATATCTGCCTTGCTGTGCAGATCCCGGAGTCAGAAGCAGCTCAGAAGAAGGCAGAAGCAGATCGCCTGCGCGCAGCAGAGAAATTTATGGTGGTGGGGACTGGCGAAGCCATCTGCGCAGGCTGCGGTTATGAGTACCTGCCAAAGAATGGGGACCCAGAATATCCCATCACTCCAGGCACCCCATTCACGGTGAGCCATGAGCCTGCTGGACGCCTGGCAAGCTTGCTGCTTTGCAAGAGTATGAAGCAACGAACGCCTGCAGTATTGTGCCCATGTGCTGTGGTGCTCACTCATCCAAGAAGGCTCCATTGCTGATTTCTGCTGTGGTTTGCGGTGCAGCAACTGCCGGATGACTGGAATTGCCCGATCTGTGGCGCCGACAAGGTCACATTCCAGTCTAAGGCGAAGGAAATCGCAGGTTTCGCAGAGAACCAGAGATATGGGCTTGGCACCAATTCACTCACTAGTGGCCAAAAGAGCCTGCTGATCTTTGGGTCTTTGATTGCATTTTTCTTTCTGTTCCTTGGCGGATATTTTATTGAGTGAGAATTCTACATTTAAATGTAACTCTGCGCAGCCTGCTGACGGTCCTGAAATGCACTTGTTTGCAAAAAGCACCTCATTGAGAGATTCTGGTTCAGTATTGGAGTATTTACACGATGTCCAAAACTGCAATTATAATATATATCAACGTCAGTCGCGCTGTTTGGAAATCTGCGATGCACAGTCTGAATCTTTGCAAAGACAACATGGCCTAACAACATACTGTGAAGGATAGAGACCATGCAAAACAGTAAAAGAATGATGCATCGCAAGAAAAGTCTTGCACACATAGCATGGCCCTGCAACTGGTACAATTCCAATCTGAATCGCCATGAAGGTGGCCCGCAGCTGGCCAGAGGAAAGCAACAACACCCTGGCGTGGCAGCCAAGAATCCTCACAACGCTAATTTCGCATGGATATGTCTGGACAAGCACCAGAGAGGTTAAGATCCATAATTGCTATCCCTGTACAACTTCCCGAATAATGGTCTCTCCAGATGTCTGGCACACGAGCACAGACAAGCACGGAGAACTCGTTCTCTGCCCTGGGCATTGAGGATATCATGGTACAATTCAATTTGCCCTTCAGATGGCTGAGGTACCATGTCCCACAAGAATAAAAGTGAGTGTGCGCCGCCGATACTGCTGGCCACAGGATATCCCCCTACATTGGGAGTCTCGGAGTCAGTCAGACCAAAACAACAGAGTGACGCCCGTCGAGACAGCTGTGCTGACCAGCGCCCAAGAACGAACGACAACACTGATGCTGTCCTAAAGTATATTGTAGGGGGTTTACAGCACACAAGGGACAGCCTCAATCGGTGGCTGCAGCTCCCAGCCACTGTCACATGAAGTCCCTGCGTTGCCAGAGGGCAGAGGGCCCAAAAGGTCACAATTAATCTGCGTGGCTGCCACGTGAGCCTCAAAGATAAGGACCTTGCTGCAAGCCTCTCACAGGCTCCGTGAGCCTGCTACAATCACATCAGCAGACCAGAGGTTTTGTCAGGCGCACATCGTGTGTGCGCCAGCTATCATTGAATCTTGCAGGGCCCATCGCCGGGCTCCGGTGTCGGGCTGCCCCTGCTCTGATGGCCTTCACAAGCCTTAGCAGATGTCTGCCCCTCCACAGAGGCCAAAGGCGCCTCGCCCTGTGGCAGTCTGTACAGCTGGCCTGTCGCCTGCAAAGCCATGACAATGACTCAGCGGCAGCCTATCTCTCACATCTTGGCCGGTCTCAGAATGACCAATGCACTCGTAAATGTTCCAGGTCCTGCATGCAAGGGCACCGCGCGGCATCAATACGGAAGACAAGCTCCCAATCTACTGCACAAAGATAGTTTCTCTTGTCCTGATCATCATAATGTAGGCTCGTCTACATGATGTGTGTCGGGAGGACTCAGGTAGGGCGGCTCACCGTGTCGCGCCAGAGCTGAAGGCGCTTGGGGCCAGAAGCATCAGCTGTCTGCGCCAGGATGCTCGGCGGCACGGCAGCTGCTTCAGTGTGGGGTGCAGCCTGCACTGCCGAGGGCGCAAGAGGCACCTGCGATGCCAGGGGGGCCAGATGCCCCTTATCTGCAGCCAGCCTGTTGCTGCTGCTTGGTGCGGTGCTGTGATCAGGCTTGGCAGCAGCCCTGCTCCCAAGGCGCTGGGCAGAGATCGGTGCGTCAGCGCTGCTTGGCAGCGACTTGAAGGTCGTTGAGCAGCCAACCGACTGCGTCTTGCCGTCACCTGTGATCCATGCAAAAGACAAGCATCACAACCTCATCAGATTTACATCGGGGCGGACACTGAGAGCCCTGCATGAGCTGAAGCACAGCAAACCCTGAGACCTATTTTGAGTTGCAGCGCTAACTATCCTACACCGTACGTACATTATCTTTACTGTAATCGGCATCTCACACACACTGGACAGGTGTACTGCATCTGAATGAACAGTTGATGTCCAGATCGGGCCATTATCACCAATCTTACTGGTGTGCTGAAATTGTATACCTAGCAGTGACGTGGACTCTTGTTGCAAGGAAGGCGCACCTGAGTCTGCAGAGATCTGTGGGTGCTCCAATTCAGCACCCTGAGGAGCGATGACTGAGGGCGGCAAGACTGGCTGGCTGACATTCACAGCGCCAGGATCCATGTTGAAGAAGCCCTTCGGGCCAGGTCGCCTGACAAACATTAGCCGGCTGTCGACTTCCTCCAAGCCTGCACCACCCATTAATGTCTCACAAACACACACCTTACTTTGCACTTCCAGGCGGCACACATCGCAGCCAATCTCTGGAAACATGCACACCCAAATATCAAGGTGTTGTTCCAGACAAGGTCTGAGTGACGTCCTGAACAGAGAATATACCCAGCATACAGCACATGCAGCATAAGGGTGAGCACCTGTCAGGGCAGAGGGCACGCGTGGGGATTGGGCCTCCACAGAAGACGTGCGGCTGGGCTGTTGGGCCGGCTCATCTCCCGCCACCGGCAACTGCCGCGGGCTCTCAGCGCCCGGCGTCAGCCGAGCGACGGCCGCCGGATCCAGCTCCGCATCGGGCGGCAGCAGCATGACCGGCTGCACGGGGTCGACCACCTCCCACTCCGCGAGCACGTCTGCAAATGGGTTGGGCCCCCCGGACACCAGCTCGTCGTTGCGCAGGCTCGAGATCGCATAGATCGCATGCGAGCCGCCCTGCACAGCACCCGCATGAGAGTCTCAGCCTCCTTGCATTCCTACATGGATGCCTTGATCTGCTTGGACGCAACGGTAGTCGTCTTTTCCTGTCCGGTTCTTACTTCCATGCTCGTCCAAGACAAAGCTCATAATCCATGAAACGGTCTCAGAGCCCATGCAAAGGTCTTATTGCTGCAGAGAGCGCACACAAGGGCAGCGCTCTAGAATCGCAAATGAGCAATGCAAAGCAAAGAGAAGGGAGGGAGGAGGGCGGCACCTGCATGGGGAGGTGGGCGGAGGTGAGGGGTGCCTTGACGCCCTCGGCCTCGGTCGTGGTCCTGACCTGGCTCTCCACCTCGCCAGTGGACGCAGCGCTCAGCGCAGCCGCGTCAATGGCGTTGTACCAAAAGGACACCGGCGCGGCTGACTGCGCTTGGCCGACCGCGCCGCGGGGCGGCCGCAACGACAACTGCACTGCCTTGTGGAGGCCCTGTGCGTCGGGCTTTAACTCCCACAGTGCTGTAGTCACCGGCCCAGATGGGCTGCCTGCAGCAGACCCTGAGACAACATTTCGTTGGTTTCAGAACGCAGCATTGACTGGTAAATCAATGTTCATCCACGGTGACGCCCAGAGCCTGCCATCCACTAGCAGCGCATGTACTGACTAGCGTGATCAGAGAGCCAGACAATATCCAGCAAGTCGCTCGCCAGGCTGTAGCAAAGGCTTTCAAGCATGCAATAGGGGTGTCCACAAAGAAGACGCACATGTGTTATCCTCCTCTGATGTGGACTCCTGGGCGTGTGGGGCGCTGTGGGTGCCGAAAGTGCTGTCGAACGCAGCCTTGGGCTCTGCAGGCGGATGAAATGCAGCAGAGGCCCCCACTGCCATCCCTACTTGCACATCCAGCTGCGACATTGAAGGCCCCGCCTCGTTTGGATCCAAAAACGCCCGGATCAGCGCTTCGTCCACGTCCACCACCTTTGCCTTGCCCTTCTCCTCCGCTGTCGGGCGGTGCACGCCATCCTCTGCACCATCAGAATGCCAGTGCGATGCTCAGAGGGATACTTAATGGGACTTCCAATTGATGACCTCAAAAACAAGACGACACAGACCACATTCACACAAATGATCTTCATTTCCAATGCTTGTGAGTTCCAAGCAGCCTCACCCTCTGCCATAGCAGCGTCAGACAGGCTCGTTCCGGAGCCGCCCACCGGCGCGCTTGCAAACATGCCTTCCGGGCGCTCGCCCTCAACGGCGGTGGCCGCCTTGCGGGCGGAGGTCGCGTCGGCCAGGCCCTGGAACGGGTTGAGCCCCTTGACATTGAGGTCAGAGGGGACCGCGATCATGGGGTTGCCGGCCTGCGCGCTGCTCCCCTCCGCGGCAGCGGCGCCCGCGGCGTCTGCTGGGCTGGAGGCCGACCGCTCGGCGGAGAACGCCGGCCGCACGGCCACCTCCCCGGTTGCCGCGGAAGCAGCCAGCATCTCTGCGACGGCAGCGGCTGCGGCTGCGGTCTCCTCGTCGTACGGGCGGGGTTCGTTATGGAACTGGCGGTCCATCTGCGCCATGTGCACGGGGTCGTTGAGGACGGAGGTGGAGATGACCTGCAGCCGCCCCTGCACCATCTGCTGCTCCGGCGCGGACTTGACGCCGGCAGCCGTGGCGTAGACCGGGCGGAAGTAGGTGTCCGGGCTGCCGATGTTGATGCGCTGCCCCTTGTTCAGCAGCTGATCCTGCATGAGCTCGTTGAACACCCCCTCCTGCAGCGCCTCCTCCAGAGCCATGTCTCCGCTGCGCGCCTTGGCCGATGCCTCCTCGCTCGTCATTACTGGGCTGTCCGGCTCGCTAATCGGATCGAGCGCCTGCTTGCCAGACAGCACCAGCTTCAGCGACTGCTGCAGCTGGATCTTGCTGACTGCATCCCCTTCTGCCTCGACCTGCTCCGCATCAATTCCCGCAGCAGCAATGGGCTCCGCCATCATCCCGGCACCAATGCCCTTCCCCTCCTCCACTGGCACCAGGCCAGTAGCTCCGTTCCCTGCGCACGAGCCAGCCGCAATTGTTGGAGAGTTGCTCGTAAAGATGCTCACAAGGTGGGGTGAAATAAGGGCTTCTGGAAGTTGGGAGGAGGCACACCTAGCAGCAGCAGGTCCAGCTTCTCGACAGGCATGATGCCCATTATGGTGGGGATGCAGCCGCCGAACGCCAGCAGCCCGGCAAAGGTGTGGCCGGCAATGCGCCGCAGTGCCCGCGAGGGCCGGCCGGACACGGCAGGCGGCGGCCCCCATACAAGCGAGGGGATGTGCAGCCGCTGCACATCCTCCAAGAAGCTCCCCTGCATGGGCATTGGCATTTCTTTTGAGCAAGGACAACTCAGCAAGAACCCCATGCAGAATGGTGCCTAATCAGGATAATTCTACCATACAGCCAAAGAAAAGTACAAGGATTTTGGGCACTGCAAAGGCAGAGAGGAGGGGGCGCACGGAGGTGGGGCTGCCGCCGGAGACAAGGAACCAGTCGTGGGTGATGCGCATGGCGGCCATGCGCTGGCGCGGCGTGGGCAGCGGCAGCGTGTCGCCGTCCTTGACGCCCGGCCAGCAGCGCCAGTACAGCGTCTCCAGGTCCAGCGTGAACGGCTTCATCTCCGCCAGCAGGCTCGTTGTGTAGCCGCCCACCACCACCAGCTCCTCACGCCCCGTCAACGGCGACCGCCGCACCTGCTCCCGTGCCCCATCGCTCAGTACCAAACAATCAGGCAATGCCAGTTGCCCTCTTTTGGATGAGAAGCTCCAATGGCTCAGAGCACAAGACATATGAAATGCATCATGCCAGCAACCTCTCCTGGGAGGACAGCTGTGGAACTGGCCCATTGCACAGGCTAGCAGGTCCAGTGCTGTGTGACAGACCAATGCCCAAAAAAAACTTCTTATGTCCTAAGAAGGATCAGTCGCGAAATGCAATATTCTCATCTACACATCTACAAAAATCCAATGCATTCGACAGCCAGGGAGAGCAAGGGGCGCACTGCGGTGACATGCAGGGAACGTGCGCCAGGCGAGTGTGCCTCGACGGGTGTGTGCGTTACGCAGCGCTGCCAAGTCATCATGTCGATATCCAGGATGTACACGCATGGTGAGGGGCCCTCGCCGGCATCATCCAACCTGTAGCCCTCCCCGCCAAAGATCACCACCTTCCTGCCATCTGCACACAGGGCACAAACTGCTCAGAATGGGGCCTTGTGCGAGCGCTCGATCAACTTCAGTGCAGCTCCAGGCACAAAATACTGCCAAACAAGATAGTGGCAGCAGAAAAAACGGTAAGGGCATACCATCAAACGAGTCGCTGCTGTGGTGAAAACGGGGGGAAGGAGGGTCTCCATGCGTCTTGACAGGTACCCAAACGTACGAGGAACCATCGATGGCCGCCCAAAGCACCTGCACACAGGCCCACATCATTTGCTGGACGCTGCAGGTGCAAGCCATCCTGTTCTCAGACAGCAGTGCATGCCCCAACATCTACATCTGTCACAGTAATGAGGCAGGCTGAGAGTGGCGAGCTCACAAATTGGCTGTTGGCGCCAAATTCCTCCCCGATAGTGTTGTAGCCGCCAAAGCAGAAGAGCAGCTCCCCCTCCTCAAGGCGCCTATCAGGGCCCAAGGCGTCGATGACCTGGACCTCCAGCGAGGAGCCCGGGCTCGGTTTGATAGGCGCCATTGTATGCCTGAAGCGCGTTGAAGGCGCTGTGCCACCCATCTCAGGCCTGCACATCACAGGCACCCCTTGTCAATTGCTGAACAGGCCTCAATAATTCGTGTTGGGCCTTCTTCATCCATCTCTGGGGCGCCCATCACGCACGCCTGTCCCGGTAATCTCAGAAAGGGGCATGACACTGCAACGTCCCACTAACTTAAAAAACAAGCATGACACTGCAGCGCACCGTGAGACTTCGAGGGTGGCAAGGTTGACAATGGCGATGTCCACATAGAGCGAGCCATCGCGCAGAATTCCGCCCGTGATCACCACCCTGTTGCCTATTAGGTTGGCTGTGTGCCCGCTGCGCGCTAGTTTCGACTTGAGCGTATTGCCACCTGCGCATGCACGGCAAAATGCAGCCTTCGCGATCCCTTATCCTTATAGAGTTGAATGGCCAGCCGACTGCACTTAGGATCTTTGCTGGGGCCATGGGTCCATGATGATAAGTGTGATGGCAGTGTGCACCTTGGGCTGCAGCTGCTTCTGCCTCTGCGAGCACCGCGCTTCGTCGCTCCTCCCCCAGACCATCAGCATTGTCTGCTGCGATCTTTGCCGCCTCCTCCTCCGCAACCGCCCTTGTGTCAGCCGCTTCCTGTGCGTCAACCTGTAAGACAACATTTTGCCATCAGCTTCAGCGCAACGTCACCTGCGCAATTTGCTGTCCCGATCAAGTACCTCGGCGCCCCTCCCTTTGGCTCACCCAAAAACACAACTTCCCTGCATGGAATAGAAAAGCGCGCCGCGCGCACCCTTTCTACGCTGGTCTTGAGCGCTTGCGCGCCATTGCGCCACCATCGGACCCGATCCAAAGTAGATCCTGCCAGGTAGAGGTCCCGCCAGAATATGGCCCCAGCACGAAACCCCGCTGGGATCGCTGCTTCATGGAGGGCCACAACACCAGGCCCCAGCAACTCTGTGCACCAATGTTTCCTGCAGCAGCCAAGGCACAATAGGTTCCAAAGACACACATCTTTAATGGTTTGCAAAATCTGATGATGTTTGGTCCTCGCGTCCTGGCTTCAGTTGAGCATAGCAATCCTGAGCATCCACTGGATTGAGGCACACAGGACTCACCACAGGCTCTGCGCAAAGTACCCATCATACACTGCCCGATAGAAATAGCGGCAGGATGCAGCGACGCAGGCGAGGTCTTTGGGTTGAAGAAGATTCAACACCTAAACAGAAAGATTTGTCAGTAGGGGACCAGCGTGAAGAAAATCCATGGTATTCGTCCGTTTTCAGCGTGCATCATCGCAACAAAACACTTCAGAAACACATGCAAGGCGCAATTTTCCACAATGGTTCCAGTAGTACAAAGAGTGCACAGTTGCCCTCGACACGTTAGACATTATGTGGGCCCAACTTCTGCCCACACTTGCAGGCGTACACTATGCGTACACCCGCAACATCCTGAATATTAAACTTATGGAAGACAGGCTGGCATGAGAAAGAGCCGTCTCCTCCGCACGCTTACTACCTCCTCGGGTCCAAATACTCACAAACCCTCACTGGAGCCCACAAGGGCACATTGAGCCAGAGGGTGTCCTGAAGAATTTTTTCACAGCCAATCCAGGCGGTCTGCGAGGGCTGCGACGCGCACACCTGTCTGTGGGACTCGATATCCACATCGAGAAGGTCCATCTCCCTCGCCCTGCCTCACGGGCGCCGCCCCACGGGCTGCTTTGGTGTCGTCAACATGTTAGCATGAGGCGATGGAGCCCCTCGAATACCACGCAGCCAGTTCAAATGCGCAAAAACCGTCGCCATCACCGAATTTCTTTTTGGGATGCACTGATGGAGAACCTGGTGCGCGGAAACGGGACATGATTAAGAAAATGTCTCGGTCCGTAAAAAATTTGATCAAATATCCAGAATTTCGTTACGGGTATCCTGAATAGGGTTCCCTTCTTTCTATGCCCTACGGAGAACGCGTTCGCGAAATTTAAGTACGCGCAGTACGAGCACCTGCTCTTGCAGCAGATAATAATAATAATTTTTATGAGTGGCGAACTCAGAGCCCAGAGGGCCATAGGCCATACACAGGTCCGTCTGCAGCCGAAACCCGGGGCCGATATGCACAGGCTTGCAGCCTTGTCAACTCGCAAATGCACCCTTGCAGCCTACAGGTCTACACCCCCTTCTTACACGAATGCTGAGGGGCCGTCCCTAGCAAACCGCTCGAAAATTCGGGACGGATTTCGGAAGCGACGATGCGGGTGTCTCAGGAGCGGCCGCGTCGCCGAATGTAACCGAAAATCGATCCGGAAAAGGTCCCAGTGTGGCATGATTAAGGGGAATTTCTTCGAGTGCATGCACGCGCATCATGCATGATGGCCATTGCACCGGGTGTGACATGATCATATCATCACTGGCATAAAAATAATAATAATAATAATAATAATAATAATAATAATAATAATAATAATAATAATAATAATGAATGCATCCATATGGCGAACCCAGAGCCCAGAGGGCCATAGGGCATACACAGGTCCGTCTGCAGCCGGAACCCAGCCTGAGGGCCAATATGCACAGGCAGCCTTGTCAACTCGCAAATGCACCCTGATGTGACTAAGACTCCAAGTCCCGGATCCGGATGCGGCCCGCCGGGCAAGCCGCCGGAATGTTACATAATGTGGCCCAATTCAATAATGTGGCAAGAATTTGCAAGCGGTGAACAAGAAAACACTAAATGGAATCGTCTGCGACGCCGCCACCTTTTTCAATTTCACTACTCAAAAGCTCGAGCTGGTGCTACCGCTGGAAGTTGGCAAGTTATAACCAAATTTGCAATCATTGCATGTTGTCAATTGGACAACTGCCCTGACACCAGCGGTACGCCACTATTGCTCATGGCTGCTTGGCCGACCTGGTGCAAGGATGGCACCGCAGCCCTCCCTTGTTCTGGTATGCATTGCAATTGCTTCAGTGTTTTCAATGTGTCCATGGCTTGGCCAGCTCGCTGTAGTGAAGTAGTACAGCGAGATGGCAGTAATAATGACAGTGGTACCAGTAGTTAAGTCACTCTATGTACCATCTATTTACTGCAACCGCACCTCTTGCAGGAGAGTGACCAGCTATTGTTCAACATTCTGCGGCGCTTTGATATCTGTCGCAGGATTTTGGCTAGATTTGCTCGCAGACCCGATTGGGAGCTCCTGATTCAATCGTATGGATTCTTCTAAAGGAGCCCCTGAACAGCAACAGCAGAGAGCCAGATGAAGGGGTAGGAAATCAAGGACCACAGGACATGACTCACTAAGTCAGCAAGCAAAGAGCAGCCCTACACAACTTTATCACTTGCAAGTGTCCCGGAAGAAAAGAAAAGGGTACAGATTGCTCGTTGTCTCGACATTGTTCATACATTTTGTTCACTTTCCAAGGGATGGTTATGCAAGGAAAACGGCACACAGCAACGTGTCTGACCTGCAATGAATTTTTCCACCTCAATCGCCTTAAGAACCTTGCCGACCCGCTCCTGCGCCTGCACCTCTGCTTGCACCGCCATCTCCCCTTCAGCATTGCTGGCAACCTCGTCCATGGCAGCAACAACCTGGGCAGCACAGCAGACATGCCAACAGCTAAGCCATAATAGCTCACACCCTGGATGCATGACAGCGCCATTGTGACCCACCACTGAGCTAAACCTCTGATACACAGCAGCATATCAGCTGCAGCTGTCTCGGCATCATGAGCTCATGCCTGCAGCAGCACCCGCGAGGCACAAACACCAGCAAGCAGACAAGCGACCTCGACTTGTAATCCTGACTTCCTAGTTCTTTGAAGTCAACGGGAGGCTCACCGCCCTCTTCTGCTGCTCAAGTGCCTCGCTCTCTGCTTTCAGGGCATTCACTGTGCGCCGCAGCTCCCTGAGTGCCAGGAACTCCTCCTGCTGCCGCCGCTTCTTCTGAGCCTCCCTCAGGATATCAACCTGGCTCTTAAGGTCCTCTGCCGAAGCCTTGAGCTGTGCCAATTCCTGGATTGCAATACCGGGTCAGTGGCTGTTGGGCATCAGTACCAAGCCAACGACAAGCTGAATGCGCACATGTGGGTCTCACCGTGTCTCCATAAGTTCGTGCTTGTCTCCACAGGTCCCGCAGCGTGCGGAGTACACCGTTGGGTGGCATGAAGCTGATCAAGTGAGGCTGGATGATGCTTAGGAAAGCAAGAGCTGCACCCACGCGTGGACCCTATGAAGGCTGCGCCTCAAGCCTTGCTCTGCTTGCTCTCTGACTTCAGGGCTGCTCTTATCTTTTCAAGCCTTGCCTGCCGCAGCAAATTCAAACGCAATCATTAAGACATCCCGCAGATGAGGGGATTGACATAAAAATTCCAGCAAGCTTGAATGCCCATTTTTGGATGGCTCACCTCGAGAGTACCTAGCACGTCACTAGCATGACCGGCACGCTTGTGCAGTTTGCCGATCTTTTCGATGCAGGCGATGTCGTCTAACTCGCATGCAGATCGCTGGGCTACTTGCAGGCCTGTGGGTCAAAGTGCCACCATCATGCGTCTTTGAATATGTGGTGTCTTCTAGGTGTTGATCGAGCTCGTGAAAACTGAAAAACACGATGACTTAGATAGGAGTGTTGGTACGCCTACCTTCCAACAATTCTTTGATGGTGTTCAGGAGCAGATTCTGACTTTGATGAACTGCTGCGACTTTCTCGTGATAGTCATGCGCATGTGCTGTGAGACTTCGTACACTTGCGTGAAGTTCTGAGTTCATGTCTAGGTAGGCACAATCAATATGCAGTTTTAAATGTCCTCCTTTGCACGTCAGGCATCCAAGGAGCATGCCTTCCAAGATTAGTAATTCCTCTCCCCAAGTTCCCACAGGTTCCACTCGTTGTGCCTTGAAATTCCCATCGAACAATCTTTAAATTCGAACTTTATCATAGATATGCATGGCACAATCCGGCATGCAACAGTGTGCATCTAGCGCTTCATTCCTAAATTTTTGCCTGTCGCCTGTGGCCGTGCCATGATCAGTGATCATGCATGCAACATGCAACAAGCATCTGCGTTGCGCACAACACACGCTGCGCACTAAGCATGGCAGTGGAGCCCTATCAGAGAAAATATCCATCGTCGTAAACGGTCTTAAGAGAGCAATGGGCGGAGTCCATGACGGTGCTTGCTTGCGTTGAGCCAAGCCGCAATTCCCGCAGCTCTTTGCACATGTAGAGGTCTCCAGCCGAAAACACCTTCTGCGACGCGCCCAAGCGAGCAAGCATCTCCAGCTGCGCCAAGTGCCCACATACATACTCAGGCAAATTCAAGAAATTAGGAGCACGACATCGCTCACCAAATGTGCAGCATTCCAATTGCAATTGCCTACCATGAGTACATTAGACAGAACTGCCGTGCAACCTTATATTTTGCAGAGTGAAAGGTGCTTGCGGTACAGCAGTGAAGGTGCAGACGTACCGTTTCGGGGTGCCCAGATTCAAACACCAAGCGCAGCGATTTGAGCTCAGCCAGGGCAGCAGCTTCAGTGGGAGGTATACTGAGGTCTGCGCAGGCCAGAGACAGGCGCTTGTAGTGGGCTGGGCCCACATGCGCAAGGACCACGGTCCTGCGCATGGCCTGTATCTCCACAGATTCCAGCGCAGGCAGCGTATGCAACGAGGCCAGCAGACACGTCACATCTTCTTGGTCGCCAGGGTGGTACGTGGTGATCGGGTCTGAAGCAGCAGCGTACAGCAGCTCAACCACCAGCTCCTGCAGGCAAGACTTACCAAATCACTGCAAGCATCACACGTGACCTGTAGCTTCAGCCATTGACTTAATGAAGGCAGATTGGGTGATCACCTTGAGGCTGGTGAGAGACTCCAGGCGCACGAATCTGGACATGTCCGCTTCCAGTGCGTCTGAAATTCTCAGGGATGTCAGCATGGGGAGGTCGCCCAGCGGCAGCACCTCCTTTGGCTCAAAGCCAAACCCCTGATGACAATCAATGACATATTTTGCTCAGCAGAGGCCCTGATGACCCAAAGTGCAGCAAGCACAGCACTGTCCTAGACCTCCTCGCAAGCATTTTCAACCTCATTCTTTGCTGAAGAGCGTTCTTGCTTACCTCAAAGCCGTGAATGGCCAGGTTGACAAGGGATGCTGACTGTAACAGGGGTCCATGGTAGCTGCCTAAAATGTTAGCCGAGGAGAGGGACTGAAGATGGTGGAGACCGCCTGAAAACTGGTGCTCTGGCCGCGGTGTCAGAGAAAGGCTCCTTAACGAGTGCAAAATTGACAGCTTTGGCGAGATGCAGTACCTGGCACACAACCACAATTGAGCCAAAGCATTGCTTGTAATACACATGCTCACTTACTAAATGGTTAGCTGCAAAGTGTCGACAGTATGTGTCAATCAACTGTAGATATCATGGCAAAAATCCACACCTCTTGCTTTGTGATGTGAAAGCAAGATCAAGGCTTTCAAGGCTGGTCAGCACGCTGAACTCCTCAAAGGCATTGCTGTCCACAGCACCACAATCGTACTCGCCAATCTCCAGAATAGCCAGCCCGCGACAATTCTGCAATGCCTTGATTGCAGAAGGGAAAACCTACAGAAGCAATCAGTGCTCAGATCTCAGATGGCCAGGAGTGCTGCCAGGAGTCTCTAAAATTGTCCGTCTTCTCAGGCCAAGGTAAGGGTGACATATCACGCAGTATTACCTTGTTGCCAAAGGCAACTGTCAGGAACCTAAGTGCCGTTATGCCCATGACATGCTCTGCATGCAAGGGCGGGGAATTTAGCTCCAGACTTAAGAGCCTTGAGCAAGCAGCTGGGTGGCTAGAGCGCAATGAAACACAAGAGAATCTCGCAGAGGTGAGCATGGGTGCCACCAACTCCACCTCTAAGTCTCCTTGCACCTGAGCATCAGGCAGACGTACAACTTCCTCAAATGGACAGAAACTTAGCACCACCCCCGTTGCAGCTCATGTGAAACATCACAAGGCAGGTATGCTTCACAAATACTATGTTATGTGTGTCAAGGCACCCCAAGCAGATCCTATCCAAGTAGCGAAGTGGGCTGGACTCACCGCAAGGTCAACATCCAGCAAATGGCCAAAGAGACTGCCGAGAGCCCCTGCACAAGGGCCGCCTTGCTGTTGCAGGCTCATTGCTCCTCTAAGCCGAAGGGATGTGAGTTTCACCAAGGCAGACAGGTCAGCCGCCAGATTTATGTGTGTCTCTTGCTGGGCAAAGCCCAGTTTCAGTTGTTTCAAACCTGTGGAATTCAACGCTTATCATGCTGCCATCTTGTGCACTGTAGATGGACCTTACAGATGTCAAAGCAATGATATAGCTGCAGTGAGGAAACTCATTGCCGCAGGGCAGATACTCACCTGTGAGCACAGCAATCTCTGACAGATCGGCTGCCTCTTCACTATTTGGCACCGTGCATGATGCTGTGAGGCTATCCAGCTTGTGGAGAACTGACAGCTGGCCAATTAAAGATGGAGACACAACAAAACGGCCATCTGGCTCCAGCTCGATGCTTTTCAAATTGGAGAAACGCGTTATGCAGGACAGTATATCCATCTGCAGCATTGAGGTGGCACCAGGAGGATACCTTGACCCACATATTGAGAGATCCTGCAGACACAAAGGGCAATGCATGGGATTTCCATCTTATTGCGCTTACTGCTGGTTGATCACCTGTTCTGGCCGACAACCTGCAACGTACCTCGAGAGTGTCCTGGGATATTCTTTTCAGCCAAGTGATCTGCTTTGCCAGTTGTGGATCTTGCAAGGTAATGCTCTTCCATCCTCTTTTTGTCATGCCATTCCACAATCTACAAACGGACATGATCTGAGCACGCTCAGCCACACTGCAGTGTCCCATGACCAACGCAAACAGATCTTCATCGGCGAGCACTCCATTGATGACCTGCACGGTACAATGATGTTGTAAGAATATCGTCCAATGTGACCTCAACAACACCATTGAGGGCATAGGGACACCTCGGAGGATCTTGACTGCCGGTGATCCGACACGCTTGGTAAGGAGCCCTCCACATCACATTCCTCCACACACAAAGGATGCCTTTGCACATGCGCCAGTGTCAATGCCAAACCAGCAAGCGTTGATTTGCACTTTGTCGGAAACGTCACCGGGTGTTCAGATGCCTCCGGCCCCTCTGTGCATCCCTTGGATGACGCGGACGCAATGCGAATGCCCGTCAGATTGTCGTAAACATCACCCATCTCGCAAACTTTTGTATTCTTGGTTCGAAAGGCGCAAATAGCGTCCTAGAAGGGTTGGAGGATTGAATAAATTAGCACGTGATCGTTCGTGCACGCACGTGCTCAATTTTTTCTCGTTTCGGAGCTTCATTGCCTGCCATTCTTACTTATTTTTTACTATAATTATACAACCATCTGTATGTTCCTCAAACACAAGAGGACAGATAATCTACCAAGCTATTCAAACAGAAAATGTTCCACAAAAAAAATTGATGGAAGGAAACATCTGTTGACAATCTCATCCAAAAATGTCTCTGATGTGTTATCTGAGCTGAACAAGGCAGAGAAATGGCCAATCCAATATGTTTAACATCATGCCAGCCTCGTGTCTGGCTCCCAGCATCAGGCGTTGTTTCGATGGCATGCCGTCCGCCAGAGAGGTTTAAGAAAACAAGGACGATTTGCCAAGCTTCAGCACAGAATGCAGATGTCTGTGTCCTTGGAGCGGGTGTCATGGGCTTATCAGTGGCCATTCAGCTACGTCAGGTCTGCAGCACCGTCTTCCTAGGGTTTCCACTTTCCACCCATGACGTCCACCATTCCTGAGTGCAGCCCACATAATTGCTCATTACTATGCAGGCCCTGCCCGATGTGAACGTCACGATCATTGCTGATCGCTTTGGAGCTGAAACTACCAGCGATGGCGCTGCTGGCTTGTGGGAGGTACTCTCAACTAAAATTCCCAGCCTCCACGACACTGCAAAGCTGTCATTGATGACCCTTACCTGAGCACTCTTATGTCCTCACTAATATATGCTCTGACAGCCCTACAAATTGGACGAAACTCCGGCAGACAAGATAAATGTCTGGGGACAGGAAACCTATGAGTATCTGCAGGTGAACGCACCTGCCAACCCCAGTTTCAAGATGTCACCTACTTCGACAAAGTACTGATTGTTCAGGGGTTACTCTCGATTTGAAGTATTGTCAAGTGCCGCAGTGGGTGATGCTCATGGCTTGCAGGACCTGTATTTCTCTGAGCATGCATCTGGAGCTGGAGTCACCACGGTGGCCGCCTATCAACTATGGTCAGAGCCACATGAAGATCCTGCTTGGAAGGTGAGTATTTAGTCAGAGTGCCAGACACTCTGCAGGCCATGTCTCTGCACAGGCATGCAAATGCCGTACTCATGCTGATCAATGGTGCCATGCAGGAAGTCGTCCCCCATTTTAGATATCTTCCTGCCAAGGAACTAGCGCCCTTCGAAGCAGCAGGTGCGCAGGAGGGGACTGATGATTCATGCCAACGATGCAACAGGGATTACAAAGCAATACAACGGGGATGTTTCCTGCAGGCGGCTGTCATTACGCCCTGGGATGGTGTTTTACAACGATCATCTGCGAGCAGAGATTATACCTCCCCTGGCTCCTGGAGAGGGTTCTCAGATCAGGGGTCACAATCCAACAGCGCAGCATCAAGAGCCTGCCAGTAAGCCATCGCGCATGTAGCTATGCGCATGTATTGAGAAGCGTGCACCTCCTTCATATGTGCCTTTAGCAAGCAGAAGGAGGAAACTCAGGAAGTGCACCACCTGACATCATGTTTTGTGTGTTGACAGGAGCTGCAACACTTCAGCCTGGTTGTGAATTGCACGGGCATTGGAGCAGCACGATTATTTGGGGACACAGAAATGTACCCTGTCCGGGGCCATGTGATTCGAGTGCGAGCGCCCTGGATAAAGTACGCACAATTTTGTTGCCTTCTTGATATGGGCAACTATTTTGAAGGCAAAGGGTTGAGAACACAGAGCAGATGATAGGCTTGTCTCCAAACACTTGTTGTCCCCATGCAGATCCAACTATTTCTTGGACGAGTGCAACTACATCATCCCACAGACCAACACTGTGGTAGGGTCCCCACCTAGCCTTTCACTTCATAACATCCGTGCCCATCCCTATTTGGTAGATGCAGCAGCACTCTTGTCAGATGTGCCAATGCTTCCTTTCCTTTTCCTGTAGCAGAGGTCTGTTGTCATCCTTGGCAGGTACTTGGCGGCACTGCACAGCGAGGAGATGCAGACTGCGCTCCCAGAGAGGAGGACCGGCAGCACATCTGGCAGGGCTGCCTGCGCATAATGCCCAGCCTGGCACAGGCCAAGGTACAGCAAATTTCACATGACAGCTTCCGTTGTGCCTCATCAGATGTATTTAATGGAGCTCTGAGCTGACCCGAATTAGATGACAAGGGTCTTTCTGAAGAGTACCGTGCTACTAGCAGGGTGACTAGCATGTCTTGACATGCTGCTGTGATGTGCACACAGCCGGAGATGGAGTGGGTGGGGCTTCGACCAGGCCGCAAGAGTGTGCGCCTGGAGTTTGAGGAGATTGATTTGGAGGGAGGAGAAAAGTTGAGAGTTGTCCACAATTACGGTGAGCGTGCCCTCAGAAAATTTGTTTAGTGACTGCACCTCTGTCACCTGTGTTGTCAAAGCAACGTAGCACAACCAATAGCAGACGGCTCACACGTGCATCAGCAGCTACAATGAGATATAGTGCGACAGCTTCTGTTTTCTTTGCATGCGTATATGACGCATTGTGGCTCCTTCAATGAGGAGTGTCTTTCACCTTCAAGGCCACATCAAATTTGACCGCATGCAGGCCATGGGGGAGGAGGAGTGACCCTGTCTTGGGGATGTGCGCGTGAGGCCGTGCTGCTTGTAAAACAAGCTCTGGCCAGGTAAAAGAATGTACTATTACAGCGCTGCGTATGCATGCGGCACTGTGTGCACTATTGATTATTACTGTACATGCCCTGATTTGATCTAATGACATAGCCGACTAACGCCTTCTCTTTGTACATCAAAGACTGTAGCCCCCAGATGAATGCTTGTAAAGCTACCGCTTCTTCCTCTTCGTGCCTTTTCCTGCAACACAGAGCGCTCATCATGAAGTTGCACAGCTGCACAAGCAATAATTCATGTACTTTTCCAGACATAAGAACATGCTAACAAGAGAAGTAGACACCTTACCCTTTTGCTTCTTTAGTAAGGTGCGAGCTTGTAGCCCTGCTTTCTGGTCCCCTTTGGGCATGCCCTGTGCAAATTTGGAAAATGTTCCCTTGGGCTGCTGCGATGGGCCCCCCTTACCCTTCTTCGGCCCATCATCCCTGGTAGGCTCATCTCGAGCTTTGCCAGGACTTCGAAGACTCTCTTTCGCTTCCTGGCTGGGGTCATCTGGCTCTGATTCACTGCTCAACCAGCAAAATTTTTCAGTGTCAAGTGCGCAACTTCTAGTAGATATGAATCATAAACAGTGGTATTGGACATCAGGAAGGTTTGAACGAGAGCAGGAGCATCCAGTGGGGAATGCATGCCTTACCTATCACTGTTCAGAGAGAAAGGGGCGACGGTCACAGTTGTGCTGATACCATTGCTGGCAAAGGCCCTGACGTCCTTTTTGCCATCCTGCACTTTGGCCTCCTCCCCCTCTGACTCTGATGTCATGTATCTGTCTAGATCCAGGCGAGCACGCAGCTCTGCCCGTTTCTGTGTAGGGGTAGGGGACAACGCGGTCAGTCTCATGACAAGCTAGCCAGGTGGTGATATGCACGCTGCAACTTTGGGTGCATCATTCATGCGTGCTCACCTGTGCACGTTCTTCTTGGCGAGACTTCTTGGCCTTCTCTTCAATTTGCCTGCACGACAGCATCATTCAGGAAAAGATAGCTTTCTTCCCTCCACCTGGAGTTGAGGATCAGGGTGCTGCTCATCATACCTTTGTGCTTCTTTCTTCCTCAGCAACCTGCGTTTGTGGAAGCCTGTCACGTATTCCCTGTAGAGGCACAGGGCCCCCGTTCAGTCAAATAGCAAGTACGTGAGAGACACCTCATTGCGTAAATAAATTCCCAGATCTTCATGCATTCCGGCTCAATATTGGTGAACTAGTTGGATCGCTCACTTGTGCGCGACTGGATCAAAGGTGATCTCCAACCCCTTCTGCCGCTTGTTTCTCTTCTTCGTGTGAGACTGCTTTAATTTATACTCTCCAGCCACTTCTTCGGCAAAGGAAAGTGCATTCTGTTCGGCGTGAGAGCCGCCCCACTGAGCTAGACGAGTCATGTCAAGTGCTCCAGCTTGATGAAGGCAACTTAAAGATACTAATGTGTTTAGATGACAGACAAATACATTTACAAGCTTGCTATATGCTTAATTTAGAGATCATGGGACATTTCTCATTAATTTCCGAGATCCATCTCCGAAAGCAGTTATCATGGCCTGCCCAGCCAGCTCGACATGTTCAAGGTGAAGGAACTGGGCGTCTTCTTCTGCAATTTTGCTTATGACAGAGTAAAGAAAGACTCTGAATTCACAAGCAATGCTCTTGTAGTTGTTTTGTTGTGTGTGGTATTCGTCGACTAACATCGGCACACACACACCGATCTTGCTGCGTTTTTGATCTCCCTGCTATATGGTCCCCAGGTGAAGGCATTTTATACTCATTTCAAGGTCGATTTTCTGCATCCATCGCCTGGCTGGAAAGATGCAAAGCAATGCTGTTCACTCATGACCCATTGGTTTGGGCAGGTCTTACACGCGAGCAGCAACGTTAAATTGCAGAGATCTCTGGTCAAGATTATCCCATCCATGCCATTTTTCTCCAAGATCGAATGATGCCCAGCAGCGTGTACAGAGAAGTCAATCCCTGACAACCGCCACACTCTCAGTTCGAGGCACAGACCCAGCAAGGCTAGCACTGTCCAGGAAAACCAGCAGGTGGGTCACGGATCAAATGGGGCATTCCACCTCTTTCCAGCGGCGCTACAGTGGAATTTACGGGATCCCCCGGCTCAGGCCCATGCACAGTTCGAGCGCCCGAGGCTACTCCAGTTCTGTGGAGGGCGCGACACCAGCAAGGGACGATCTGAAGCGCCAGCTTTTGAGTGAGACTCCGATGACGGTGCTGGAGGGGCGAGAATGGCTGCGGCACAACATGCAGCCAGAAGCTCTCAGAATTGCCGGTGTGACATTCGATGGCCGCCAGGAGCTCATTGCCAAGCTGCAGCCAGGCATGCCTTTCTCGCCCATTTGCTTCCCCCGCAACTCTTTGCATGCATGAGCTGAATGAGTCTGCCAGGCATGTCCTTCCTGCATATTTTACTTGTCCGGCACTCTTCGCATGCATGAGCTGACTGACACTGCGCTTGCCCCAGCAAGCACTCCTGCCATGAGGGAATTGTTGTAAATGAAGTGGCCATCACGATGTTATGTTAAGATTTCCAAGCATACTGAGTGCTTGTTTTGGGTGTTGCAGACCAGGCGCTCATGCTGCAGAAGGACCCACACAATGAGTATGATCCGAACGCCATCAAAGTCATGACGCTGTCCGGGTCAATGCTGGGTTTTGTGCCGCGCGATCTGACTGGCCACTTTCCCTACGATGTGACGTTTGGGCATGCATATCACATCGGCCAAGTCCCTGACACAGGGACCTGGGGCGCGCTGGTACCTCCCCTCTTCTGCCCATGCGCTTACATGCTGTCTTGACTGCTGGAATCTGATGGAACACTTTTTTTTGTATTTCAATTTTTCGGAGAATTGATTTTGGAGAATTGCATGTGAACGCCCCTCCTGTTGCAGGTGGCTGCTCGGCCTCAGCTGCCACCGCTGACAGTGGATGCCTTCCCTGACAGCCTGCTGTCCAGCGTCAACCTCTCCAGCATCCTGCCGAAGCAGGACTGGGACAAGCTGTCCCAGGAAACGTGCAGGGCAGCAATGTACAGGTGGGACTATTACACTCACGAGCTTCATTCATGTCTCCGCAACTTTCAGGTGCTTTTCTAAGGAGGATCATGGGAATTGGGGTCCTTTCCAGTCTAGAGGATGCCCTTTCAGGAGCATTGCCTCTTGTATCATGATCCAGGATACTAATTTCGTTGCATGATGTGTGCAGGTGTGCGATATCTGCAGGACAGGGGTCAGACCCGGTTGCTCCGGTGGTGTGCCAGGAGGTTTGGTCATTTGACGACGAAGCGGGGATAGCGAGGCTTGTGGGCCTGCAAGCTCTGTGCCCAGAGGTGCACCTGGCAAAGCATGTGCTCGTCCAGGTCGACGACAAGCAGCGCCAGACTGCCATGTGGACGCTGCAGGCCATGAACGAGTGCGCCACCTCTCACCTCATCCCGTACTGTATTTGAACTTGCATGAAGGAGCCCGTACAGCTGCATCAATATGTTCCATACGACTTTCTATGTCTGTGGCTTGGAGACTATTCATGTCTTGGGCTTGTATTGCAGTATTTCTATGGCGATGTCTTTTTGACGTCTCCGAAGTTGTCAGAGGAAGTAGTGCTGCCTGCAGGTGGAGCATCATGGAAGCAGAGGAGTACCTTCAGTACTTGGAGGGCGTGATACAGCAGAGGAATAAGATGAAGTGGCGGCTGGACATGTCGTGGCTTCAGTCCAAAGGGATTGAGGTTCCTAATATGATCAAAGCTGAGTGAAAATTGGCAGTGGGGCCCACTCCGATGTTGAGGAATACCCCGGCTCATGTTGTGTACATTAACATTGGGGGCAAGCACCAAGTCATTTTGTTGATTTTAAGTTTAAATTGTTCTTGTACATGCGAGGAAATTGACGGCCTCAATTGCAGTTTCAGAGGGACCTGTGGCAGGTCTGAGCTCTAGAGCTTTTGTTAACTGTCCTACACATGTGGACAGGGACTCCCTGTGTATTTGGGAGAATGCGGAACTGGCAAACAGCATTGCCCCATAGCTGTCCTCGTTTAAAACCAGAAGTTCTTGATTAACTTCGCAGGCCCTCAGGCCCTAGGCTAGCCGCTAGGGTCACAAAGTGTTGACCCGGGTTGAACACAATTGCAAGTAGCAGTACCGCGCTTGCAGCTCATAATCAACACCACAGCAGAGCTTGCTGCATTTTTTGGATTGAGGACAACATGTCCTCCTTGAGTTGCTGCACTGTTGAATGGCAAAGTGGGCCTTGGCATTTATAACCCCATGTCGGAATAACTTGGAGGGTACACAATATCTAAACAGCTCCTCTGGCGACTCTCAATTGCACAGCGACTCACAGGACATGTTTCAAATCCTTGATTTGCATCGTCGAAATAATGAGAACTAGCGTTTCTTGTGAGACAATCCTTGCTCTGCTGTAATGATCTAGCTGGGAAAGTACACGACATAATGCCAGCCAAGACTAAAGTCCGCAAGAAAAGTGCTGAGGACGAGAGATCCCAAAAGAAAACATCCAATCATAATAACGAAGATGTCGAGGGGATCAAAGCAGATGTAGCTGCATTCGCTGCGCAGCTTGGTCTCGCAGGCGCTGGAGCAGATGCAGGCTTTGATGATAGTGATTTCAAGCCACAAAAGGCTCAACAGAAGTTCGAGGATGCTGCAAAACCGAAGAGAACAAAGGGACAGTCGGAGTCCCAGGACAGCCGTCAGGTCGAGAAGAAAACCAGCGCCCCGACCAAGACTGCTGGTGCCAAGCAGGGCAGTGACTCAAATGCACCAGTCCGCAGGCCTGAGAATGGCAGCCAGGAGGTCGATCCCCGCGTAAGAGAGCGGACATGGAACACAGGAGTGGGGCCGCGGCCTGGTGAGGCACTGTGCCTCGCACCTCCCTTGGCTGCCGAGGTATCTCTCCTCTCCTCCATGGATAATGTGGCTGACAACTCCTGTGCACGCATCCAGGCGAGAAGCAGGGCAAGCCTCTGCTGGGCTCGGACGAGCCGTCCCTCTGGTACGAGGCCGCAGCGGCGCTGCCGCCGCTCAAGGCAGACGGCGCAACACTCGGCCCCGAGCAGCTTGAGGAGAGACGCGCCGCCGCAGAGCAGGCCCTTGCGAACGAGGCCGCAGCGTTCGAGAATGCCATGGGTGAGCAGTGCACCCCCAATTCGCCCCCTTCACAGCAACGGGCGTGCAGCTGGTTTGACAGAGAGGCGGCTTGCGTGGGTTGTCTCTGAGTGTGTGCAATGTGGTGGCCAGGGCGGAGGAGCGGGCAGGACGTGAAGTGGCTGCAGGAGGTGCGGCGGGCGGGTACGGTGGCGGACAGGGTGGCGGCCATGACGCTGCTGCTGCAGGAATCGGCGGTGGCCAACCTGCGCTCCCTCGATGAGCTCCTGCGCTGGGTCGGCAAGAGCAGCGGCGCGCGGGCGGTCGCCGGCCAGGTGCGCCGTTACTTGTGGATGCAGCTTGAACATTGACATACATCACAGAAGCTGTCCGGGGGATTTAGGATCTATTGCTATGCGCTGGTGCTGGTACAGTTAGCCGGACTCCTTGTGAAAGCTGACCTGGGTGAAAGGAGCGTGGCATTTTGCAAATTTTGATGATGGTGGAACGGATGCTAGTATTGAATCATTGTGCGTGCAATCTGAGGTGACTGTGGGCACGAACAGGCAATCGACGCGCTGAGGGAGATCTTCATCGCCGCCCTGCTCCCGGACAGAAAGCTTAAGTTCTTTGAGGAGCAGCCTATCGCAGCGGTGCCTGACAACAAGGAGGGCATGCGCCGTCTGCTGTACTTCTACGTGGAGGACCAGATCAAGCGCAGGTGGGAGCCTGTCATACTGTTGACCCATCTTTCCACATGCCTGCGTGCATCTGCAAGAAGCTATACAATATCATCTTTATCCATAACTTTGTGAAGATGTTGGCTGGAGCGCAGGTATGCAGCATTTGTTGGAATGCTGGAGGAGGCGAGCCGGGAGAACCTGGAGTTTCTGAAGGACAAGACGCTGAAGGCCATTGCCACGCTGCTGGCTGCCAAGCCGGAGCAGGAGGCACATCTGCTGGCTGCACTTGTCAACAAGCTGGGCGACCCCTCCCGGAAGCTGGCCTCCAAGGTGCGCACAGAGACACAGCGCGTCAAATAGGCTTGAGAATTCAGCAGGACCGGCCATCATTACCTGGACAGGCTTGGACCATACCTTTGGCCGGCTGAAGTCCACAAACCGGAAAATCGACGAGGACAGAGCGATCGTCTGACCCATGCAAGCATGTTGGTGCTGTCTTTGCTGCGGGGTGAAAGGAAAGGACGGAGTGAGAGAATTTGCCACGATCTGAGTGACGACAAGACTGAGTGAGAGAGAGGTGAGCATGGCATGGATGCCAGCAAACAAGGCTGATTAGATGGTGCCGGTGTTGACGTGCAGGCGGGCTATTTGCTGAGGGGAGTTCTGGAGGAGCACCCGGCGATGAAGGTGGTGATGGCGCGGGAGGTGGAGCGCTTCCTGTTCCGGCCGGGCCTGCAGGAGCGTGCGCGCTACTACGGCGTCATCTTCCTCAACCAGATGCCCCTCTCCCACAACGCCTCAGAAGGCAATACCCTTTCCTAGTCCAAGAAGTCCCTGGGGCTCCCTTGCTGTTTGCACATGACAAGCAGTACCTAGTGGTTATCATGTTGCCTTGCTCTTTGTGGGCTGTCTATCTCGTGATTGAGTCATCAGTGGATTCTGCTTCATCGCGATTGCCAAATAACCCTTGCTGTAGGCCATGCAGAGGCCTCATTCCAGATCTCTGCATTTCAGAGATCAGGCTTGATAGCTTCCTCTTGTTGTTTGTGCTGTATTTGGTAAACACGAGTCCCGCTATAATGTGGATGTGTCAGTGCTGAGCAATTTCTGGCTGTGCAGGCGGCAGCGCTCTGGCGCAGAAGCTCGTGGACATATACTTCACGCTGTTCAAGCTGATCCTGGAGGGCAAGCTGGGCCACGGCAGCGAGCTGGTGGCCGCACGCGAGGCCAAGGCGCACGCCAAGCACCGGAAGCCCGGCAAGAAGGGCGCGCCGGAGCACGCGCGCTCCAAACCCTCAGGCGGCGCCCCCAAGAGAGCCCCCAGTTCAGCCGACCAGGTGACAACCTGTGTGCATCTCGATGGAAGCAGTCACTGGCTCCAGAGCGTTGCCAGTCATTGCGTCTCTTATGGTCACATTCCGTGCATGTTTCTCCCCATACTGTGCCTCAGAATTGAGGATGATCGTGACTATGGGAAACTTCACATGCTGCCCTGCTCGAAGCCAGGGATGAATTTCCAGGTTAGTGTATCAACATGAACATGTTATCAGCGAGTATTGAGGGAGTGAAGGACGACATTTCTGTGCGGCAGGCGGCTGAGGTGGATGCGAGGATGCTGGGTGCGCTGCTGGCGGGCGTGCGGCGCGCGTTCCCTTACGTGCACGGCGACGCGTCGGAGGGCGTTGCCTCGCACCACGCGGACGCGCTCTTCCGCGTGCTGCACACCGCGCCGCTGGGCGTGGCCGTCCAGGCCCTCGCGCTCCTCTTCCAGCTCCTCTCCGCGCGCTCCGCCGTCTCCGACCGCTTCTACAGGTGCTGTACACCACGCATCTGTCCTGCTAATACTGTCCTCCCCAAGCCCGCCTGCCCGCATGTCAGCAGTCTTCAAGCTGCCAAGCATAGCTCCCATGGCATGGGCGTCGCGGTCTGAGCAATGCTGACATGATACAAGTCAAAAGTGACGCATAGCTGCACTTGCTGGGTTTCTCCTTCCCATCTCTTAAGCTTTCAGGTCCACAGCAGCAGCACTGCCAGCAGGCTCATCGGAGCCCAAGATTGAAGTCTCAATGGAGGCAGACGTCAAAAGGATTGCAGAGGTGAAGTGTGCTGGCGTGATGTCCGCAGGGCGCTGTACGAGGTGATGCAGTCGGCGGAGGTGGGGCGCACCAACAAGGCGCCCATGTTCCTGAGCCTGCTGTTCAAGGCGATGCGCGCCGACGTCAGCCCCAAGCGCGTCTGCGCATTCGTGAAGCGCCTGCTGCAGGTCGCCGCGCACCAGCAGCCCAACTTCACCTGCGGCTGCCTCATGCTCACCTCCCAGCTCCTGCAGGCACGCTCGCATGCACGCCTGCTGGCACCACCTGCCTGCACCTGCACGTTTGCTGCATCATAAACATGATACTGTTAGCAGTCTGCAATCAGCAATGTTGAGCACCAGTGAGGAGTGTATGTTTTGTGCGAAATACATGAAATAGTCCGCAATTCCAGCCCTCGCGCTCTCCCCTGTGGGTGTTTGAGGTCCTCATTATAAATAGCGGCAGAGAAATTCCAGGCCATACCTATTCCACGTGGGAAGGCCCATTGAACACAGTGGAAGAAAAACCTGGGACATCCCGATCAGGCACATTGATACTATGAGGTATCAAAGAGTAAATGCACTACCCTCGAAGGAGAATGGTCCCAGATGTCTTGTTGGGCTCCACAGGAGATGCCCGCCCTGTGGAACCAGATCATGGACTCAGAGGAGGCGGACGATGGAATGGAGCATTTTGTGGATGCGCCAGACACAACAGGCGAGGGCGACGCTGCAGCTGCAGCCGCCAGCGGGGGTCCACTGCCGGGCAGCGGCTCTGCAGAGCAGCCCGGTCAGAGCAAGAGCGGTGCCACGGCTGACGGCCCCGGCAGCAGTGACCAGCAGCCACTCATTGGCGGCTATGACATGCGCAAGCGGTGAGAGGCCAGCACTGACAAGTATTCCTATTGACTGTGACATACTGGTCACAATGGTTTCTATGGAGAACGGCACAATTTTAATGTTCTCCTGGCAGTCTATTTTGATTGGTAGGCGCGAGCCGTGGCAAATCAATAGGTCTTTCATGTTTCACTTGTGGTTGAGTGCGTTCTATAGAGTGCATATTTCATATTATCGTATTATAATTCAATTTCAAGAGCTGAGGGGTGAGGGAACGCCGCGTGGCAGGGAGCCGCTGCATGCCGGGGCGGAGCGGGTGCCGTGGTGGGAGCTGGCGGCGCTGGCGTCGCACGTGCATCCGAGCGTGGCGGCCATGGCGCGCTCCCTGCTGGCCGGCGCGCCCGTGGTCTACAACGGCGACCCCCTCCGCGACCTCTCCCTCACCGCCTTCCTCGACACCTTCGTCCAGCGCAAACCCAAGGCATGCCCCTGCTCCCATCAACCGCTGCCATCAGAAAGCTGCATCATCCCTTCATTTCTAGTACATTATATTCTGTCCTGGCCTTGAAATGATAGCATGCGGCCACTGTGCACTCACAGCCTGGGAAACTGCATCCAGTTGGCCTTGCCACTCACGGTGCAGCAACCTGGGCACATAGCATACACCTTAGCAAACCTCAGGGGTGTTTAGGGAGCGACTTAATTACTTGGGAATGTTGGTTGCGCAGGCGCACGCGAAGGGCAGCTCGCTGATGCAGCCGCTGCGACCCAAGAGCACGGCGCCCTCCGCGGCCTCCCTGGGCAGCGCCGTATTTGACGCACTGGCGCAGGCTGACGTGGCGCCCGACGCCGCCTTCTTCCAGAAGTACCAGGTGCGCTGCTTCTTGCTGCTAGGGCATCTTTGACACTTGCTATCGGCCATGCCAGCCCACATTCTGGATGGTGTTGGTGTACATGAGCAGTAAAAGTTCGTTGCCTGCCTGAGCTCTGCAGAGTGGCACTGCATGCAGATGTGTTGTTCCACTAGACTTTGCTAGATGCAGTGTGAGACGTGTGTCTTTGTGTGCGGTGTCAGGCGCTGAGGTCAGCGCGCAAGGAGGGCGGCAAGAAGAAGAAGGCGAAGAAGGGGGAGGACGAGGACCTCAGCAGCGGCGAGGAGGTGTCTGACAGTGACGAAGCAGTTGGTGCGGCTCCCATAGTATTGTTATGGCCGTCTGTGAGCGGCACTTCATGTGTGGCATGCGCAGTTGGACTGTTGGAGAATTTCAGCCTCCCAGACGCTGTCATGTGCTCTTTTGGCCTTCAGTCACTCAAGTGCAGCACGCGTGGGTGCACTGAGGGGGATTTCAGCATGCAGCCGGTCGAAGAGACTAACTGTGCTGCTGCCGTGCAGATGAGTTCCTCGATGCTGAGGAGTCAGACGACGATGACATGGAAGGGGACTCCGCATACAACTACGATGACCTGGCGGCTGCATTTGAGGTAGACAAGGGCAGCGGTTCGGACACAGATGGCAGCGGAGGAGCTTCGGATGGGGAGTCAGATGGGACTGACACTGTCCAGCCAGGAAGTGAAAGTGAGGATGATGAGAGTGAGGAGGAGGTGGAGGCAGCTTCTGGATCAGAACAAGGTGAGGGCCCACAGAGAATGGTTGGAGGCCGTACAGTCATCCTCTCTTGAGCTTTTTCTGAGCTTAGCATCCAGTGACTGTCATGGTATGCCTCCGCAATGTCTGCAGCAGAGCTTTAGCAAGCGCACAAAGCAGTGTGTGCGCTCTTTAAGCCCTGGGTCTGCTGCCTTCGCAGATTCAGAGGATCTGGACGTGTTGGCACTGGCAGAGTCGAGTGATAGCGAGGATGGGGGCAGGGGCAATGACGAAGAGGCAAGTCCATCAGATGACGATGACGACAGTGATTCATCTGAGGGGGAGTGGGTCATGCATGGGCAGCCAAACGCAGCAGCAGGAAAGAAGGCACCAGCAGCAAAGAAGAAGGCGGCTGGCAAAGCTAAAGCCTCAAAGGAGATTCCTGACAAAGGGGGCACGAAGAAGCGCAAGGAGAAGGGCGGCAGTGTGTTTGCTGCGGCAGAGGACTATGCTCACCTGACCGAGGACGTCCCGGCAGCGGCTGCTGCGGACACCAAGCGGAAGAAAGCACGGCGGCTTGGTGGCAAACGATTGAAGTGAGAGCTGTATGGCATGTTTGGTCTGAATGTCACCATGTAACTTACGTGATTTGGATGAGCACTGGGCAGAACATATCCGAAAGTGAACATCACTAATTTGCAGGCATAGCCTCCTCAGCAAGGGTAATCAACAGTGCATGCGCATGCTCACAAGCGCTCAAACATAGTAAGGTGCACGAAACTTAAGAAATGTTTCTCATAAATATTCTGAGGAGGCAGAGTTCATTTATTGACCAGCCTGACATCTCAACATAAGTTCCTGTTCATTTTAGATAAGTTCTACAAAATTCAATCTGTGACAAGGCTTGATTTGCTCCCCCAGAACTGAGATGCATGGAATGTCACGTCTGCTTGTTCCAGCGCCCACTGCTGCGGATGACGCCACGAACTGGTCCCTGTGGCATAGATACAGCAGCTGTAGCCGGCGCGCCCTGATTGCCTCGGGGCGGCTCATGTTGCTGCTGCATGACCCCTTGAGGCTGCTTCTGCTGCTGTGCGCGCTTTGCGGCTGCGGCAGCCTTGGCCCTCTCCTTTGCTTCCTGACCGGCATTAAAACATTGCTTAATAGCTTCTCCATCACCGGCACGGGTCATCACACCACGGAACCGCCGCTGAATAATACTACAGCTTGAAGGCGCTTGCACTTTGGAAACCCTTGCGATCCTACTCAAGGGGCACACTGTCCAATACTGATGATAAAGAAGCTCAATGGACAGGACCCTCACCTGTGCCCTCTGACGCTCCTCCTTCTCCTGAGCTGCGCGCGCTGCGGCCAGCAAGCCTTCCGAGTTGAGCTTTGGCGCAGAACCGATGATGGCCCCCCGATTTTTGGCGGGAGCCTTCTTGATCTGGTACGTTGCCTCCGGCGCTTGCAAGTCAGCCAAGCTCTGCTGCTGCGCTGCCGCCACCTGCCCATCTGCTGCAAAAGCCCCTGTTGCAACAAATCAAGTGTCATCCTCAGCATTAATTTTGCAGTAGACGAGCTGTACTTGCAGCAGGTAACCTACTTCAAAGCCGAAAATTCAGAGAACGTAAGCATCATTAATATGATGCCAGGAGTTCTCACCTGTGGTACTTTGTGCAGCTTCGCCGGCTGGATCAGCAGATTGCTGTGCAGGGTCGTAGAAGTGGCCAGTGGCAGGGTCCAAGCCGAGCCACTGCTGGCTCTCAGTGACAAAGTAGAGGCCTGTGTTTGCGTCATAGTAGTACCCCGAGCTGCAGTCATGGTAGTACCCTGCAATGTGTGAAACCGGCATGTAAGAGCCTCCATTGCATGTAGGTCGAATACACCATCTTCATCAGGGCAGGATGTACATCCCAGCAGGCAAAGCTCACCAGAGGTACTGTCGTACGCAAAGCCTGATGCAGCTTGAACTTCGGTTGCTGCAGCGGAGGTTTCTGGCAGTGCTTGCTCTGCCTGGCTGTTGTCTGCAGCGTTTACAGATAACGCCGCCTGCAGGGCCGCCTCATCAATGTCCTTTGGTGCCCAGTCAGTGTACGCAGACATTGCTGCCGCTGCCTGCAACATGCCCCAATCCTCAGTATTCGTCAATAAGTTCCCGATGCCGGATTACATGCAAGATACTTGCTAGTAGTGCATGGCAATGTTGATGATGGCATCACCTGCAGGGCATCGGCAGCAGGCCCAGAGGCTGGAGCACGGTCCTTTGCATAGCACAGCCTCAGCGTGCCAGCCTGGCCTTCCACTGGGGAGTTCTGAAAGAAGAATGAACTCCAGTCATGCACCATGAGATGAAGCACGCAGCGTCTTGCAGGTGAGCACAAAAAGGAATGGTGCCTTAGACGATTTGTGACTAGTTGACGAAAAGAGGTGTGCGCACCTGGAAAAGCTGAAGGGATCTGCCTGCATCAGCCAAAGAGTGGAACTGCACAAAGCAAAAGCCCCTGGGCTCCCCAATGTATTTGTCCCGGACCAGCCTGACCTCCTTGACTGGCACATGCTTCGCAAAGAGACCGTGCAGCACATCCTCCCTAAGCACCACACTTCCAAGTGAGCATTGTACTGGAAATGAAGCTGGCTTAATGACCACAGATTCTGAGGATATCAAAATTGTCATCATTATTGAAGGAAAGGTGGACTTACGTTGTGTGCGGATCAATGTTAGACACCTTCAGGACTGAAGATGGCCCCTCTGGGCCGGCTGTCACCCTCTTCACATCTGGTGCTCTAATGGTGCTGCATTGATAGCACTCCAGCCGCCTGAAGCATAATCGGCTTTCGTCAGAAGTCCTGTGGGACCGCCTACCTAACACACCTTTTGCTCTTTTCTTTGGGACATCCCAAGGAAGGCAGTAATCGGGGGGGAATACACTCTTATCGCTGACTTTCATTATCAGGGCTTATGCAATAAACAGCGTGTATTAAGGCAGTGTGTGCCCAGGTGCTCTTGAAGTCAAAGTACCGGGAGAAGTTCACGGCTTGGCACATGCTGCAGATCCAGTCCAGCAAGGACTGATCGCTGCTGCCAGCTGCATGCGCGGGCTGTGGAGACACGCTGTACTCCAGTTGCAGACTCTGTCCCATCAGCTTTAGCTCCTCTGCAGCTTCAGACTCCATCAGTGCCCTTGCCGATTCTACACTGTCAAAATCCTGCAGCACATGAACGCGGTGTGTTCAGTAAAACAGCCATATCGAAGGACAGGTCGGCAAACATTTCATGCTACTGTGAAATTAAAGGTGTAGAACAACTGGATGCTCACCACAAACGCGTAGCCCTTTGACCGGCCCGTGGATCGATCCCTACTGACTCGCACTTGGCGCACACCAGGAAAACCTGCTTGGATCAACACAATCAGCCTTGCACCCATGCTTGCGTCATTGCAAAGTCAAACAAATTTCCTGCCATCCCATGCAATAAAGTGGCCTTACCAGAGAGAAGCAGGTAGAAGTCTGCTTCCTCTGCCTCCTCTGGCACCCCCTGCATCCCAGACATGCCCAGTCACACACCACGCTGCGAGAGCCGCTAATGTGCTTGTAGCTTTAAGGCACGGGGAAGCAGCGGCACGCACCCGGACGTAGAGGGTGGCAGAGGGCTGATCGTCCCGCCACCCCCGCCGCCTCCGCCGGTGGGAGCGGCCAGCGCGCTCGGCCCAGTCGGAGGACTGATCCTCGTCAGACCAGGCAGCCGCTTTGAAATCGTACGGCTCCTCCCCCTCCTCGGACCCGTAACGGTCACCGGAGCGGCCGCGCGCATCTGGCGGCTGGGCCGGCGCGGAGATGTCACCCTCTAGGCCGGCCTCCAAGTTCGCTCCGTATGCGCTGTATCCGCTGTAGGCATCTGCTGGAGGCGCCAGCGGGACAGCAGTCACGATCTGGCCCCATGCGTATCGAGGGGCGGTATCGAGGCCTACCAGAGCCAGTGGGCAACATGGCGGAGTCTGCAGGCTTCAAGGGGCAATGAGCGGTGTGGGGCTCTAGAGGATGCAACGGCCGCCATGCTGCCGGCCGCGGCCCGGAGGTCTCCTATCCTGACTCTACCTTGGTAGTGGTTGCTTGCGCCACCATGATGCGCATACTGCTGCTGTTGCTCCATGGACGCATAGTGCTCATAGCCAGCTGGCGGCTGCGAGGATCCAGCCTGTGCAAGTGTTTGGAAAGATCTTGAGCAAATTTGCAGGAAGGCAAGCAGGACCTCCGCAGGACACCTCCGTGTATCGCGCGACGAGCTGAACAGAGGAAAGGAACGGGTATCTCCTGTCAATCAGCTGAACTGTGACGTCACCACAAAGACAAGTGCAGATCCGTACCCAGCGGTCCTCAAAACCTCCTTGCTGCAGGCTTGGCCTGCGCTCGCGGCTATGGTCCCTGCGGCGGAATACTAACCTGCTTCAGCTGTTCTGCGAGAACAACTTTTTCCCAACAAAAAATGAAAAAGTGTGGAAGAAGAGAACCTGTGATGTCGATCAGGTGAGCGGTTCCTGGTCCTGGATCTGGGACTATGTCTTCTGTAAGGATCCTCTTCTGCCTCCCTTTCCCTGCTCCTGTGACGCCACCTTTCAGTCCTCCGGTACCCATCGCTTTCTTCTCTGTATCTCTCTCTGCTTCTGTCCCTGTCACTGCCCCATTGTCTATCTCTACTTCGTTCCCTCGGCCTTCTCCCATCGTACTTTCTGGCAGTATCATGCGAACTGTTAGCGTAGCCACACACACGCATGATTTGATGCCTTTTAAGTTTACATACGTAAGAGCCCGAAAAGCTTGCAAGACGCACCTGTCTTCTCGGGTCATCGTCAGCAGCTCAATCTTTGGTCAATGATGCTTGAAGCAGCAGCAGCTGCAAGCTGATCAGCGCCGATAATTGAACGATCCCTAAGTTGAGGTCATAGCTCTGGGATGCAAATTCCCCAATGCCAAGGGCCATCGCCCAGATCAAGTCATCCTGATGCTGACGACTGCAAAGCATGCAAAGCAGCAAAGCAAACAGGACATCTGAGAGTGCCAAGCTTCTTGAGATCAGGGTAAGTGATCTCATATTTAATTCTATTGCAGTGTCAGGTATCGATGGATGTATCTGTAGATGTGAGAAGCCTCACCGGGAGGTTCGCAAGCATATCTGCTAGAAGTGATCAGACTGTCGGTGATCTGAGACGCAGTGTGCAATCGCAATGGGCGTGCAGCTACATCTTGCGGCTCTATAATCGGGTGATGAAGAAACACATATGGTTGTGCACGTAAATGGTTCTTTAAGTTTAACTTTGTACAGCACTGCTGATCATTCCTGTGTTTAATATTGTAGGGGGCTGAAGTGCCGGATAAAACACAGCTTAGCACCTTGCAACTTCAACCAGGAGAATTTCTGGTAAGCAAGTGCTGGACAATTATCCCTGCTGTGTAAGAAATGCATTCAACAGCAGCACTGCTGAGCCGCAGTACTGTCCATGCTGTGCTTTCCTTCCGCAGGTAGCTATAGAAACGAAGAAGAAGAGGAAACTAGCACATGGTGCAGTGGTCCAAAGCAGGCCAGGCACAGACCCTCAAGCATCTCAATTATCGAAGCCGGACTTGGCACCTGCAACCTCCCATGCAGCGGACGTGGCAGGGAAGACAGTGGAGCCTCCGTCCCCTGAGATTGGGCAGGCATCAGGACTTCTCTCGCCAGCAGGACAGCCACTGTTTGCCGTACCATCAGCTGTCCACTCGCCTGCCACATCTGAGGGCAATTTCACACTACTGCCAGGCTATGTGTCACGGCCAGGCCCATCACCCTTGAAGCAGCCAGCTCAACAGCTTTACCCCACAGTGAGCCAGGGTGGGTTCTTGGCACCCAGCCAAGTACACGCCAAAGCGCAAGATGCAGCACGTCCGGTGATCAATGAAGGAGAGGACCCTCTCTGGAAGGAGCTTTCAGAGGAGCTGAAACGTGTCAGGGAGTTGCCAATCGAAGGCCCGGCAGCAACTGCGCCTTCAGGAGAAAATGCCGCTGACAGTGACCGGACACAGAAGCCAGCAGGCAAGCCCAGGCGCGCCAGGCGAGCAGCCAGAGTGCAGCAGCAGCCAGCAAGCGAAGAGACGGCCCAAGCGACAGCAGAACAATCATTGTCCTCTCTGTCGCGTTTGCACGAAGCTCCAAGCAAATTGACTCCTGCGGTGCGCCACTACCAGCCTCGCCTCATGCTGCAGGAAATGTCTGCCAGGCGTTTGTAGCATCTGACATGTGGCGGTGTGTGCCGCGCAGGAGAATGCCATTATTGTGGAGCTGCCTCTCCCGCCTGTGTTGGACGAATTGCACCAGATCTTCTTGGCACTCAACGGCGTCTACTCCTTCTTGCTGTCGCAGCACATTCAGGCACGCCCTTCCGCTTTGTTTTAGTGTGCACATTCAGCTGCCTGTGGCTCTCAATCAATATCTTGATATTCAACGTTCTTGTGTCTGCAGGCCACTTGGCGGAATGTGAAAAAGGCCATACGTGCCATACCTGGTGCTGAGGGCGCCCAGCTGAGCGATGTGGAGGCTATGGCAGACCTGTGTCCAAGTGTAGTGATCCTTCGCAACAGAAACAGGTCCTGCTTTGCTCCACTAGCCCTAGTCTCCCACTGAACGCGCTTGCCGCTGCACCTCTGTCAATTGCTTGAATTCCTGAACCCCAACTATTCGAATTGCATCTATTCATGCCCGTGATGCAGGATGCATGCACGTGCAGGTTTGAATCACCACGCTCGGTGCGCCACCTGAACGCGGCGGGCAGGCGTGGCAGCGGGGCCAGCAGCAGCGGCAGCGAGGGCGGCCTGGACGCCATCCCCGTCAACACCGCCAACCCGGCCGAGATCCGCACCGACGGCGCAGGCACGGTCTACAAGGGCGAGCGCGACAGCTTTGTCATCGAGATTATCGACCCCGGCCAGCGGGTCACGCCCCCGGCGACCCACCTGCAGGACCTTGGAGCTGACAACCTGCTGGATGCTCTGCTGGGGGACTTTGAGGCGGGAGCCGATGCGCCCAGCCTCGGCGGGAAGACGGAGACCAAGCACAGGCAGACGCAGACGCAGCGCGGCCTCAACAACGCCAACGCGCGGCGCGCCCGGGCATTCCGCGCCGGCCTCGTCAGAGCGGTGGCGCTCGTGCACCAGCGCTTTCTGCATGACCTTGCACAGGGGCAGGACGACGGCAGCACAGCTGCTGCAGCTGCAGAGCAGGGTGCAGGAGAGCCCGGGGCAGGCGGCAGGGTGCTCAGGTTGGGCCGCGCAGCGAGCGGCGCCGCTGCTGCTGTGCAGAAGGCTCTTCCGACAATGAAAGGGAGGGCGCGCAAGGGGAAGGTCAAGGAGGCGGCGGAGGATGGGCAGCAGTGGGATCCGCTGGTGGAGGGCGACTGGCACCCGGAGTTCCCTGTGCGGACGCTGGAACTGAGCTCTCTGAGGGAGGCGGTCAGGAAGCACGAAGCGCAGAACAGGGGCAGCGGCAGTGCCAGTGATGAGGATGAGGCCCTTGCAGGTCTCTGACCCACTCCTGCATCACACATCTACTTCCCCATCCTTGACACTCCACTCTCAGACCTGCAAATGTGGATTTGCAGAGTTCCAGTCTTTTGTGTGGATTTACAGGCCAGCAGAAGGAGACATGGGGTGGAAGGGGGCGCAGGCGCAGGGCAGAGCCTCGGCCACCGAAGCTGCACCGCCGGCACGAGCCATGCCGTGATACAACGCCTCTGGCCCCGGAGGCCTTCCTTGCCCATCTGCAGACGGTCTCCTGGTACAAGGGACAGGTATGGCTTCTTCACGCTTTTGCCACTCACTGCTTGTCTCTCTACCACTGCCTGATCCCTGCAGCAGTCTGTGCAGCTTACCACCTACAACCTCTGAAACAGCGCTTGTTCCGGACAGATCGTGCACACGGAGCAGATTCCTGCGCGGGCAGCAAAGTGCAGCAAACCGGCCGCCGCTCTGTCAGCACCGGTAATGAAAGCGCTGTCCGCACGGGGAGTGACCGGCCTCTTCACCCACCAGGCCCAGGCAATTGATGCCGCCCTTGCAGGTGCTCCAGGAACTTCCAAAATAGTGCTTGCATCTTGCCTACCACAGTTCTGTGCACTTTGCGGGGTCCTCAGCATTTATGTTATTGTCGAGCTGTCCAGCGTATGCAGGGGCTCTTCCACATATTCTTGATCAAAGACAACCAATAGCAGTCACCCAAACAGCTGCGTTGAATTGGGCGCGCAGGGAAGCATGTGGTGGTGTGCACGTCCACAGCCAGCGGCAAGTCGCTCTGCTACAACCTGCCCATCTTGGAGGCGCTGGTGAAGGACCCACGCGCGACGGCGCTGTACATGTTCCCGACCAAGGCCCTCGCGCAGGACCAGCTGCGCGCCCTCAGGGAGCTCTGCGCCGCCGCTTTTGGTGACAAGGCGCCCTCCATCGACATCTATGATGGCGATACTCCCCAGGTGAGGCACCAGGATGCTTCTGGACTCATACGATTGCATAAGATTGCCTGTCCAATTCTGAGGTACCCCAAGCAGAAGCACCCCACATGGAGAGGCCTCCATCAAAAAGATGATCCCAACTTTTACCGACATTGGTGTCACAATTTAGGCCCTGCATCATGCAACTGTGCAGGGCCTTGATCCCAATGCGCATGATAGCGCATGAAGCCCAGTACTTGAAGCCGCTGACTCTGACATGGGCTATCTTGGATATGCCTGCAGGAGGATCGTGGGGAGGTCAGGGAGCGTGCTCACCTGCTGATCACCAACCCAGACATGCTGCACTGCAGCATCCTGCCGGTGCACGGGCAGTTCTCCCGCTTCCTGAGCAACCTCCGCTACATTGTTGTGGACGAAGGGCACGCCTACAGGTGCTTAGGCGCCATACCATGCCACTTTCTCGGGACAATTTCTGCCTCAGTGGATGTAGCTATGTGCGTGCTCGGGTCAGCAGTTTGCCAGTCCAAGCTTGGTTGGTGACGCTGCTGGCTTGCCACAGGGGTGTGTTTGGGTGCCATGCTGCGCTGGTGCTGCGGCGCTTGCAACGCATCTGCCAGCGGGAGTACAGGAGGGATCCTCGCTTCATTGTTGCCAGTGCCACCATCGCCAATCCTCAGGAGCACATCCAGCAGCTGCTAGGTGATGGCAGTTGTCATCCGTGCCTTTTGCAAGTGCAGGCTCAGCTACCATGGACCTTTTGACCATAATATTGATTTCTGGTGGCTAAATGTGACCTCACAATTCATGGCCTCAGGGGTGCCGAGCGTCCACGTGGTGTCCGAGGATGGCTCGCCCCATGGGCACAAGAGCTTTATCATGTGGAACCCGCCCCTGTCGATACCGCCGCCCAAGCCAGGGCAGGAGAAGGAGAGGCAGCCGCGCATGTCCCACACCGAGGGCCGCACCCGCCAGGGCAACAAGAGGTGCTTCAAAATCTCATCTTCCCTGTTGTTTCAACAACGTGGCCATGCATACAAAAAAACTTGTAAATTTTTGGGTCTATTTCTCATGATGGACTCAGGAGGAAGGTGAAGTTTAAGATTTGGCTCAAAGTGCCTGAGACACTTGTGGTGGTGGTGTCTCAGGAAGCAGATGGAGTGGCTGCGCTCGAGGCTGCAGGAGGGAGAGCAGGCGCGCGGTGCAGGCATACACCTGGGCGCGTCCGGTGCAGGCGTGTGGAGCCCCTCGGACGCCGACTGGCTCTCGGCCGCGCGCATCGGCCGCAGGCGCCGCGCAGTTGCCGGCTCCGCCCTGGCCGATGCCTCGGTGCAGCCAATGGACCATCCCCTTTCTTCATTTGTCTTTGAGAAGTGCCATGTTCTTTTATTCTGTGTTTTGATCCTGTATGCCTGCTTGTCAGCACAATGTATCCTTGATGCATGAAAGGGACCTGACTAATGATGATGAAAAGGTGGGTGGTGAGCAGGGCATGGAACCGGCGTCTGCGGTGCTGGCGGCTGCGGCTGCCAAGGACACCACGCTGTCCACGCTCAGCAAGCTGCTCAGCCCGCCCGAGCTGGGCGACGGCGAGCGCTCTGAGTCAGACGCGGACGAAGCCGAGGCAAACCTGGAGCCCTATGCAGCTGAGCAGATGCCTGTGGCAACTCTCAGCATGGCCACAGAGCAGGCTCAGAACAACGCAGCACCCCTCACAGAGGAGCAACGCAGGCTGCAGGCCCTCGTGCAGAGCACCGTATTGCCCCGCCGCCAGGTATTGCCAGCTCCAGAGCATCTTGTACACCTGTGAGGCGGGCATGATGTATTTTGAACTTTCAACTTTTATCTTTGTTGAAGGGAATATGGGTGTTTTGCAGGCGGCTGCTCCACAGAAGGAGCTGTCCCACCAGGACTACCTGCACGACCCCAACAACCTCCCGCGCCCGCTGCTGAAGCGGCGCACTGTAGGCCTGCAGGAGCTGACGGCTGGGGCTAGGCAGCAACCTTCTCAGCCCTTGAGCAAGACCAGCGAAGCCGCCCGCACAGTGTCCCTGGCCACTGAAACAGCAGAGGATAAGGAGGCCAGAGAAGAGGTGCAGGTGGGCCCCCGGCCATATGTCCTATCAGTCAGCTGTATCTACGTGTGCTTGTTTGCTGTCAGACACAATGGGGTGCATCATGAGTTCTGTGTGGACAAGAGTAATTATGTTATGGTACACTGCCAGGCGCGGCTGCCTGGGAGGGAGTGGCGGGAGAGGCATGGCGCTGCGGGGGTGCCTTCAGATGAGCGCCGTGGCAGCCCTATTGTGGAGCTCAGTCTGCTGCTGGTGCGATGCATGCTCTTCTACATAATTTCATTGCCTTGCAGTTGCTTTGCACAGGGGGCTCTATATTTAACTAGATAGGTAGCTCCCTGCTTTGCAGCTTGCTCTCTCACTGCTTAGAAAGTTCGCTTCTGTTCCGGCTCCAGCAATTCTGTGTGCGGTCGGTGCAGGCCGAGTGCGTGCAGCATGGGTTGCGCACCATCGCCTTCTGCAACACGCGCAAGCTATGCGAGCTGGTCACTGCCTACACACGTGAGACGCTCAAGGCCACAGCTCCAGAACTGGCTTCCTCTATCTCTGTGTACCGCGCAGGCTACAGCCCGCAGGTGCATGGCTTATTAACTCCTGCTTATCATGCTGATGGATGATTGCGTTTGAATTACGCAGTGGTCAGTAATAAAAATGATTGCTTGGCGCATTGCATGCATCAACGAATAATGAAATTCACCAAAATTTGCTCATGGTCCAGGAGCGCCGAGAGATTGAGAGCGCGTTGTTCAATGGCAAGCTGTGGGCAGTTGCCGCAACAAACGCTTTGGAATTGGGCGTCGACGTGGGCTCCCTGGATGCCACTTTGCACCTCGGGTTCCCAGGTGGGCAGCAACATTACGATGTTTTCATCGTCATTGGAAGAGCTTATTGAGGGTTGAAGAAGCTCATCAAATGCTCCATGATGTACCTTGCACTGTTGTGAGAGGCATCGTCTTGCGACAGGTTCGGTGGCCAGCCTGTGGCAGCAGGCCGGGCGGGCGGGGCGCAGGGAGCAGCCGTCCGTCTCCATCTACATCGGCTTTGATGGGCCGCTGGACCAGTACTTCATGCACCAGCCAGAAAACCTGTTCAAGCGCCCCATCGAGACTGCTCAGGTGACTGCCACCTCTGCCCACCTTCAGTCGCATGAGTGACACCATGCACCTCATGCAGTAGGGCTGAAGATGCAAGATGTAATATGCATGCTGCCCTTCGCTCTGGGGATGCTGCTTACATGTACAGAAATATCTGCAATGTCTGAAAAGCTGTGCGCATGGGTGGGTACAGATCGACCCGGAGAATGAGCAGCTCCTGCAGCAGCACCTGGCATGTGCAGCGGCGGAGACGCCCCTGCTGCTACAGGACGACCAGGCCTATTTTGGCCCCCGCGTCCCAGAGATTGCCAGCTTCCTCCAGTCCGTGGGTGCGCTTTATGCGCGCTTGTTTCCCTCCATGAGCCCTGTGAGTTTGTCTTCTTCCAGAGAGCCAAGTGTGCCACTGCTCCAACTGCATGGGAAGCTGAGAAGACAATTGCTTGAATCGACGATTTTGTAGACAAGGCTGCAAAGCATTTTATAGACAGAGGGAAGTCTCTACAGCGATGCAGCAAGACAAGCGACACTGACGGTATCAGGGGTGTGGCTGGGCAGGGCTCGTGAACAGGCATCCGCACGCCAGCACCCCAGACGTGCTGTTCTATGTGGGCAGCAAGGACAATCCAGCGCGCCAAATAAATCTGCGGGCCATCGACCCGGAGCGCTACAGCATCGTCAACGAGGCGGCCGGGGGCGAGGTGCTGGAGGAGATCGAGGAGAGCAAGGCCTTCTTTGAGGTCTATGACGGCGCCGTCTACCTCTACCAGGCGAGGCCCCAGGCATTAACACTATGCATCGTGGGGGTGGTGCATTGCATGATGTGCAAATGATGCATCTGCCTGCTGGTACTATTTTCTGAGCTCTTTGGTCTATCTACTCGCTGCTGTTCACAGGGAACACTTCAGCCAATTTGCTTGGTGCCAGTCTCCAGCATGTGGGAGCGAAGCAATGTCAGATGCTGTTATTATTTCTCTGCTTGCTTCTTTGCTGGTGTTCACGAAAGGTGCGAGTGTGCAGGGCCGGACGTACCTGTGCAAGAAGCTGGACCTGAGCTCGCGCGTGGCGGTGGTGCGGCCGGCGGACCTCAAGTACTACACCAAGACGCGCGACTTCTGCGACGTCCACGTCATCGGCGGCCGCACCGCCTACGCCAAGCACAGCGTACACCCCGCCATCTTGACTCTTATCGCAACACCCGTTGGCACCTCAGTTGGCACCTGAGAGCATGTTAACGAAGAATGGCAGATGGTGGGGATGTGCTTCATAGTTGAGAGGTGCATGCAGGGGCCTGCAAGTGAGCAGCCTGAGCAGATGCCCAGCTCAGCTCGGTGCGACGAGTGCCAGGTGACCACTCGTTGGCTCGGCTTCTACCGCGTGTGGCAGGGCAGCGGGGAGGTCTTTGACACAGTCGATCTCTTCCTTCCGGACGTCCAGTTCAACACCCAGGTGGGTCACCCTAGCTCTCACCCTTCCGCACACAACCAGCCTGTACTTTCACAGGGCATGTCAATTTTGCCAGAAGGTCCCATGCATGGGCAAGCCGCACTTGACAGAGTGCAATTGCCATCAGAGGTCATTGCTGCATGCATTGTGTTGCTTGGCGTGCAGGCGGCGTACATCCGGGTGCCGCAGTCGGCGCGCATGGCGTTGCAGGCGCAGGGGCTGCCGTTCCGGGACGGGCTGCATGCGGCATCGCATGCGCTGGCCAACGTGGTGCCGCTGTTCCTGCTGTGCAACGCGTCCGACCTGGGAAACGAGTGCGACAATCCGTACGACACGCGCTTCCGCCCCGAGCGCCTCCTTGTCTACGATAAACACCCTGGCGGCATCGGCCTCGCCAAGCAGGTGTGCACGCTCCAGCTCAGCGCTGACTTGGCACTTGCAGCTGATCAGCTTTATTGTCTAATGCTTTGGCCCTCATGCTATGCTTACATTGGCTGCATGGTGCTGCAATGAACAGGCATGGTGTTACACTTTATAGATCCCTTCTGAGTCACAATCTTGCACTTGAATATAACTTCGGCATCGTTGCAGGCGCGGCCGCTGTTCCCGCAGCTGCTGCGGCGGGCGCTGGAACTGATCCGTGGGTGCGACTGCTGCTCGATGGCGGGCTGCCCCGCGTGCATCCAGAGCCTGGGCTGCACCGAGTACAACGCCGTGCTGCACAAGCGCGCCGCCATCGCCATCCTGGAACTCACCCTGGCCGCTGAGGCCGAGTACGCCGACCGGCTGCGCTTGCAGGTCCTCACTCACTCGCTGCAGCAGCTGTGCTGTTCTTGTGATGAATATGCTTCTCTTCGGCAGCAGTGTTTAATTGTGAGCGCCAAGCTTCTAAGGATCCTTGCGCGCTGGTGTGCACTGCAGGAGTTGAGGAGTGGGCCGTCGCTTGAAGGCGGGCACCTGGGAGAACTCACGATTCCTGAACTAGATGCAACTTAGCCAGTCATGTATACCGAGTAAAAAGTACAGTAATTGTGTCATGCTCGAGCCTACCACCCGACTCAGTGTCACTCGGTGTTGAGACGCTCTCAATGAGAGCCCTGCGGTGCACGTGCCGCTGCGGCTCAGCCTCATATGAGGTAGCAGGCCTGGGAGAACTGCAGCATGAATCCTTCACAAAACAGAGGAGACATTATATTTTGCAATTGCAATGTGACATGTAAAATTCTGTATCAGAGTTGCATATAAAAATGTCATTCTTCTCATGGCCCCTTCTGGGCCCTACCTCAAACTCCCTAAGGCCTGTAAATTTACGGGAGATTTTAGATCGAGAGTACCATCTGCTGATCAACCTTGGACAAATGCCACCTGATATCGTGTAGTCTGTCAAACGAAGTCTCGCACATTGTTTATGAGATCAGCATAATCTTATGGACAACCTCTGGAAGTGACACATTCCCATGCGCCTCACGTAGAAGGCTATACAGCAAGATGGACGGTTTCTGGGATTTATGGGAAGGGATAAAGCATGTGATGTTCAACGGGACTCAGGGTATTCAGGCTCCTAGTATCGCAAAAGAAGAATTTCGTGGAGGTGAGGATGCTGCTTTGGGCGTGATCAAAGAAAACACAAAGTCTCACTTGCAGCACCACGCTGGCAAGTCTGTCATATTCCAGGCTCAACTCACTTTACCTTGCAGGCAACGCCATTCCTCTTGCATCTGACAGCATAATTCAAACCGTCACCAGCATTCCCAATCTTCGAGATCTTGCTAGTGCAAGTGTGAAGCTCAGACCAGGTGGGGCAATGCTACTTTTCCTTCAGTGGTATAATGGATACAGGTATCCAAGGGGTTTAGCATATTTCTTCTTGTAACTAATTGAACGGGCTGATATGTATCGCAGGAGTTGTCTACCGCTGTGCTTGTCCGTATCAAAGCAACTGCAGTGACCTCGCCCTTCTTGAGGAGGACCTGAACATCACTCGCCTGGTGAAGCCCATGACACAAGTCGTGGACCATAATGCATCTGCAGTCCTCTTGAGTGATTTTTATTGGAGAGTGGCACTGAAGTTGGATCTACTTTGTGCAGATAGACCTTCGGACTAATTATGAGTGGAAGGAGGACAAGCCCAGCAAAGTCGTCCAGAACGCCACCATCTGGAAGTCCAGAAGGGACAGCACAGGTTCCGTGCAGGTAGTTTCCATTGGAATCTCCACTTATGCCCAGCTGTCTGGTCCCGAAAGACACCGCCATGCCGGGTCGTGCACTACAGCAAATGCATTTTGAGGCCAGATCGCCGCTGACTGTGCAAGTTCTGTGGCCCAATGCAGCTAGAGAATTTGCAGGATTCTGACACAGACGAGGATGGTTTCATCATCTACCGTGTCTCCCTCCAAGAATGGTAATACAAACAACAAGCACACTGTCCCACTTCTTGCGTGATTCCTCGTGCTTTGCATCAATGATCATGACACCATACCACTTGACAGCATGATGCATGCAGGAGTATCTACACGCGCGCATTTGTGCTGCGGCTGCCCATGCATCGCGCACTGCCCATCCTTCTCTGGCTGGCAATCGCAAAGGTGCTGAGGTGGAAACCGCCTGTGCACCAAGTCCGCAGCCGAGTCATCGCCGAGGCGAATCGGGAAGGCTTGTATGGGATGTACGTGACAATCCTGGGAGCATTCCGGCCAGAGATGGCATGCGCCTTGCGTGTGAGCGTCTGCCACCACACACCCCTCTACCTTGCTTATCACCTTGCATCACTTCTGGCACTCGGAGGCCTGCTGAGATTGACAGGTGAATTTGCCGGTGCATAGGTGGTTCTGGAGGCACTCAAAGCCAAAGAGCCTGTGGCGCTGTTCTGCAAGCTGGGCAAGGACCGTACAGGCCTGCTAACCATGCTCATACTGGCGTGCTGTGGGGTCTCAGATGACGAGATTGTGGCTGACTACATCCGGTGAGGCCTCAGCCACAGCCTTAGACTCTGTGCCTCTTGTCATGTTGGTGCAGGACAGCTTGCCACTGGGAGACAATTTGACTCGCTGCTGCAAAGTTCAAAACCATCAACCTTTTGCCGAGCTTTGACTTTTCCACGCAGGTCAAAGCATATCCCATCCCTGAAGAAGGATCCCACGCTCAAAAAACTTGAGGGCTTCAATGCTGAGCTTTTCTCCAAGGCGCCCGCCACCACTCTTCTGGCAGTGCTGCAGCATTTGCGACTGACATACGGCAGCATTCCTGCATACTTGAAATCGTGTGGGTTCTCGGAGGAAGAGCAAAGCGAGCTAGCAGCTTTGCTGATGTCAACAACAAAATGATGCATGGTTTTTACAGTATTCTTCGAAGAATCGGATGCTGAACGTGAAGCACTGCACATTTCCTTGTACAACTACCAATTGGTTGATCAGGCTCGCTGAAATAGTTATTTGCGCATTGTTGGTAGGGACTTTATATTTATTTAAGATGATATTCAGAGGCTCTCACAAATCTCAGTCGATGACTTGCGGTTGTAAATGACATTGCAGAAGAATTATAGCTGGTGCCACAAGCTTGGCCCAGTCATGCAAGCTTGCCAAGGTCTTTACCGGCAGCGAACCAGAGATCTAGAGTAGAGCTGTGGAAGCATGAAAGATGAACAGCAAACCTCAAAAGAATTCCTGGGAAAGAAGTTGCCCCCCGAATACTGCCTACAACTTGCGTGATCTTGCTGCATGATGTCTGGACATGCACACAGATTTTAGCTGAGGCTGCATTGGAACTAAATACATCAGTGCAACCAACTCACCAATTGCCTCACCTGACCTAACTGATATGGAGAAAAGCTCATCCCACATTGTGCTGACTCGCTTGTTGAAACTCAATGGACTCATGGGTTGATACTCCTAGTTCCTAATCATCCAGAAGCGCGGCGTTACCAATGCAAACACCAGCACGCTCTCGAGCTGCTTCCTGCCCATATCACGGAGTAGCCTATTAAGGCACAATGCACATTTGGGCATCAAACAGGATGCCGCTTCCTCTTAAGAATGGGAGATGGCTCAGTTCGGCTGAGAACACAACAGCATCCCACATCTACACGCCTATGCATGTACAAAGCTCTACGAGGCTCACAGTCACTTGCACCTATGTGGAGAGCTGCGCATCCACCATGCTCCCGCTCTGGCCTGCTGGATGCACGCCATTCTGCTGCAAGGCACTTGCAGGCTCGTGGCCCTGCGAGGGTGCCTGGGGCTGCTGGGCTGGCTTGGGCTGCTGCGGCGGCAGAGCACCCAGCGGGGCATGTAGATGCGCAGGGAGTGGAGCCGCTGCCGCGCTGGACGCCGCGGGTGCTGCTGAGGAGGGCAGGACCCAGCTGTACCTCGGAGGCGTGGTGCTCTGCGTGGGAGCTGCCAGATCTGCCCGTCCCAGGAAGCGCGCCGGCTGCCCGGTTGCCGGCTGCGCAGCGGTGGCAGAGCTGCCGATTGGGTAGGCCTGTGGGTTGGGCATGTACTGCGCCAAGCCCCGCACCCCAGCACTGCTCGGCCGCTGCAGTGCCAGGTAGGGGCTGGCACCGTTCATGGGAGCAACCCCAGGGGCATGGCTCACTGGGGGCCGCGGCCCGCCCACAAAGCCGGCGGCGGAGGCGCTCGCCACTGGTGGCCTCAGCTGCGGAGCTGTTGTCCCGCCCACTGGAGGCTGCAGGAAGGCTGGCAGCACGTAGATGGGCGCGGCTGTGTTGGGCGGTGCAGTGGACATGGTGACAGGGGGAGCCCGAGGGGGCCCGACAGCTTGCGGCAACAGCTGAGCCGCCGAGCTGCTGAGTGGGACAGGAGGAGCAGACCCCGGTGCCAATCTGTGACCCGCGGTGGCGCCAAAGTTGGTCCCTGCTGACACGGGAGGCTGCATCTGGGAAAATGCTGCCAGTGGGTTTGGCTTCGTCCCCCTGCGCAAGCATATTCCTGGTACATTAGCCACGTCTGAGGCCGCAGCACGTCTGAGGCCGCAGCCTTGCAGGCCGATCAGCAGCAGGTGATGGACAGGAAAAGTCACGATTTAGTCGACAGGGCGACGGTGTGTGGAGGCCAGGCACTCACAGCTGGCTGTCGCTGGCGGCCTCGAAGGCAGCATTGATGATGGGCGCCATCTCCGCGAGCAAGGCAGCCATAGCATGCACCGCTGCGCACACATAATTGCCATCGTCAGCCTTCCTTAAAAACACTGTGCACCTGAGCTACTAATGCGCTCCCAGTATCAGAACGGTTGAGTGCTGCTATCACTTCTTGAGAACCACCTGACGCCTGGAAGAAACAGAAGTGCTGCAGGTGGATATCGCTGACATGGCCGACGGGCACATAATAAACTAGGAATACAAGAGCGGCAGACGGCGCACCTTGGCCCGGGGAGGGTCCCTTGACGGCGACGCACTTTTCGAGGACAGCCTGGCGCAGGGCGACGACCTTGGAATCGGTGCTCCGGCCCAAGCCCTGGCGGAAGCGGTCCTTGTCCGCGCTCGGCCGCATCTCCCACCGGTCCGCCACCGTCGCCAGGCTCACTATGAATCCCGCCAGCCGATCCCTCACGTTCACCGTCGTCGCAAACGGCACCGGCCGACCCCCTGCACCACACCCAAGCCCCCGCTCTCAAACCCTCTCCTACAGCCCCTGCAACTTCCTCAATGACGACATTACTGACTCCACCTCCCCACGTCGTGCGAACAATCGTCACAAGACTGCCTCACATGACCCCGCCTGCTCCTCATCTGCTCTGCAGGGATGACTAACAGAGTGTGCGACTCTGATGCAGCACTGATGAATGGTCAAGAGCTTATCCAGACATGTGAAATTGCTGATCGGGGAGATTGACTCTCTGCGAGCACAGCGGCTCACCGGTCGCGCCCGAGGACCTGGCAGTGGCGACGGCCGCGTTGACGCCGTACATGGCGGCCTGCCCCTGCATCTGCTTCTGTTCCTCGGCCGTGCCGGAGCGCGCCGCCCCCCACGGCCTCGCGCCGGCCGGCGTTGCGGGAGGGGGCGCCGTCTGCGTGCACGCGTCCGCCACCTGGCGCATGCCCTCGCGCGCCCCCGGCATCCCTGTCCGAGTGCGCCGAGCCACCCTGCTCGTCCGCGTTCATTCATCCGTCAGCCACGGCTCCGTCAACATGGATAGCAGTTCTCCTGACATTAAAAAATGCATGCCATCTGAGGCTGCTTGCTTCAGTTGAGTAGCCTGGACTAGCAGAAAAGCTGACGGGTGCAGAGAGCACATGGCGCACCCAAGAGTTGCAATTATGGACAAATTTTTCGGGATGCAAGAGATGTCTCATATAGAAGAAGGGTGCGCACTTGGGCAGCTTGGCGGCGGGAGGCAGGCAGGTCTCCTCGTCCTCATTGTAGCTAAAGTCGGCTGCGTGCACGCTGCGAGACCTGTGCGGGCGCAGCCGCGGCAGCTCCTCTGCCTCCCCTCCCTCACCGCTGGTGCCCTGTCGTTGCACCACAGTGGACGCATCAGCGAAACCCGCCCCTTGGCCAGCTCCGGCACTGAGTGCTCACTAGAAGGTGTGTGTTCTGTGTAGATATGGTAAGCTGGATGTGGAGAGTCACCGCGGGTGCGGTGCTGCCGTCGAGCAGCAGGAGTGCCATGGCGGCCTCCTCCATGACGGGCCCCTTCTGCTGCGGCGCGGCCTGTGGGCTGCTGCTGCGCTGGAAGAAGTGGTACACGCTGTCCTGGGGTGCCGTCCGTTGCCTCTTGCCTGTGACACGGCACCACATAGAGAGTCACTTGCATGAGATTGGCAACAGGGCGGGTCCCACGCACACTTTCACAGAAGGTAAAATAAAGAAATATAAGCAAGGGCGACAACGGTTGACTCACTGCGGCGGGGTGCGGCCTCGTCATCCTCTGAGGGTCTTGTGCTGCCCTCCCTGTGTGCCTCAGGAGTGCTGTGCCTGCTGAGGCCCCTGCTTTTGCTCCTGCTCCTTTTGCCCTCCCCTGCACATGGACACAGGCTTAGTCCTGTGGCCTTGGCCATTAAAGGCTACAAATCGCCCAAGACAAATGCTATCAGTTGTCTTCTGTTGCAGAGGGCATAATGTTGGGCTTGAGTGCAAGAAGCCTCACCAGATTTTCCATTGCTGCTAGGTTTGTGTTCATCATCCTGAGCCGCGCCCACAGCGGCAACGGAGGGCTCGGCTTCCTCGGCAGTGCCATCCCCACTGCCCTGCACCTGTGCAGCCAGGACCCTCGGCTTGTCTCTCATCCATTGACATGATAGATTGCAATTGTCACAAGAACGTTGTTTTAAGCACTACATCGGGCAGCATGGTGTGAACCTTCTTGCTCTCCCTGTCCTGATCCATCTTGATTGCCCCTTCTTTGGGGTCATCCTGCAGCATCTTCCAATATTCTGCAGCACTCTCAGGGATGCCGGCAATCTCCATGTCCTGTGCACAGCCACCAGTGTGGTCAAACTCGCTGACATGGCCTGCTGCAGAACATTTCTGCTGTTGTTGAGAGTACAGTTGAGCAATTTTGCCATGACAATCAAGAAATAGCTGAGTGGCGCGCCTGAGGCTCCTGGGTGTCAGGCGTTTCAAGCTGCTCCGAGCCTGCCACTGTGTGGCCCCACTTCATGGCGATGGTGCTAGGGTGCAGGTGCATGGCTTCTGCCGGCTGCGGGGCGGACATTGCGGTCGATGCGGCCGGCGGCACGAGGCCGGGCGGCGGCTGCGTGGGAGTGGCAGCCTCCAGCCGAGGGGTGGCGGGCCGGCTCTGACCTTGGCCCTCTTCAGACACCATTGCCGGTGTGCTCTCAGCCTGCACACGCACAAGCCTCCATCAGTCCGAGTCTTTGCCCACCAGACCAGCCTTCACGTTCCACTTAAGACAGACAACAATCAAGGGAGACAAATGACTGGTGCAGAGTCTGAATAGTTTGGACATCTCGAGCTGGCAGCCAGACAGGGTGACAGGGGGTTAGGAGCAGATGCGCACCTGAACACTGGAGCCAGGATTGCGCGCGGTGGGGGCGATCTTCATCGAGGGGGGTGGCACTGGCACCCAGCGCGCCTTGGAGGTCACTTCCGGCCTGCTGCTGGGAGTGGCACTAATTGACCTGCTGCTCTGCACCTGGAAGTTGTGCGTCCCTGCAGCAAGGGGAGGACACTCAGCCATTGATCAATGTGCAAGCCGGCAAGCTGGCATAGGACCCCCGAGATTTACACCACAAACGATCCCTCAACGCGTCACTTGAGAAACTAGAGATGTGGGCAAGCTGCGGTTCGCACGGTGGACTGTGCCGCGCTTGGCCCGGCTCTCGATGAGGCCCAGTTCCTGCATGTAGCGCTCCACGGGGCCCTGCAGCGGCCGCTCCGACCCGCGGTTCACGCGGCGCAGTGTCGCGTTCCAGTGGTTCTTCACTGCATTGCACGTGCGCCCTGGCAGCATCTGCACCACACGCACGCACATGGTAATAACGAGATTGCATGCCGAAGAGCCACCGAGGGCTCTGTGGGACGTTGACTCAAAAGTGGCATCGCCCAAAACTTGCTTTTCAAGGGTGCTTTTCTGAGCAGTTTTGGGGCATGCAGGGAAATGCCCACCTTGGCGATGTCTGCCCAGGCATTCCGGTAGATGCGGTGCTGGACAACCAGCATGGCTTCCTCCTCCTCGGTCCAGGAGCCCTTCAGGATGTCTGGCCGCAGCTCATGGTTCCAGCGCTCGCGCAGCTGCTTGCCGATACGCCCCTGGAAGTGCGGCACCAGCTTGGACCACGACCCCTCTCCATATTTGTCGACCAGCCTGAAGACAACAGCAATATGTGACCATCTGGACTGGAGTGTCGGTCTCATGCATTGAAAGATCGGTTCAAGAGAGTCTGACCATGCCATGTGCCTTACCGATCCGCCCCTGATCATCAAAGTATAATCAACGGCATTTTTGGTTCACTACGATGCAGGGATGCACGATTGTCAGAAAAGACCGTGCCTGACAGGGAGGTTTAAGATGGGAGGCATCATAATGAAAATGGAGTCATTGACAGGTCACAGGCCCTGTCTACAGGCGCTTCACAGAACAATGAACCATTCAGAGTCTCGTGAATGTGGCACCTGCCGTTGCTGAGCCAGTAAATCGGCAGATAACCCTACACAACGCAAAACCTGTGCCCACATATCTACGCTCATGGTGGCGTGAGCCTCACTCTTTCAGCTTGGCATCCTCTTCTGTCGTCCAGCCGCCCTTTATTTCCGCAACAGGGTGTTGTCGCCTTCGCCGCCCAGACTTCGTCAGGCCCGAAAGTTTTAAGCTGCTGTCGGGTGAATTGGGCGGAGATCTGTCCCTCTTAGGAGTGCCGGGCTCCGGGTTGTGGGGAGAAGCTGAGCGTGATGGTTCTGCATCAGGAAGAGGCGGCATTGCCGCGTTCACCGGCATATCTGCATTATTGAGACCCGGAGGCTGCGCGTGAGCCATCCTTCCTTAATTTCGCGTCCGGCGCTGTCTAAAGCGACCAGCTCAGGGCGCCCCCGAGTGCCAACGGTGCGATACAACGTCTTGAAAGGTTGCGCAAGACATTCGCGTTTCAGAAGGCCTCTACCGAAAGAAGCGCCCAGAACACGGTTACACTCGAGGTTCCATCAATAATATATCCCTGACCTCGGGGGAAATGCAGGGCAAAATGCTGCCACATGTGGACCTTCTTGGTTCACTTCAGCGATATTGCTTCATTGAGACAACGCAACTCTTCACATTTTGGTGGATCCAAAGGTGAAAGAGGTCATCGACCCGCCGACCTGCCACACTTCGCGTTATCTGCCTTCACTTTGACGAGAACCCAGGATCTGCATCGAACTTGCATTCAGAGATTTAGATGCTTGCTCGCTTCTGATTGCGGAGATGATGTAGAAAAATTGCCTTTATCGTGAGCATCTTCTCCCGGAAGGCAATTTCGCGGCGATGCTCAGAGGACTGACACGTCTGCACCAAGCTTATTGGATCCACGCCAAACAGAATCCGTCTTCTGTGTCAAAGTTTACTACTAGTCACCATCTGACAGGTCGAAATCACCTTGTTTGGAGCACACAATCGAGCACTAGGCACCACTTTGCAGACAACAAACGTGCTCCATTAAGTACTAGCAGTGCTGGCACCACGTTGGGAGGTAGTCTCGCTGACGAAACAGAGGTAATGATGACCCTTGCAATGTCCCTTTTAGCAAGTAGTCTTTCTTGGGGCTCCCTCAGGCCTGCTGTGAGGTCTTTCAACATTGAAGAAACGAATTTCGCATGGGTGATGACCAGGAGTTCATGGGGCCGCCTAAGCTGGTCATCTTTGGAGGGAATGGCTTTGTGGGAAGCCGCGTGTGTGAGGAAGCCCTGAAGACGGGTCTGAGTGTGGTCAGCGTGAACCGCTCAGGACCACCAAAGCAGTCAGCTGACTGGGTGAAAGGCGTCGAGTGGGTCCAGGTGAGTTTGCCACTGCCATGCCAAAATGGCACTGTGTCAACATACTGCATTCTGACGGATATGCCACCATCATCTCGTGCAGGCGGACGTTTTCGATGTCAGCTCGTGGCGGGATCAACTGAAGGGCGCCGTTGGGGTCATCAGTTGCTTGGGCGCTTTTGGGTCAAACGATTTCATGCAGAAGGTGTGTAATGGCTCGTTCTATACCAGAAAAGTCGTGGCGTTCCACAGTCAATTGGGATGCCTTCAGCAGATGCCTGAAAGATGACAAATACAGATCTGTGGAGACTCGAACATCACAGTCTTCAATGAGGCAGCAGATGCTGGCGTTCCACGGGCTGCCTTCATCTCAGTGCACGACTACGGCTTTCCAGGTGAGCCACACAACAGATGCGTCGCTTGGTGCCTGCGTTGCTGCATGGAGCTGCCCGTGCAAGTTTGCGTTGCTTGCGCAGGCGCTGTCTTGCCGGGTTACTTCCAGGGAAAGAAGAGGGCAGAGGAATTGCTGGCCCTGAAGTTCCCACAGGGCGGTGTTGCGCTTCGGCCAGGCTTCATCTATGGGACCAGGAATGTTGGGGGTGTCGGCATCCCCTTGGGAGCCATAGGTAGGCCCTCCCGGCATTCACGATACTCGATACGAGTATACTGATAATGCAAACTCCTGTCATGAAGCAGCCAGAGATGTGATGCCAAATCTACATTGGTACCACCTTTCCCAAGTACATTGCTGCATGGCTGTGCAGGCTACCCGCTCGACAAAGTTCTGGGTGTTCTGCCGACAAAGTCTCTGGCAGGCGTCCCACTGTTGGGAGCAGGTTTTGTGCCTCCAGTCAGCGTAGCTGCTGTGGCAAAAGCAGCAGTCACTGCGGCAACAGACCCATCAGTCGAGGCGGGGATCCTAGATGTGTGGCAGATCAAAGCGTATGAATCCCCTTGAAAACTTTTAGTTGGCATAAAATAAGTGGTCCTCCTGCCAAGTGGTGCTGACATGGTCTTGGGTTCCTGCACGTGACTGGTGCAGTAGCGCTTGAACCAAATTGGTATTGGAATGCTGGATAATATTGTACAAGAGCTCTCAAAGCTGGGTAGCACTTGAGTAGCACTTGAAGGGCCAGTACTCTGCCGATGGACGCTTGTCAACAGTGTAGATGTGTTGAAATTGGTATACAGAGTGATCAAGCGGAGACTGTCTGTAGGTTGAATGCCATTGGTGCACCTAGTGGGTGCAGGCAGCCTCAGCCTGTGGCGGGCTGCCCTCTAAGTTGCCATCTTGGCTGGCAGCAGTGACCTTGTAACAGGGGGCCTCCACTCGTGGTCCTGGCAAATGCAAGCAGTTTGTACAGGGAGCATTCCGAACAGGCCAAGTTGCTGCTGCTTAGGTTTCAACTCAGAAACTTCCCAGCAAGCATGTGTGTGCTGAAGCGGCCGTGCGAATCCAGCAACCTGCAATGTTTATCTTGTATCTGTCTTGAGTCCACTGGAAGGAAGGGGCTGATTTTTTTTTTGTTTATGTAGATTCATGTACAGCTGTAGCCAATCGCAAAGAATGCGCGCTTAGGATGAACTATAGCCGAACTCGAAAGAGAATGAGCTCAGATCAGGAGTGAATTCAAGCTTGAGGAAGGAAGGAAGGAAGATTACATCACTCCAGCCGCCTAAGGGCTGATTGGATGAACTGGCAGCATCCAAATAATCAAAACAATCCATCACAAAATGTGCAACACCAACAATGTCCAACTGCCACATGAATTGCTGCATCGTCACAATGGCTGCACCAAACAGCCCAGGATATCTGTCCCGAACAGATTGCAAGGCAGGGCACTCAAACACAAGGTGGCGCTCATCCCCAATAACCTGCTGGGCACAACGCATGCACAAACGCTGGGGCCGGGGAATCCTTGCCCAGCGGCCCGAGACATTGGGCAGACTATGACAACCCATCCTGAACTTCAACAGTATACGCAAGCAACGGGCACTCAAAGGCTGCTGTAAGAGCTGGCAAGGGTGGCGCACACAAGCTGGCCTAGCAAACCATCTGTGATATGTACACAAGGTGGCATTGCTGGACGGGCAGGTCCTAGGGCAAATGTCAATGTCATCCCAAACCTGCAGTGCTTGCGCATCTAGCAGCTGCATCACAGCATCAACTTCCACAGGAACAAGGGTGTCAAACCGAATAACAAACTCATACCCAATCCGGCGCAAGCCCCGCATGAAGGCCCAAGCCCAATTCTTAACATTACGGGTTATGGCATCCCAACAATCATCAAGGGCCACTTGCCTGTGAAAATTATTTGCAGGCAAGGCAGCCAAATTGTTCCAGAACTTGATAATGCGCCGCCACCACACACAATCAAGGGTCTGCTGATTCAACTCCTTAAGCAAGATGGCACCATGCACAGAGGTGGGGACGCCAGCAATGTCTCTCAGAATTTTCAGGTGAGAGGAGGCCAAGGCAGCCCGGCCCCGCCGGCTGTCGCCACCAGGAAGGCTGCGCAGGCCCCACACCTCACAACCGTAGGAGGCAGTCGGCGGCACACATGCATCATATAGGCGCAACAACAGGCCAGCTGACATGCTGCAATGCAACTTCCCATATTGCTGCCTGAGCTGTGCCCACGCACCCCACATGTTCCTGTGAAGCTTGCCAAAGGTGAGATTAATGCCTTGGGCACCGTCAAAAAGGGCACCCAGGTACTCAAACTGCTGAACCCAATGTAAAGGCGCACCACCACAAAGCCATTGAAAAGGTCCTGGCAAACTTGAAGAGAACACCACAATCTTTGTTTTGTCAACACTGATGACCATTCCCGTTTGTTCACAAAACTCAGCAGCTGCATCAATCAAGCGTTGCAAATGAGCAGGTGTGGTGGCGAGCAAAGCAAAGTCATCGGCATAGCCTAGATCTGGTACACAACTGCCAGGACGCAACTGCGGGCCAACCCCAGGGCACCTCTGCAGCAAGTGCCTGTGCAGGCCATCTGCAAACAAGCCAAACAGCGTTGGGCTAAGGGGGCAACCCTGCTTCAATCCTGTCTCAGAGGGCAAACTAGGACCCTTCCTGCTCCCAATCTTAATGCCAACCGTAGAATTGGCATACAAAGACTGAATGGCAGAGAGCAGGCGGCCATCAATGCCCAGGCGACGCAGACTCTCCCAGAGCAACACCCGATTCACTCTGTCATAAGCACCCTTCAGATCAAGAAAGCAACAATACAAGGGCTGCTTAGCATGGTTTTGCCGGTCGATAAAATGCTGCAAGGTGAATAGCTGGTGGGCCGTAGACAGTTTTGGCCTAAAGCCAGCCTGTGTGGCTGCACGCAATCCAGCCCCCTCTGTGTACTTCAGAATACGAGAATTCAATATGCCAGCATACAAGCGCATGATGGGCTCAGTAACGGCAATGGGTCTATAATTGAGCATGTCAAGCTTGCTGCCTTTCTTGTGCACAGGGGTGATCAGGCTACCATTCACAGAGGGTGGCACTTGCCCAGCCACAAATGCAGAGTTCAGCACAGCCACCAAAGCAGGCGCCAGGACATTTTCCGGAGGAGGCATGCCTGGCGCCCGCTCATCTTTTGCATACCGAAACAGCTCAGCTGGTAAACCTTGCACTCCGGTGGCACGACCATTGTGTAAACTTTTGAGCCCAGCAAGCACCTCCCCAAGAGAGATGGGTGCATTGAGAGCATCAACATGGGCAACAGGAGCACTGGGCTGGACAGGGAAAGACAAGTGGGGCAGCTCAGCAATGAGTGGCAACTGCAAGTTTGCAACCCGCTTGAGATAGCCAGCCCACAATTGCACTGGCTTGAGCTGCTCAGGTATATCAGACTGCTGAGACTTGAGCCGCTTCCAGAAGGCTCGGGGGTCACTGTGCAAATCATCAAGCAGGCGGCGCAGTTGCGCGAGCCGGTGAGCGCGCCGTTTGTGGCGGACGGTGTTGTGGTAGGCACGCTCCAGCGCGCGCACTTCGGCTGGATCGCCCCCGCACCGCGCGCGGGCGCGGACGTCCCGTTTAAGCTGGCGGCACTCCGAATCGAAGAAGGGCGCGTCGGCACGCGCCTTGCGCTGATGGCGCCCGGTGCGGGCCGGCATGCTGTTCGCGGCTGCGGCCTCCCGGATCCCCGCCTCCAGGGTCTGAAAGGCTGCATCAAGTTCCCCAGCCACAGCATGGCCTGTGCAGGCGTCAAGACTTGCACTGGCAACATTGCGCAAAGCAGCAGCATACGCATTCCTAGCACTGGGCTGCCATTTCACTCGTGACAATGGCACCCCAATACATGGTAAGGGAACACTGGCAGCCACATTCACTTGCAACGTCATCTCAATAGGATGATGATCAGAGTCTTTTCTACCAGTGTTCACAACAAGATGAGAAATCAAGGGGAGCGCATCAGCGGAAACGAGAACATGATCAGGTCTAGTTGCCTGAGTATGGGTTCTGGCCTTAAAGGTAGGCACTGCTTCAAGGTCTCCTAGCACTCTGCCAGAGCATATGAGCATGTCAGTTTCCTTGCAAAAATCTAACAGGCGCAGCCCATGAGCATTGACACCTTCATCAGTGCAGCCTCGAGTATTGCTGTCATCAGCGTCAGGCAAATTTGACACACGAGCATTGAAGTCTCCTGCCAGGATCACATTGCCCTGAGCACGAGCGGCAACAACTTCTGCACATAAGCCCGTAAATCGACTGGTCAGGTCCACAGTCTGCAATTGCCGGGAACCCGCTGGAGGCACATAGCTGGAGCCAATCAGCAGCGGTGTAGAGTCCCCGTCAAACTGCACTTTCACCCATAAGGCACTGTCAGTGTCTGACACCCAGTCTTGTGCGTGGTAATCACGGTGCTTCCGAACCGCAACAACAATGCCTTCACCCGCCTTGCCCTCTTCACTAGCAGCCGTGAAAGTCACAGAGTGGTGAGGCAAGATCGAGTCATCCCAGGTCAAGCAACGGGCCTCAGTCAGAAGTACAATATCGAACTGGTCAAGATAGGCTGCCGTGTCCCACAAGGATATTTTGCTAGCATGTAAGCCATTGACATTCCAGGACAATATACGCAGCGATAGGCGGCTGGAGACTTCCTAGCGGCGCACTGCTTCGGCGTAGGAGTCGGCGCGGCCGGGGGAGGAAGGCGCGGCCTGAGAGGGCCCGGCAGTGGCAGCACCCGGGGCGGCAGCGGCGCCCGGCGCGGCAGCCGGGGGAGGCCCAGGCACAGGCATGTGCTCACGCACGCGGTCGCCCTCCCGGACGAAGAGGCGCTCCTCGCGCCAGAAGGGCTGCTTGCCGGCTGTCTTCAGGGCGACATAGTGTGGGCGCATGCTGACGCGGATGCGCTGCTGCTGCGGGGTGAGGTCGGCATCCAGGAAAATCTGGCGCTGGCGCAGGGCTTTGCTGTGCTTGAGGGCAGCGTGCTTGGCTGCCACGCCGCTGAAGCTGATGAGCACGGGGCGCGGCTTGGTGCGCGTGGCGCTGGGGGCACCGAGGCGGCGAGCTTCGCTGACAACAGCAGGGGGGCCGCTGTTGCTGTCAAACAGCGCTGCCACGCGGGCTGAGACATTCTCTGTGTTGTCCTCTGCCAGACCATGGCAGATCAGGTTGGCACTCCTGGCTTGGCGGGCCTGAGACTCCACCACAGACTCCAGATGGTGCACTTTGTTCACCACTGCTTCATCGTTGGAGGCGGCTCTGGTCTGCGTGTCCTTGGCCAGCTCAGCGCGCAGGAGAGGCAGCAGCTCTGCCTTCAGCTCAGCCACCACCTCATCCTTCAGCTCGGTTTTCAGCTCTGCCTTGAGCTCTGCCTTCAGCTGAGGGAAGAGGGCCCCAAATTTCTCGTCCAGCTTACTGTCAAGCTTGCTTTCCAGGCCGTGGATCATAGACTCGACCTTTGCAAGAAGGAGATCGTGGAGGGGCGGCTCCATCTCCTCATCTGACTGCCCTGGGCTGCCCTGCGCTGGGCGCTTCGACTGACTTCTGGTTCCCTGACTCATCGCAGCAAGATCGCAGATCAAGATCGCCCAAGCGACGAGAGATCAGAAGAGATCATGTCTTTATCTATGGGCCCTCACAGCATCAATGAGAGTGAGTTCTTGTTCCAGCTACCAGCAGCTTCCATGGTACTCATGGGAAGCTACACGATTTACGTAACGAACATCTCTTCATCAAGTCGTGCATTATCGGAGAGGATCACATCGGCAGAAGTAGTACAAGAAGGAGCATGGCGTTCACAGCGGTCGTGACTGGAGCCACGGGGTGGGTGCTCTTCTGTTACGGTCCCATCGCTGGATCGCTTTTTCCCAGTCCTGATTTCAGGGAGAACTCTGTCATGTAGAGACATCATCAACGATGTAAACATTGATATTTTCATATATAATGTCCTGCTGCTGCCTGCTCCCTTTCATCTGCAGCATGCGGGCATCTGGAAGTCAATGCTCAGGTTTGTGACGGCACGCGCAGGTTCGTGGCAACGGAAATATGTCGTCAGCTCCTGGAGAAGGGCTACAACGTACGAGGTACTGTGAGGAGTTTAGCCAGCAAGGAGAAGTACAGCCACCTGCAGGCATTGGGGGAAGCGCTTCCTGGTGTCTTGACCCTCCATGAGGTAATATGAGAGAGACAAGGAACATAAAGTCACGAGACAGAGAAGGCAGCTGTTTAGCAAGGTTGTGTGTGGGCAATTGCACAACTGCATTGTGATTTGCAGGCTGATCTGCTCGCTGAAGGCTCATTTGATGATGTTGTCAAAGGGGCAGATTTCGTATTCCATACTGCAAGCCCTTTCATCAGGTAGGCCTCTAATTAAGCACCTGATTTGCACGGCCAAGTGTGCGGACGCTTAAGCACATTAAGAAGGCGGTGCCTTCCCTCTCATGCCTGGAGGTGTTTTGATACAGGGAAGTCCATGACCCCCAGAAGGATCTAGTGGACCCTGCCGTGAAGGGGACCAGAAATGTGGTGCAAGCTGCTGTGAAAAGCAAGGACACAGTGAAGCGCATCGTGGTCACCTCTTCCTTTGCCGGTGTGTTCCGTTGTCACACAGGCTTGTTCAGCTGCCGATTTGTATCACACGAAGATTAACTAACAGTCAAGTTTTCTTCTTGCAGCTGTTGTGAAGTCACAGAAAGGGCCCCAGAACGGGAGTCTCTTCACGGAAGAGGACTGGAATGATGAAAGCTCCTTGGATGATCAGCCATACAGATTCAGCAAGGTATGATCTTCCCAGCTGCATGTGTGCACACTGCTTGTGCAGAAGCATCAATACATCAGCATGGCTGAATTGTGATGATGCTCGTGGGAGCTGTCTGCTGATGCTTGGACTGCATGGAGCAGACTGAAGCGGAGAAGGAAGCTTGGGCCATCTCCAAGCGGGAGGGACTGGATTTAGTCACTATAAACCCTACTTTTGTTCTGGGGCCTGTCGTGAGCAGCCGCACGGATGCAACCTCCATCATACTCTTCAAGGTACAGCTGCTACCATGTCTGAGAAAATCGGTCGTTATAGCCAGATGGGCAGGATCTTGTTTGCAGACAGCAGTCCTACTGGCTGAGTGCTTGTGCTGATATACAATACTGCTGTGGTCATGTTCGCAGGACTTTGTTGAGAACAAGGGCGCAGACATCATCCCTTGGCAGGTAGATGTGCGGGACATTGGCCGAGCTCATGTGCTGGCTGTCGAGGTGAGTTTTTGGTTTGTTGCAGACTTATTTGGCCCGGTCAATTTGTGTGTCGATCTCAGTGCTGCTACATTATTCAGGGTAGCTCACACTGGATGTGGTTCACCACACAGGTGCCCACAGCAAGTGGTCGATACATTGTGTCGCATGACTCGACGCTCTCCACAAAGTACATTTCAGAGGTCTTGTCCGAGCGCTTTCCTCAGTACCAATTCCCCAGTGGCGAGGATGCACCGGCCAAGCAAGTCCTTGACAATAGCAAGGTGCAGAAGGAGCTTGGGTTGCAGCTGTTGCCAGCAAAGTTCACCTACATTGACATGGCCACCACCCTCATCCAGAAGGGCATTGCCAAGCCTGTCGCAAAGTAGGGCAAGCACGTTCAGCAAGCAAAGTTTGTTGAGGTGCCTTGCATGCATGATTCCCCCATATGGGAAGAACATGTACATATTGAAGTAGACTGCACATGCGTACAATCCCCATCTGTGCTGACCACTGCATTGATCTAATGCTTTATGCACCTTGCAAAGAGGTATTCTTGCCAAAAACGCTGAGAGTTCTGATTTTTTTTAATATCAAGAATGGTGTAAATTAAGGATAAGGCCACATGTACATGGTTCAGTGCATTGATATTGCAATGCTTTGCTCAAACACTTTTGCTGTGCGCACTATGCTTTGGCGCTAGTTGCAAGCTGCAATTGTAAGACAATGGCCACCCTTACACATAAAAGCCATATGGATATGACCCACTGCTTGGAATCTTAAATGAATGCTAGATTCAGACGCTTTGTGTTGATGATTCATGCATGCAGACATCGCTGTTGCAATTCTTGATAACTCATCTCATAGCAGGACCACCTTTATCGTGCAGCAATGCTTGAAATACCAGCTCCGATAAACAGTACATTCCCCAATCAACTATAGCTGCATCAGATTGTGCGGCCTGGGACAGGATCCATGCGTTGGAATGCAGGCTTCTTGGCTTTCAGGATGCAGTATGTCAGCCAGTAATTGAAAGCCAGCACACGAGCCTGTGCACGCGCAGTCTTGGCCACAGAGCTGTCCTTGAAACCCAAGCGGTTCAGCACCTGCAGACATCAACATTAAATTGCTCATCTTGCATTGCTGAAACTCACTTTATCCACATGGAACTGTCACACACCCAACATGCAGGTATGAGAACCTTTTTGTTTGGTAGACAAGGAATTAAGCCCATCGCACCTGCTCTCCTTTTAGGATGTCACCAGCACCATCAGCGCTGACAGGCTCAAAGTCCAAGCCCGGGAACTCGTTGTCACAGAGGCCCTCAAATGCATGCTTGATGAGCGACACTGAAGGGATCCAGCGCAGAGCGCGAGGCACATTCCCAGCGTTCACGTAGTAGCCTCCAAACTGCAGAGCAACCAAATTTTCTGTCAAAGTGATGAATCACCCCATGTTCAGGATCTGGATCAGCCTGACAACTTCCTGTTAATGCTCTTCCAGAGTCACATGTGTGTGTGGGGCCTTACCACTATGAACAGAACCATGATGCCTGGCCCTATCGCCAGCGCTGCATCGGTGGAGGGCGCGAAGGAGCCGACAGCCAGCCCAAGGGAAGTGGCCGTGAAGGACTCCAGGGTCAGGATCCCGCAGAACCTGGCAAACCTGCGCACAATGTGCGCATGCTCTCACAGTGAAAATATGATCCAACAAGGTGCCTCCCAATGGCTGGGGAATTGAGATCTACAGGGCAGGACTGTAATGGGACAGAGCGTGCCTGGACAGCTTGGGGTGCAGGCCGGCGGAGGGGTAGACGATGGCAGCGAAGAGCAGGGGGAATCTGCATAACAGCACGCAAGACAGTTCAGCGACACAAGGGCAACGATAGCGCTGATGTCATCAGTTGGTGCTGCCAAGGCCCCGTCTGGCACTTCAGTCGGCCGCCAAGGGAAGAGGCTTACAGCCCAGAACACAGCCTGTAAAACATACGGGAATGGTAAGATTGTCCCAAAGAAGGGGGCCCAAGTCAGTGTTTCTTACATGGCGCCGATGGGGGACTCGGCGGCCAGCTTGGCGGCAAAGTAGGGGGCTGTGGCGTAGCTGCCCTTGGCGCGCTCGCGCTGCACCAGGACACGCTCCTTGGGGAACACGTTCAGCGTCTTGATCAGCGACGACATCGCCGCATTTATGGCGCCCACCTGCGCGCACCAGCCGCCTGTGAGGGTGCGTGCATGAGCGGGCATGCAGCTGCCAAGTACCGCTTGACGTGCCGCAACTGAGTCACTAGCAATCTCTTTGATGCCCTTGCAAGGCACTGGTTATCACCAGGAAGGATGCTGAAATGTGATGTGCAACGACGCCACCATGCCGCTGGTAACATGCTTGGCTGCATGAGCTGCCAGGAGTGACAGCCCATGTCAAGGCTGCTGGGGGCAGGGGAGCACCTGCATGAGGCCCATCCTGTCCTGGATGGAGGTCTGGCTGCGGCCCATACGCCAGAAGATGCCGCCAAAGATGATGGCCGAGGAGACGTTGCTCATCGCGCGCGCCACGTTCGTCGCCTTGTCCCGGCTGATCTGCCGCCTGCAGCCATGTACCAACGCATGCACTCCAGCAAGCATGCTATCTAAGTCCAGGCAAATGTGCTGAGGCAAAGATTCTGCCTCAGATAGCATGAATAATGCGCCGTGTAATTGGAGAAGGTCAATGAAGGCCAGATGCATGAGCACACCATGAACGCTTGAAGAGCAACTTTGCCTGCTGCGGCCAGCTGCAAGGAGATGCATCATCGGAGGATTTTGCGGACGCAACAGGAGCAGACACGACACTGTCTTTTGCACCACCTGAGGGTGCTGAAGCCGCCTTCTGCTTGAAAGCAGCCTTAAGCTTCTCCACACGCTCCCTGTGCCAAAGACTCAGGCCTCACAAACAACATGGGCTTGCTGGCGGTGCAAAACACAAACCTGGTGTATGCTTGTTCACTCAGTGCTGTAACCCTCACCGAGATGCTTCTTCAGCAGTTGCAGCTGAGGAGTCAATAGAAATGAGATCAGCAATGAATTCTGCAGGATTGTAATTCGCCGGTATTGGGTATCCCTGCATAAACAGCATGCATCCTTGTGACATTTGGAGCATTACCTACGTTGATCAATGGGACATTTGCAGATGCATCGCGAGTTACTGTGCAGCAGTATAAGGGCATGGGGACAGACTATTGATGGGCGCACCAGGGATTCAAAATGGCTGATGACTCCTTTTGCAGGTCCGGAGTACACGATCTGTCCCTCAGAAAGCAGCAGCAGATCGTCAAACATGCTGAAGATTGAAGACCGCGGCTGGTGGATTGAGCACACAACCGTCTTACCCTCATTTGCTAGGTCCTTCAGCGTCTGCATAACCTGTTCAACAGGACAACCCACACTTGGATATACCCGGCAACCCCAGCATTTATGCTCAAACTGTCAAGTAGATTCTCATGATATGTTCACCAGGATTTGCCGGAGCGCTAAAGGAACGTTGACAAGGCAATGTTACCTTCTCGGCTTGGAAGGAATCGAGGCCAGTCGTGGGCTCGTCCAGGAACAGCAGCATGGGGCTGCCCAGCAGCTCAGACCCGATGCTCAAGCGCTTCTTCTCACCTCCAGAGAGGCCGCGCTTCTTTGCATCACCTGTTGCCATTGCGTATCTTTGCTTCAGCTTCCCAATCATAAATGGCCAAGTACCTGAATTGCTTACCTCCATTGAAAACCACCATCGCAGTGGTGGGACTGCGCATTTGTGGAAATGTACCGACAGGAGTGTCAGCCGACTGCACGAGGCCCAAGCGTTGGATGAGATCCGCCACAGCAGCCTCCTTCTCCTCAGCGAGCATGTGCTTGGGGAGACGGAGCGCTGCCGCCATGTTCAGTGTTTCCCTGCAGTGCACACCTCCATGTGAGCATCACTAGCGCTAAGTTGTATTCACAATGTTATGCATGGGAGTTGAGGGACACACCTGACCGTCAGCTGCGAATAGAATAAGTCCTCCTGCTGTACATAAGCCTGCCTGTGGTTGCTGTCTGTCTGCGGGGCTCCATTGACAGTGATGTTGCCCTGCAGTTCCATACCTGTGCAGCATGCCGAATGTCTCAGCCAGAAGGCTTTTTGCATAGGCAATGGGTATATATCATGCCAAGAAGACTCTAGAGTCTTCTGATCTGGTCTGATCTGGTCTGCGTTTGTGTCACCTTTCGTTGATGGGACTTGGCCGGCCAGCGCATTGAGCAGGGAAGTTTTTCCGCCTCCTGAGGGTCCCATGATGGCAAGAAGCCTGCATTTTACCGTACCAACCTTGCACATGGACAAAGTGGCGAGAATATGCACAACTGCTGGGGCCACACGGTACGCAACCTTGAGGAACACTCCGCACCTTCCGGGTTTGGCTTCCCCGCCGATATTCTGCAGGATGGTTTTTGTAACCCCTGTCTTGTTAGTGATGCTGCATCGGACATCCGTGAACCGCAAATCGACATGTTGTCTCGTAGATACACCATCCGTCACAGCGGCATTGGAAGGATCTGGAAGGGATTTTCTGTGCTTGCATCGTCTGCGTCGTATAGAACGCAATATGCTGATCGAAGCGGTGCCAAGCAAGACAGGTATCTGATACTGAGGCAAGGCAATGACTGCAGCTCCAAGGAGAAAGTCCACAGTACCGCTGCCCATGATAGTCTCTATGGCTGCTCACCGATTCATTATATTCAATGCTTTGCACCAGTCGATGTTTTTCAAAGTAGATCAGGCAAGTTTGAGAAGGAGAGGAGAGATAAATGGATCACATGTCACATGCGCTGACATCACGCATGCGCATGACATATCATTTCCACTTTGCAGGAAGTGGGACAAGGTGCTCTCCTTGCGAGCATTCTGCGAGCTATCAACTTTGGACAATCTCCTTTAAATCTATCACTGAATTGGGGGTTTTCCAAAGACTTCACGACGTCAAAATCCAGCGATGGGCATCTAGTCCGGTCTGCATGGGAAACCTGGAATTATTGCTGATCTGAAATGGAGGATGTATCTCTTCCAAGAGGTAAAGAGTGACAATAGGGCCCTCCCTTACATCGCTGATCCTGTTGGTGACTGGAACACTGTGGGTTGTCACACACTGATGTGTCTGTGTAATACAGCGACGGTGGAAAAGATAGTGAAGGAAATACTGCCCAAAGACATCCGACTAGCGACCAACACTCTTGATCTGCTGCTGGATTGTTGTGGAGGTGATCTCAATGCGCGGAAACCTGCCGCATCTGAAATGGGGTGGACCTGCAAAATCCCAGTAATGTTTTCTCAGTCTCTGAAGCATGCATTGTGGGTCACGCAGAGTTCATACAACTGGTGTACTCAGAGGCAAACACTGTGAGCGAGGAGGAGAAGAGGTCCACAATCAATCCTGAACATGTCGTGCGCGCTCTTGACAGCCTAGGTTTCAGCTCGCTCCTGGAAGATGTTAATGTCTTTCTGAAGGAAGTCAAAGACACAGACCAGAAGAGAAGTGAGCTGTCTTGACCAACTGCCAAATGAATGCCACTTCTGACAAGGTTTTCTATGTCCCAAGAGAGACAAAGAAGATGACATCAGCTCATCATGGCTATCGTTGCACGCAGGTCTAAAGCGTCATGACAGTAAGGCAGCGGAGCAGAATAAAATGAGCGAGGAAGAGCAGGTGTGTGGACATTCGGCTTGTGCTCACACAGCTTCTCGACGCTGTATATAAGCGACAAAATTTTGGGCAGTACGTCTTAAGAATAACTGACTTTTTTGGTGCATGGTGCAGATTGCGCTCCAGAAGAAACTCTTTGCAGAAGCACGTGCACGGACTTTGTCCTGTGCTTTGCCAGATGCCGCTGTGAATTCTGAAATGCCAGGCACAGCATGAGGCAGGTCACAAGCATGATGAGTTGTTATGCACGGCCTGCGGCCTCACATGCCTTCAAGTGGAGGGAACATTTGCTGTGATCTTGACCAAGGGTCTCTCTGTTGACCACTGAGAGTTATGACAATGAGGCATGGTGCTTCTGGAGGAAATTGCACTGGACAAGTCAAAGGAATATAACTTGAGTCCACACAGTTGCCGGTGTTTTCATGTGTACACATGTGCCACTGGCAGTAAATCATTTGATGATAGATGATGATAGATGATCTGCAGCATAACGGCTTGTGAGTGCATGCCCTGACTTCGAGATACATTGCTAATATTGACAATGAGGACAGTTCAATTGTAATATTTAATGTCAATGGTTGAACTTATTCATATGATATCTGCCGTGCCCCAGCCTACTAGGCCGCTGCGGCACTCACTGAGTGGCACTTGCACGTGTCACGCACGGTGCGGCAGCCATGGCCAGATCTCAGACATTGCGCAGTGCTGCCGCAGCCGGCAGCCGGCCCAAGTGGACCCTGCTTTGTCTCCACAAGGTGTCTGTGTCTGAGAAGATCTACATGAAGATCTGTCAGAGAAGAAATGGAACTGCTCAATTTGCACGTGCTAGCTGACTGTTCTGACTAACCTTTCCAAACTCTTACGTCATATAACAGAAGCTTCCAAATCGGACCAATGCACATATTCAATCACTGCGTGTGCAAAGTTTTGCAATAAATTTGCACAGAAACTCATTGTTTGATAAGAAAATATGGTTGGCGGCGATACCGCAGCCGCTGTGCCCGAAAACGCGAACGAACGTAAGTGCAGGGATGCTGAAGTTCTTGGCCACGCTCAAGAGAGTTGAAATGACAGAGAACTCGTCTATCTTTACTTGAAATTTCACAACTGGCTCTCGATCACACGACATCTTGTATGAGATCATGCATTGTGTTGGCACTGGTGTTCATCAGTGTGTCTCCACTGTCTTGGCAAGCTCAGACACAAATATGCAAAACGCATACGAATTGAACCTTCGAGCACGACATCGATTAGTCTACATTTTATTTGACATTTCGTGCCTCTTCTGTCACAGATTGCGTGGGAACCCAGAGTGAGCAAGCAGGCAAGGCAGAGTCCTGTGCGGGATGCCCGAATCAGGCTGCATGTGCTTCAGCACCCAAGGGTCCTGACCCCGAGATTCTGGCGATTGAGGAGCGGCTGCGGAATGTGAAGCACAAGATCCTTGTGCTCTCCGGCAAGGGCGGGGTGGGCAAGAGCACCTTTGCAACACAGCTGGCCTTTGCACTGGCTGCGAAGAAGCTCGAGGTGCGCTTAGGAAGTGCCTTGTCCATCATCCACCATCCCTGCATTGTCCAGCACTGCACCAAGAGCTTCAGCCCTCCTTACTTGATGATCGTCGACACAGGTGGGTTTGTTGGACATAGACATCTGTGGGCCGAGCGTGCCCAAGCTGGTGGGCCTGGAAAACGAGGAGATCCATCGGAGCAACCTGGGCTGGTCTCCTGTGTACGTTGAGGACAATCTGGCTGTCATGTCCATCGGCTTCCTGCTGCCAAACCCAGATGATGCAGTCATCTGGAGGGGCCCCCGAAAGAATGGCCTCATAAAGCAATTCCTCAAGGTAACAGGTGCCACACCTGCGTTCAATGATCATTGCCTTGTAAAAGTAATCTGTGCCTGGGATCTCAAGCTATTATTCTCAACGCTGTGCCATGGCAGGATGTGCACTGGGGAGATCTGGATTACCTGGTCGTGGACGCTCCCCCAGGCACCTCAGACGAGCATATTTCCATCGCACAGTTCCTCAAGGGAGCTAACGTGGATGGTGCAGTCATCGTGACAACACCCCAAGAGGTGTCCATCATTGACGTGCGCAAGGAAGTTAACTTCTGCCACAAGGTGCTGCCCATCAATCTATTGTGGCATTTACTTTCTTTCAAAGTGCATCATGTTGTGCCGTATCATCCTGGTTCATTATTTCCACAAAACATGAGAGACACCTTTACCAGTGCTATTGGCATTCCCGATGGCCGCAGAAGGACATGGCCGCCAGCGTGGCTTCGCCACGCCAGCGGCTGTATTTCTGCAGGAGGTGAATGTAAGAATGCAATAGATGCAAGCTTGTGCCTGGTGCATGCAGGTGGGTCTGAAAGTGCTGGGCGTGGTGGAGAACATGTCAGGGCTGCAGCAGTCGGTGGACACCGTGCGCTTCCTCAGCGTCTCTGACGACGCATCACAGAAGCCGGCGGACGTGACAGCGGCGGTACTGGAAGCCCTGCGGCATGTGGCGCCCGATCTGGGCAGTCTCATGGTCCAGTCGGACGTGTTCAGGGCCACCAAGGGCGGCGCAGAGAGCATGGCCACCAACATGGGCGTCCCATTCCTGGGCCGGGTGCCCCTGGACCCAGCCCTCAGCCTGGCAGGCAAGCACGTCTGCATTCCATGTTTCTGCAGGATCTTGAGCCAGGGGCAGCAGTGCATGCTTGCCTGCATGACATGTTGCTGCAGCCCCTTCAGCGAAATGGCCTTGTACAGAACACTTTGTGCTCATTTCAAGGTGGTGGTGCAAAGGCAGTGCAGAAGAGATGTGTGGGTGGGTGCAGGTGAGGAGGGCCGATCTGCCTTTGATGCGGCGGCGGGCGCCATGTCAAGCCGAGCTGCACTCCAAGGCATCATTGACCAGATCGTGACGATCACGGGTGGAGACCTGGACTCTAGTCGCGCCAAAGAGAATGGCGTTGCTGCTCATGCTCCTTGAAGCCTGAGATGGCATGACCTTGGTGTTAAAGTGTCGCACTGATGCAGAACACATGACGTGGTGACAGCAACACAACGCCCATTGAGCCAGAATGGTAGAAGAGAGCATTTGTAGCAGAGACAGTGTGAATGAAGGCCCCTGTGAACCCTGGAGAGATATCTGTCAATAAGTGCTTGTAAGACCCTTAGAGCTGATTTAGGCGGTGGACACCTGCGCCACTTTGATTGATGACCCCTTCGCGGTTTCAACCCATATGCATCTATTTGAAGCAAGTCCTTTGGAAAGATATGATCCCAAAGGCTCATATGATCATTGTCATGTCACAATGTCCACTCCACTAATGAGTAATCAGTCATGACGGTTATCGCATGATGCATATGCATATGGATCTTTGCCAGCCGGCGGAATGATTTGGAACTCATTCATTCCTATTCAAGGTGATGCTGTCCTTGGCCATCAAATTGTCACCCCCTCCACATCTTGTGCTAATGGTCTCTTAGTCTTCAACATTGAGACTACAACAGAGTTAAGACCTTATACTTTGAGTTCAAGCCAGAATATTTGATAGCGCTGCGAGCTGAAAACCAAGGGGGCTCATCACCCACCAACTGACCCCTTCCTCATATGATGGCGAATGAACAAACACTCAAAAAAATACTCCAAGTAAACCAGTACATGCATCAGTGCGTGAGAATGTAGAATGTCAAAGGCTCCGGGCTTCCATTTCTCGGGTATGTTCTTGGTGCATATCAAAGCGCTCAAGCCAAGACATAGGACAACCGCCACCAACAGATATGTTGAAGGCCCAATTTCGCCATCAAGTAGTTCACATGCGCTTGCGACGCCCATTGGAAACGTATAACCTGCATGTGGCGGGCGATTCAGAGAGACAATCTCAGCACTTTGCTATTTGTTGGCATTCCCATGGAGTTGGCATTCCCCTGGAAAGTTTGCAGGATCTGGGCATGAAAAGTGGGCATTTTGGGGTAAGTTGACAAGGCCAGGCTGACCTGCACACATCCCAGCAATGTCCCACACCAGCTCGCGTCGCGGAATGTTCTTTATCCGCCGCAGAATCATTGTTGAGGTGATACAGTACAGGTAATCGCCTAGAAGCGCAATGATGTACAATCTGTAAATGTCCTCTGACAAGACAAACCATGCAATTGCTGCTCCTCGGAACACTGCAAAAGCAACATCACCCTTGTGAGCAGCTTGAGAGTAAGCATTTTGCAGTGTGGCGCACTACGGAAGTAATGACCATGCATCACCCCAATTGGGCCTACAGGATGTCACCTGAAGCTGTGTAGATGGTGAACACATCCAGCTGTCTCCAAAAGTCCCTGGACTCGATGGAGAGCCCCAACCACAGACTGCAGGATAGCGAGAATGGAGCATGGACAATGCCGGAGACATAGAACAAGTCAACTGGCACCCACCCATCCGAGTAAGAATTCTCCTCCCTTGACGCCCCCCACCTGATTGCATACGATGATGCTCAAGCAGATGAAGAGCAAGAAGGCTCTCATCACTCGATGTGAACCAATATTGGCAGACAGGTTGCAAGCAGGTTCTGAAAAGCTGCACTCGCATTGCTCGCGTTGCCCACATGAGGAAACTCACCTCGTTTTGAAATACAGTACATTGACAAGTACAAAAGAGATTATTGTTGTCCAAGCATTGAGTGTTTCATTCGTCAAGTTAAAGAGAGTACGCTTTGCAGCTTCGACATGCGATCCTCCTACGACATCAGAACCTTTAACAGCCCCATTTGCAATGATTGCACCTAAAAATGGAGTACAACCAGTTCGATCAGCAAACAAGGGGCGCACCAAGTAGGTACGAGGAGAGAATGTACTGTTTGTGAAGGTACAGCGGTGCCTTTTCTCTCGACACGAGTAGGCATTCACCATTGGGTAGCATATAGCTGGTCTTCAAGATTCGCTAGGAATGTTTGTCATGTGCACATTTCATTGGGAGATCAGCGACGCCTAGCCTAGGGGAGCTGCAGCTCCCAGCTGGGAGGAAGCTGCTGACCTCATGAGCTGACACCAACTGATTGAGATGGAATATCACGACACAATTGTCTAATTCCTTATACCAGACCCTGTGTTGGATACTAACATCAGTGTGTACTGCACTCCAGCTGGAAGGGGCGCTTAATTCCCATTGCATAGTCACTTGCGCAAATGCCATCCCTCGTTGCAAAGCACTAGCCTCACATTTCTGAGCGATGGATAGGCTGTGCAAATATCCCACTACCTGAAGTCTTCTTTAGTCAAGCAAGATGGTGGGATCCTTGCTGAGACGCATGGGGTTCTCCAGACCCAGTCCAAGTTCCAATGACTACGAAGCCCTCCTAACAGAACAGGTCCCAACTTACCGTGAGATTGACGAGGAAAGCTCGTACGGGAATCTGATGGCCCTGCACAGCGCCCATAGCAGAGCCAAGAGATCCTGGCTTATTCTTGATGCCACTGGCAAAATCAGCCAGCGCAGGGTGAGATCATCGACAGGAATTCCGAATTCATGCTTGCAAACGACACATGCACAAGCACATTTGCAAGTTCATTGTGATCCAGCTCAATGGCGTCCTGAATTGGCATGTGGACAGGTGGACAAGCATGAGCTGTGCATGCGCCTGTCTCTTCCTGTGCGAGACCTGCGGATCCTGGACCCTGCTGTGATGACGTCCCAGTCGCCATCCTCCATCTTCATCCGAGACAACGCAATCATATTCAACATTGAGAGCCTGAGGATGCTCATTCAAAAGGATGAGGTACCGACAGCACCAAGATTTCATGCAGTTGCATATATCTGAAGACGAATTTGCATTTGGGGGCATGACCCTTGATTGTGATGTCGCCAGGTGATACTGCTGAGCTCGCCTGTGGCTGGACAGTCGCTGACTGCATCCACATCCCCAACGCCCAACGATACCTTTGTTCAAGAGCTGGCCTCCTTGCTGGACCCAGTTGAGGCAGCCATTGCCCACCACAGCTCCAGGGTGGAGACATTCCTGCCCTATGAGCTCAGGGCTCTTGAGCACGGCCTAGCGACCGCTGTGAGATCCTGGGAGGTGGAGACTCTGGCGCTCGAGAAGCGGACGTTTCCAATTGTGAAGTCGCTCTTGAACAAGGTGTGCATTTTGTACCTGCCCTGCTCCACTTGTTGGCATTTGTTATATTTGTGGCCATGTGTAATGCGTACCTTCATCTGATCTGTGCTGTGCATTGCAGCTGTCAAGGCACGAGCTGGGAAAGTTGAGGAGCTGCAAGGTTGCCATTCGCAAGATGCAGGGCCGATTGGTCATTGTCCGGAAGGTACATCTGTCGTTCTCAACATTCTGCAGAGCAGCTGACATGCGTCAATTTACCGAAGAAAGCTGAGCCACAGATCAGACGGCCTGCAAGTAGCCTTCTATGTGGCATGGCAGGCTCTGCAGGACATATTGGATGATGACGAGGACATTGCTGCCATGTACCTGGGCCGCAAGGCTGCGGCAAGGGAAGCTGCAGCCGCGCGCTCTGACACTGGCGGGGATGCGACCCAGAATGCATCCCAAGATGATGAGCTGCTGGTGGCAGAAGCTCTGGTGCATTCCTGTTGGCCCGATACACCACCTTTCCTGCTTCCGAAATGAGGTTGTTCGATGCTCAAAATTGCTAATATTTTCAAGTTCGACTGTGCAGAGTGAGGAACCTGCGCAGCGCCAGGGACAAGGGCCGCAGCAGCGTGTTGCCATAGCTTCTGATCGCACAGTGTCAGCCCCACCGCCATCTTTTGGGACTCAGGTACCCTCAAACGCAGCAAAGCCCACCCAATATCACAGTGTGCTATCTGAATTCAGATACACCAGAATATGTGCGATGCCTCTGATGGTGCTGCACAGGAATCGCTACCAACAGAGCTGTCTAGTGCACCATCAGCCCCAGCTTCCCAGTACCCCTCTCGTGAGCAGGTGAGGATTCTCAGCACAAGTAACTCCCCCCCCGTGGGAAATTGCTACTCTTCCTTGCTGGCATACATCGACCTCAGTAACGGCGCTGGCTGCCAATTTCGTTCAGAAGAGAAGGAGAATTTTATTCTTTGTGTGATGCAGGCTGACCACAAGAAGACAGGCAGAGCGCTGTGGGCCCAGATATCCAACATGAAGCTGGCACAGAGGCTGATCAATGCCTTGCAAGATGAAGACCTCACGGATATCTCTGCCTGCGAGAATTTGCTAGAATCGTACTTCGCTCAGGCATGCCCCTTTTCATGTCCTTCACTCTCTGCCCCTGTGTGCAAGACAAGTTTTTTGGGGCCCTGTGCACTCGTTCACTCTAGCATTTTGGCTGCAGGTGGATTTCTTGATCAACCGGCTTAGCGCGCTGGAGGAGCACATGAGAAGTGCAGAGGACCAATTGGCGCTGGAGCTTGATCACAGGTGGCCATGATCTCTGTTAGGCATCACATGCAATATTTTTGTGGGTCAAGAGCAATTCTGAAGCTCTGCATTTCGATGATGTCCTGCATTGTGTGTGCTGCAGGCGCAATGAGCTGGTTGCCCTGGATCTGTTCCTCACAGCTGTCGCCACCGTCTTTGCATTTGTCTCTATGGTCGGTGAGTGACACAATCCTAAGCAGCACTCCCACCCGCTGCTTCAAGCCTTGGAATTTCAGTATCCCTTCACTTTGATGCTGACCAGCATCGTCTGATGAATGAGGTCTGCCGTTGCAGGAGGGCTCTTTGGCATGAATTCACCTCTGCCAACCTGGTTCCAGCAGTCCATGGTGCGTTTGCACTCCCTCACCCTCACCCATGCAGGTTTCATCTTGTGCTGGGTATCACGCGCACACAATCACAGATCAGGTTGTGAAAGTCTTACTGCTGATGCCAATGCAGGCTGCTTTCCCATTGACATGCTTGGTGACATGCATCATTGGTTTGTTGTCTTTCATTGGTGCGTCATCGCCTCTCCTCTCACTCCTGAACTCTTCCAAAGGAGTTGCAAATGCCACAAAATTTTGCATGTCTTTGTATATTTGCAGTTGTTTATGCTCTGCAACAGAAGATATTCAGGCAACAAAGTGCATGATATGACAGGCTTTGTGATCTATGCCCGCTGGAAGCGACTGCTATTCATTCCGGATCTACGCTTGGACCAAGCTGGACAAGTGCGCGAAAGCTAAGCCATTTTATGGTAGCAAGAAATTGCAAGACTCGCAGCAGATGACATGCAGGCCTCCTTTTGCGGGGAGGCCAAGTTATTACATTGATAGCATATATTGAGACGGTCAAGGTTTCTGCACCTTGTCCTCTAACAACGTAAGGAGCGGTCACAATGCTGCCAAGTAGAACACATTGAGACTGAATCAGGCCTGGGCATATGCATACTATGGCTAGTAAGCATACAGAATCGTGTATGGTTGGAGCCACATGCACCTTTATTTAATAAGTCGCATTGATGAGATCAATTTGCAATAATGGTTCCCTAGACTTATTTCAAAGTCATGGACAGGCCTGAAATTTTCAAAAAGCGCTTCCTGAAATCCTAGAAAATCCTCATAGAACGCATGTTTTAAAATTCTGGGACACTTTCTGCTGGATCTTTGCCCGTTATAAGGTTCAGCGGAAATTATAGCTTTGCAGCATTGATCATGCTTCCTCCTATCTAATCTACACTTGCATGACATTCAGGTCGGGAACTCTCAAAGGTAATTCAATGAATTTGAGGCTCCAGATGCAAAACTGATACACTCTGAAGCACCGCTGTAGCGGTGCACATGGCCTTCAAAAAGACAGCGACTGACAATATACACTGGTTTTTTGTCTGACCGGGGTCATATGCGGAACACTCGGATTGTGCGGGACCTGGCTCGGCACAGCGGGCAGCGCACGAGGTTGATGGCACAGTGCTCGCAGACGCACATGTGGCCGCACGCCTGGAACACCGTGTCTGCCTCCCTGTCTATGCACACCGAGCACAGGTCGTGCTCCCGAATCCTCTCCTCGCCATTGACTTCAACTCCTGCCCTGGCAGCTGCATGCCCGTTTGCATGGGCGCCATTCTGCTGCTGCATTATCCTGCGCCTCCGGGCCTCTGCATCCAGCCTCTTCCTGCAAATGCAGGATATCCTCTTTCTGAGTTTGCACATATAACTTGCACATCCATTCATTTGAAAAGGGGTGGCACGGCAGGCACGGCACAATGGAGGCCAAAACTTTATATGGTTCACACACGGAGACTAATTTGCATTTGAGGACATGTCTTCTGTGCCTTTTCTGGATGTGAATTTGTCTATTGTCTTGAGCTCCCTAGCAACCAATTCATTATTCATCATTTCATTTGGGCAGGCCATATCACCTGGACGCACATCGTGGGCAACACATGATACTGGGCGGACAAGGAGGTTTCTCGTGCAGGAGACGCAAATTAGAGCGACCTGAGTTTGCGGCGGTGGAGGAATCTGCAGGCGCCCTGGACGGCCTTGACGGTGACGAGGATGGCTCCCGCGCCAATGAAGCAGTTGGCCACCCACTTGCACACGTGGGACACCCTGTTCAGGGATGCCACAATCTCTGGCAGCTTCTCGTACGACAGGATGAACGGCCCACCGTCCTTGGGCGCCTGTGCCATGGGAAAACGACAGATCACAAGCCTGACAGCCCTGACAGGCCAAAAGAGCTATGCAAGATTGCAGCTGTTGTTGCAAATGCACATACTACTCTTTTGCATGCCATCCAGACCAAGGTTATAGACAGTCCTGGCCTCTCTTTGGCCCTAGCATGCTCTAATTGTTGCTTGGCTTGGCTTCAATTTTAATAAATGAGCCAGGCCAGGCCATATCACCTGCACCTTTGTTTCCCACATCTGTCTGACAACGTCCATAGACCACAGTTTGCTGCACACATTATCTGGGCAGGCTACAATTAATTGCTCTTCAGAACCAGCAAAGCAGATATTCTGGGAGGGGGAGGGGCCTTGCGCGCGCTGACCTGGAGGACTAGGACGGAGCCGCCGGAGCCGAGGGGGATGGCGCCCTTGCAGGCGGCGCCGTCAGCAGAGGAGGCAGCAAGCTCTCCGATGGCGGTGATGGTGGCGCCGACTGGCAGGATGTGCTCCTTGTGGCGCTGCCCCAGCACTCGCCAGCCCATCAGGTGGTCGATTGCCCGCTGCGACACGCTCTTCTCCGCCGGCGTGAACAGGTCCCCTGCACTCTCCCCACATCCCCACCTCAATGAGCCCCTCACGGGCTCCCATGTTATCCATTTCAAACGTTCCAGGGCTGCTAGAACCAGGAACGCCAATCTGCAGACATGAACCAGCACATGAAAAGAAATCTCGTTGCCAAAGATGGCGCTGCTCCCTCTCCTCTGCAAGAATTTGCACATGACGCACCCATGAAGGCCCAGAGGCTGACTGAGCGAGCAGCACTCAAAATCCGCCCTGTATGTGTCCATGTTGGGTGCGCTAGCCACTGCTGATCAGAGCTCTATGCTAATGAGAATGGATTGCTGCGCTTGTTCTTATGATCTGTGCTCTAGATGACCCATAGCAGCTCATAAAGACAACCTGGGAAGTCCTCTGCATGGGAGTGGGGGTGGATCACACCGGCCAGTTCCAGGTGGAGTCGGCGCGCCAGGCGGCTCTGAACGACGGGCAGGCGCGCATGGGAAGCATCTTCAAGGCACCAGGGCGACTCCCGCCACGTCTGCCGCACGACATGCTGGTCACGCACCCACTCCCCGCTGTTTATCTGCCGCAAGAACTGCTGCTCCTCCTTCACCTGTCCCAACATGAACGTGGTTTTTTTAAGTTTCCTAAGAATTCAGATAAGAAACCAGATCTGAGACATACTACTCTGAGCACGATCTCAAGGGCTTCCGCCAGTCACAGTTCGTTACAGAGTGACTGGCCCTTTTCCTGCCATGAAGCGTCAGCAAGGCAAACAAAGTGAAACGCTCTGGTAGTGCCCAAACCTCTGCGATGGCAGCGGTTCTGCCGGTCAACTCGCATTTTAGTGGGGCCTCGGTCCATACTTTCCCGCTGACAGCTACTAGAACGGGCACTTGCTTCGCCTTGCCTTTCAGATCTGCTGGTTAGCATGACAGGCTTGGATCGAATGGACACCACAAGTAAAGCCAAATTAATGTCTCTGATCATTCACCTTGGAGCCATAGCAAGCACGTATATCTGTGATGCACGACGAGCAGATGCTTGCCTGAGATCCTGTCAATCTTTTCGACAGTCTCCAATTGGGCTGCTTCCCTTCCCTTTCTCCAAGCTAACAAATGTATGGCGCCTCCAACAAGAGAACTAGCAACGCCACACCAAGATACGAAGTGGGTCCCGTCAGCCATCAAGCATGCCCTGAGACTTGCCCTGTGCTTCAGACATCGTAGGCCATGAACTGCAGGTCCGATGTTGACAACATAGTAACACAAACCACAATTTTCGGGTTGATGTCCTTTCTGTACATAACATGTGTTACCAGGACCAGATTCCTTTGGCCATGAAGACCAATGGCTGACTCACCGCAAGCCTTTAGAGGGAGGATAGATTAATCTGGACCCGTTTACAACCCGTTTACATCTTAGGGGCACAGCGCTTCCAAGGCGCTTCCAAGGACCTTGGTACTTTTTCGAGAGTGAGCATGCAAGTATGAACTGATTAAGAGGAAGATGGGGTGCGCACTTTTATGTTTTCTAGTAATGTAGCAAACTAAGGCCTGCCTTGAGGCATGCGCATGCAACTATCCAGCGTGCACATGACTCGCAGTCACGTGAGAGATAGTCACGTGAGAGCTTGCTTGCATCAGATATGAACAACATAGTTTGCGAATTCGAATTTCTTTCAAAAGTACTGGGTCAACAACCTAAAGATCTCGATCGGTTCTTCAGTATCTCGGGCACTCAGCTGGCCATACATGGCAAATCAAGACCTCGAGCACTCAATCAACATAATATAATCTCAGAAGGCCATGTGCATCAAGCATACTCCACATCATGGAGCAGTATACAATGCCACCAGGCCCGCTCGCAGTCACTTTCAGTCGTCGAATCACACACGTTGTCAGCCCTGTACTTTCAACTTCAGGGACCAGTGACACCACCACGAGTAATGGCTCACACTGCGGCTCAGAAGCAGCCGTCAACGCCGCAGACAGCATATTCCACATCGTCACGCGTGACCGGGACCGCCCAGCGGCCGAGGTGCGCAGTGAAGTTGGTGCAGCGCACGACGCCGTGGCTGAGGCCGTCCCCTTGGGCCACGTCGGGGAAATCGATGATGGTGACGCTGCCGCCGCCGGTGCGGAAGAGGGAGAGATTGGACGGGCCCAGGCCCAGGCAGTGGCAGAGCATGGCGGAGATAAGCGGCGAGTGAGTAACCACGGCCACTGTCTTGCCGCCGCCCCTGTGGCAGTGCTCCTGCAGCTGCGCCCACGCGTCCGCGCTGCGCTGCCAGAACGCCCCCAGCTGCTCCGCCGCCCCCACCACATCCACTCCCACCTGCATGCAATACTAGTAAATCAGCCACACCTGCATATGTGGCTGCAGATGCGAGCAATCTAGCCTCCACTGAGGACGGTGCACTGCTCCCCCCCATGCAGGGTGGTGCCATGGGGTCAGCAGCCCACCTCAGAGGCATTCCTGCCTTCCAGGCTGCCCCAGTCGCGGTTTCTGAGGCTTCCCAGCGCCTCCACCGACGGGAATGGGAAGCCAGCAAGCGCCTGCAGGTCTGCGATTGTCTGTGCGTTCTCTGTGGCTCGCTCGACTGGGCTGCTGAAGATCGCATCGATCTGCGTGCACGTCACACGAAATGTCAGCATTGCAGCAGGGCACCAGGTAAATAAAAAGCACGTACAGGCTTTCCCCCATACTAATTACCCATTGTTGAAGGTAGGCCCACCTGGATATCCATGAGGAGCTCGGCAGCTTTCTGGCCCTGGACTCTGCCCAAGGTGCTGAGGGGGTCGTTGCGCGTCCCCAGCAACGTTCCCTCCTTGAAGCCCTCCGCCACCCCCACCCTCACAAGGACGAGGCGGCCATTGCCCGGCTTGGCAGCTCCAAAAGGGGAGCCTGGCGCCTGCATGGAAGTCATCACTCTGGAGCTCACAGCTCTGCTATATGCTCTACACAGGGTTTGTGAATATGTCATGTTTGCTGCGCACTCAGCATATTCGTGCAAAGTGCGCCTGCCTGATTTATGCGGTCGATGACGCGTGTGGGAGGGTTGTCCCCATTTGGCTGGAAGTCAATGACGCTGGTTGCAGCGTTTGTTTGAGTCAGGCGCCTGAAGAAGGTCGGCGGCAGTCCCAGGGCAGTGTTCAGCAGTGCCTGATTGACGGCATTGTGAGCCACGACCAGTGCGCTCCTGACATCGTCCACCCCAAGAATCTGCTGCCATGCCAAAGATGCGCGGTACCAGAGCTCCCTGCAGATAGAACCGAGGAGTCAACTGCCGTGCAGGAAGAGAGTGAAGGGTTGCAGAGCTATAGTGAAAGCACATGCAGGAGAGTCTGTGCCCTTGTGGGACACCATTGGTGCGGTACAGGAAGTCTTGAGTAGAAAGAAGACAAGAGATATACCTGACAGGAGCTTGGCCGTTGATCATAAACTCTGCTGCATCTTTCTGCCATTGTTTGTACTGATCACCATATCTGGCTTTGCCTTCATGCTTCAATAGCCCCTGTGACAGGTATGGCCTTTCAGTGTTTCCGGTAGATGGATCAGCAGTGGCAAGTTTTGGTCAAGAGCGCTGTGCATGCTACAGGTGCAGCCTTCAAAGGAATGTGAGACAAGGACAGAGATACAGCGCCCCTACCTGAAACGAGTATAGATCGATCTCCCGAAGAGAAGGCAGAACCGCAACAGGCCCCTTGCGGCTGCCCCAAATGATCTGCGCAGTCTGATCTGCACGTTGTAGGGGACTGTGGAAGAGCATATCAAAGGTGTCGTCTTTCAACTGCGAGCAAATGTATTTTGGTGCTCACCAAAATTTCTTTATTCACTCCTCATCTCTGGCTAGACTGCAGGAAAGGTTAGCCAAAAAATCTGCAAAGCCATGTCAGACTGTGGGCTTGCACCCTGAAGTTCTGCGCATCGCACCATCTGTTGTGTTGTCTCGGCTTGTGATTCCCCCTTTTTGGTAAGCACGGATATGTCGGAGCTACCCTGAATGCGGCCTTCTGCATTCCATGTACTTTGCCCGTGTCTTACCAAGATGACCCTCTTTGCCTCCTTGATGGGGGGTAAGGGAATCGGTGACGAGTCCAGTCTGTCATTCAAATCAGTGAACTGGTCCACCTCTGCCCAACAGTACTCCTGCTTTCGTACATCTGTCTCGACGATTGCTGCAGAGCACATGGGCCTGCCGGCTTTCCCAACGAATTTCTTCGGTTTCAATGCTGGAGAGTTTCTATATGATGGACACGTGATGATACATGGACAATAAGATCGGCCATGATGAACTATGCTTTGTAGCTTGACAGACGCTGTAGCCATGTTTATACTTCAGCTTTCATGAAACTGATCAGTGATGATATACCTGCTACGACTTAGATCCCTCTGTTACTTATCCGATGACATCAACAGCATGTCGCCTTTACAAACGACCAGACATTGACGAACTGATCCTGATAACCCTCAATGGCCAGATTTGGCTCCTGTGAAGGCAGCATGCATGATCCTCCCTGCCAACAGGAGGCATCATGCATGCACAATACTTAGCAAGGTGTTCGACTTCGTTCGACAGTGTTCATTGTTCTGCAATACAACAAACAGTTTCAAAGCATTCTTATGACTAGACTTTGCTGCAGTTTTGGTTGCGGCCCACAACTTGTTCAACACCATCATGATGATCATCCGGTCACCGACGGTCCCACTCTTTCAAAGTAAGTTACTAGTTGAAAGGTCTGTGCTAAGTACCCTTGCCACCAGTCCCGCAGCTCTGTGCATAGTGGGTGGGCCACAGGTCCCCCCAGCGCGCCTTCCTGGCCAGTCTGTACCCTGCCGGGCCTAGCCACGTCCGCTTGTCTGAGCTGGCAACCACCTGCCGCACAAGGGCGCCCTCCCCTCCAAGGCGCCTGGGTATATCCTGCTTCCGGCCTCCCACCCTGTCTCCCTGTTGCGGACTGCCGCCGAGCCACCTCTGATTCAGCTCCTTCCTCTGGTGGAGGGGCATCGAGGCGGTGGCCGTGCACACGTCGAAGATGATGTGCTTGCTGCGCTTGCGAGGGTTGCGGATGATGCGGCCCCACGACCAGCTGTCAGCTGCCGCAACAGCCGCCACCTCACTGTCCACCTCAAACTCATCCTCTCCATCACCATCAGACCCATCTGCTTCTTCATTTACTGCCTGTGGCTCTGCCTCGAGTGCAGCTTCAATAGCACTATCTGCATGTGCGCTTCGCTGCACGTCCCTTGAATGAATTGCGCTGCTACCTTCTCCTTCTTCATCTTCAAGGGCCTCGATGATGCTCTCACTGCCCTCTGCCAGTACATCAGGCTCATCTATGGCTTCCCCTTCCGTTAGCATATCGTCTGACAAGGACTCCAAGGCATCCTCATCATCTTCATCCTCCCCAGCCTGCATCGATTGCCTGATGAGCAACTCAGTGGTCTCCTCCACAGACGGGCCCTCCTCATTGGCAGCTTCCTCCTTGGCTTGCAACCCTGCACGCCCCCAGCGACCCAATGTCAATGAAAATACAGTGTGACTTGCGAACAATGTGCATCATGTGGGGTGTGGGATTCCCGGGGAGAACGCACAGACATACCAGGCAGTGCGAGCGCCAAGAAAGGAGGAAGGAGGAATGAAAACCAGCAGGCACAAGCAGCCTCACCGTCCAGGACCTCCTGCAGCTGGGCTGCCTGGCGCATCTTGCTCTCGCTCTTGCGCCAAGAGTTGGGCGACGGCAGGTAAGGGGAATGGCTCTCCAGCTCTGCAGCGTCCTGACGGTGGCGAGAGATGCTGAGCGGACTGCCCATCTCCGGTCTGGGCTCCTTTCTGATCACTACGTAGGAGTACCGCTCGTCCTGCAAGGCACCAGTTGGGCCAGCGATGTAAGATTGTAAAGTACAGGGACACTTTTTGTAATTTCTGAGGACTAGTCTGAAGGATAATGCCAAGTTCTATTGTCACAGAGCGTATTCAATGACCCACTGCAAAATTCAGACTTCATAATCATGCGGGGTTGCTTCAGTATTTCAGCAGCGAGCCAAAGTGACCCCATAGTACCTGATATGTGCGTGCCAGGCCACCATCTGGGCGGATTTTGGTGACGCGCTGCAATCCGCTCCTCTCGAAGCGTTGCGTAAAATGACACCAGCTCTTCGTTCCTTCCATGGGGCAGACGCCATCATGAGGGCATGGGGCCACCACATGCGCCCCCATCTTGCCACCCTCCTCTTGCAGGCTTGCTTCCAGAACCTTGAACACACGATCACGCAGCCATTTAGTATTCTTGCCACTTTTGTACAGGTAAAACTTTTGGATTCTCAGGATTTTCAAATGGGACAACGCCGTCAGCAGTGTTCTTGGGACCCATATAACAGCAATCTTCAGGAGCACAAATGAGGTGCGTTCTGGTGGGAAAAAAGCACCTGGGTCCTGGCCGCCATAATGTTTGCATATCCAGTCGGCGTGCCCGGCTCCACCAAAATCATAAGGTGCTTTGTGCTGGCCCACAGCGCGTCAACAGTACTCTGCCGCTCCTCTTCTGAGTCAAGCTCCCCGATGACATATGCGCCTGTTACCATGTCATACTGCCGCCCCCCCCCAGATGGCCTGAAGTTGCCAGTCAATGCTCCTCCAGGTCTGTCCTTGTAATGCCAAATACCACAGGGAAATTGCACTCAACACTGCATTGTAAAACCAACAAGAGATGTTGATGCCTTGGTGGGCGACCTGATTGGTACCTGGTCTTGCCGCAAGATCCTCGGCCCGGTCGTTTTTTAGAGTGCCCCGGCAGCCCATAAACCCATCTGACCTGCCCTCGCTGGGAATGCTGTGCAGGCTCCTCAAGGCTGCTCTGGCGGGCAGCTTGGATGCTCTGCCCGAAGGCAGCCATGGCAGGCGATGCCTCCACAGCCAGAACGTCATGGAGTGACCCATCCCAGACCTGGAGAATAAACACAACATCCTCAGTGGCTGCTCACGGTTTAATCACAGCAGCAGCATCGGCTTGAAGGCTTCTGCTAGGGCAGGCGCAGACCTCTTGGGCAGCCCACACAGCGGTGCCTGGGCCGCTCCCAAAGTCCAGCATGCTGCGCGGGCGGAAGAGGGGCAGCCGCACACTCAGCTCATCCATGATGTTGTAGATCGCGGCATAGCAGCCTGGCATCCGCGATGCCACATAAGCGATAGCCTGCAGGCAGATCATCTTCATGCTGAGCAAGACAGACAATGTCAGTTTGTGAGTACATGGAGGAGGCAACTCTGTACTATTGAATTGCCAGCTGGGCAGATGCTTGCCTGATTCTGATCATATTGAAGGTGCCCCTCACGCTCGTTTTCATGTGCTGATCTGGAACGATGCGGCTCTGACAGCCCGTCGGTGTCCTGCGGCTGCCCAATCTGGATGGCCTCCTCCAGGCCCAGCGCTCCAGAAGTTTTCAAGAGGCTCTGCACCTTCTGCTGCCAGCTTTCGTGCCCCTTCCTCCTCACCTGACAGATTGCTCATGAGCGTTCATCATGGGCAACCACTCAACAACATTCATGAGCCATTTGTCGCCAACAGCACAACAGAGGCATCTGACTTATTCTTGCAGAAGTACCTTGGCTGATGAAGATGAAGTGTCAAGTCCTTCTGCATCGCTATCGAGGGCTGGCAGGACCTGTACCCCGCCACGGCTGACACTGCGAGAGCGTGACCGCAGTTCATGCAAGAGGGAAGTGCTTCGCTGCCGCAGACCGCCTTTCTTGCCTACTCCAACGCTGTCAGAAATGACTTCCTCCACACTGCTGGGGAACCTCACAACTCCATGGCTGCGGCGGCTCACAGCTGACGCTGCTTCTACTGGCAGCTCTTGAACAATTCCCTGCAGCCACATAATTATAGGTGATGCTGTCTCATGTGCTGCTGGGCATGACCTGCTGTTGCAGAGTAGTAGCTTGTTGACTGTGCAGGAGTTGGAGGGTGCTGGACGTTGGATGTCAATCTGGTCATGTCAGGGGAACGACTCACGAGAGCTGTGATGCCGGCTGTTATGGAACGCAAAGTGACGTGTGATAGCGATTTCGCTAATGTTCCAATCCTCCTTGCCCGATGCCAGATCTCTTGAGGAAATGACATCCAGAAAAGACCTGCTAAGACATGGCTTTGACAGCAATGCTGATTTGCAAACAGTGACTCCCTCAATTGCACTTTGCTTTCTTGTTGGTGCTCCAATGGCCCTTAAAACTGTTGCTCTCACGTGAAGTCCAACTTGAACTGCAGGAGAAAGAAAGAAACCAGCTTCGCAACACTAGGAAGCTGCGCATCAACTTCATCAACCCCCACGAGAAGAGTTCATTCGATCATTCTTGCCCTAGATTGGGGCCCGGACAACTTCTTGGTACGATCCAGACTATATTTCGTTTAAGTGGATTGGACTGCTTTTAAGGCAATGTATGGGAGAGACCTTAAAAAACGCAACTGATGAAACAATCTTGCACACAAACTCTGTCCATAACAATAAACTGACAGATGGCTGGGAAGCTGCAAGATGATTTTATCTCTGATATATCATCACGCCTTCGTGACTTGCCCATCCGCCTACCGAGAAACTTGGGAGATAATCTTATAGGCACTAACAAGGAAAAGTACTTGATCAACTTGCTACAGAAGGATCCTGGTGTCTTTCTGGAGCGCTATGGGAGCGAATTAAGCCAGGATGAAAGGCTGAATTTCCACAGTTTGCGTCTTGATGACTTTGAAATTGACTTCTACCTCAAGCAACTGGAGGGTGAAGACAAGGACAAGCAATGCTTGACCCGAAATCGAAGGGTCGCTCTCATGAATCGCCTAGAAGCACAGGGAGAGTACTTTTCAGAGGTGATTCCAACATGCAGTCGTTTCGCATGTTGCACATATTGAGAACCCCCAACTTTAGCATTTATGAGCTGCATACAAAGCGCACCTTTTCTATGCACAGGAAGCAATGAAGCATAGAGCTCCTGACCTGCACAAGCTGCACATGAGAGACGCGTCATTCAGTGCTGCTTCTGGGCCACTAGAAGAGGGGGACATGTTGAGCAGACTCGAGCGGCAGGTCCTTTACCAAGAAGAGCGCTTAGCAGCTCAGGAGGCCTCCAGGCAGAAGCAGCGGCAGGGATCAGAACAGGAGGAAGAGGAGGAAAGCTCAGAAGAGGATGAGGGCGGTGGCAGGATGGCAGATCAGGGCCAGTCCATGGGATCTCATCAGGAGGAAGCTGATGATCTTGAGCAGCAGGAGGAGGCCAGCAGTGCTGACCATGACAATGACTTTGAAATCTTCCTGAGTGAGATGAAGTCGAGGTTTCTGGCAGGGGGAGACGGCAAGTACATAGACTATGCAGCGGTGGATGCAGACACAAGCCTCGATGAGGACTGGGCGGCCATTGCCAATCAAGACGCCCAAGAGCGCTACTTTGACGCAGACTGACAACACTCCGAACAGCAGTACAAAATTCTTGTCATTTACAGATTGCAATCAAGATTAAGGGTTGTAAGTTATGCAAAAATCACATTTGCAGGAAAGAAAGTAGACGGCATCAGAATGATACATAAAGCCAGCCGGCAATTTCATCTCTAACTTACAGCTTTTGTCATGAACAACCATTCAGGATGCAGCTGATGCTGTTCTAGTCATCTCAACAATAACGTCCTTGACGTCCTTGCGTCCTTCTGCTGGTCTAATGAATGGCAATCGGCAGGAGAATGATTTCCCTCCACTTTGGCACTGCAGATCCAGGCCAAGCCTGCGACCAGCAGCTCCGAGTCCGTCATGCCAGCACTGCAGCCAGCTCACAGGACAACCTAGCGATGCAAAAAATCAAACATGCAAAGCCATACAAAGTATTGCCCATGCCTTTCTGAATCGGCAGATTGGAGGGAGAGCTCACCTGTCAAGCCCCTCAATCTTGGCCTCTTGCACGGCTATACCCACATAGTGCTTGACCATGGCCACGATTGAGTCAGCATGGTCGGCGTTCATGTGAGACGCTATGGGTTGTGCAAATCCAGCCACTGGGTCCTGACCAGTCGATAAATACTCTTCAGCAGAAATCTGCAGGAGACAACACAGCTTGGTTATGGCATGCGTCATGCATGGCAGAAAACTACAGTTGAGCCCCCATCATCAGCCAAAGAGAAATGCCACTGCCCAGACAAGCACTGCTTCAAGTCAGCACCTGTTTGATTCGGCCAAACCCGCCCACAAGACGTCCGGTGACAATTGTTTCCATGCGAAACCATGAAAAATCGCCAAAATCAACCCAGAAGGAGCCTGCCATGAAAATGCAGAACATTGATCTCAGCGTTTAATGTCAACAGCAAGGTGCCAAGGGAGTACTTTGCCAACTGCTGTTGCAACGTCCACAGTTTTACCTGGATTCTTCTTCAGGAAGACCTGTTTGGCATCTGCAATGTCGCTATCCTCAAGCAATGACATTGTCCCGGTCAGAGTCACTCGTGCATCTGACATGCCCTGCAGAATGTCAACATCATAAGTTGCAGTAGTAATTGTCAAGCAGCAGAAGCAAAAGCCTTCTCTGCAGCTTAAAGTTGTTGTAAAATCAGCACACCTGATAACCAGGGGCAGTGACGGTCAGTGAGCAGCGAGGATCAGCTTTAATATCCGGTGTGTGGCTGGATAGAGAGCTGAAGGCAAACACTGGTCTGCCTGACTCATCCATGGCGTACTCGACGACTGTTCCCACTGGAAAACCCTTCCAGGCACCAAAGCTGCCGAACGTACACAAGACTCCATGCCTGTGATAGACCCAGAGCAGGTTGTGAGACCCATAGAGACGTCTCCGTTTGAAGACGCAGCAGCATGGCACGACAAGTAACAAACTTGCATGCTGCTTACCTGCCCGTGTCAAGAATCAAACGTGCCTGATCAGCATGCGACAATCTGGCAGCGGTGCGTTGCTGTGCATCAAATGCTTGCCAGTCAATCTCGCTGGTGGATGCTTCAGCGTCCTGCCTCCCTGAATGGTAGCAAAGGCTAGATAAGCTCTCAATCAAGGAATGCACTTGAGATCTGCTCCCATGAGCTGCTTGAGGTTGAAATTTGGGCTGGCTAGAAAGTGTGCTGTTCACACCTGTTTGTATATCTGCCGCTGGTGCTGCCCTGCTTGCAAGGCATCTCCTTCTGCAGGGCTGCTGATGCTTGTGCAGCAGAGGTGACTGCCTGTAAGTACTGATAGTTCTGGCATATAATCGTACCGCAGTCTCCTGTGAGCACTGCCAATTGTCATAAAACCTTCCTATAGGAAGGCATCAAGCACTGTGCAAGCAGTTTTGCTTGTCCGTGCAATTAATTCAGATCCCAGCTTGATATGCAAACAGCAAAAGCTCTTGATTATTTGACACGCAACACACACTAGCTTGCAGCATTACTCATAAAAGGCAAGAGCCTCTGATGGTCAGATGGCCACGTCATGGACTGCCATCTGCAAGCTCACCTTCTGCAGCAGAGTCCGCAGCATGCATTGAGGGAGTGATAGAGACATCTCAGAAATGTGTCACGACTTTACAAGGAAGTCAAAGCTTTGGAAGGAAGAAAGATTTTCCATGAGAAAACCCTTGAAGCCATTTCCGGAACCCTTTGACAGAATGAAATTTTTCGATGGAAGTCTCATATGTGACGACAGCGGAGTCACGTTAATGAGGGAAGTGGTGTCCTCTAGATACCTTGGATCTGCAGTTCCTGCGGACTGAAGGGGAAGGATGGCCAGTGTGCCGCTCGGCATGTTGTTCCCACACATGTGACAACTTGGCTCGAACGTGCGTTTCCATGACCTACACAATAACGTCATTGTAGTTTCTAATCTTGAACCCAATAACTCAATATGCGCATCATTATCCTTCGACCTGTGAGATCTGAAGACTCCAAGGGCCTGTTTACTAGGGCTCTTTTCTTCATGCACGCCAGTATCTTTGGTTAAGAGCGATAAATTGCATCTGGAAAGGACACTTCTAAATCGCAGAAACAGACGATCTTTCTGATGTTGCAGCTCATCAGTGACCCGATGGCTGAATGGGCCATGCTTTTGGACGACATCTTGGGGCTTGTCCTGGAGCAAGTGAAGCCTCAGGATGTTGCGAGCATGCGGAGCGTGTGCAGCGCTTGGCGCGCCAAGACGGATTCCCTGCTGTGCAAGCTGCAATTGAAGCATTCGCAGTACATCCCAGCAGTTGCTGCCCGCTTTCAGGCACGTCTAGCCTCCCTGCTTCCTTTTCTCCATCCACGCAACCCTTTGACCATGCAGGCCTGCCCTGAACGGTTCACCTGATGTGTGCAGGGCCTCACGCATCTCCATCTGTGCTTCCATGCACACCATTCCATCACAGCGCACACGCTGCAGCCGCTGCAGCAGCTGAGGCGCTTGCAGACGCTGGTGCTTGAGAACAAGGCCAGGGCGCAGCCGACCCTGATGGGATTGGGGCACTTGGGCTCCCAGCAGATAGCGCTGGACCAGTTGCACGTCAAAGCCTTCGTTGTGGGCCTGGATTCCGGCATTGACTCGATGAGCGCGCTACGGAGCCTGCACCTCTCCAACTGCATCTTGATGATGGTGCGGGTCTGCACCTCTCACAAGAACTAGAGTGGGCCGCACGTAGGCCCTTGCTTGAACAATTCCCTAGTCTCCTATCTCCATATGTATGTGAATTTGCTGTTGCTACGAGCTCCCCACCCTCTGTATTTTCAGCTGGATTTACATTTGGGCAGGCCATAAGGAGGTTGTCCCCATTTTCTTAGATGCTCCTCTAGATCGGGCGGAGTAAAGACAAGCTTGAGCTAGCCAGCACAGTCCTGTGAGCTCGTTGTATGCTTGCTGCAGTCTCTCAATTTTTTTGGATGTGCTGTGGCAGGCGAAGGGGCAGGGCTTCCCGGTCATGCTGACGGGGCTTCGTCAGTTGGAGCTCCTAGCATGCAAGGGGTGCAGCGGGCTGAGTTCCAGGCCATTCGCGGGCATCGAGTCACTGGTCTCCCTCAAGACCTGCCTGCTCAACTGCAGCCTACGCATGAGCGATGACACCTGCGCAGACATCGCCAGCCTGCGCCAGGTCAGCTCTGCCGCTGTCATTCTCACTACAGATTCTTAAAAATACTAAGTAAATCTGTATGCTGTGGCAGGAGCGCCAAATCTTCGCCTCAACGTAGCCACGTACTGATGTTTTTGGGTGCCTGTCGCTGTCATGGTCACTATGACCACATCAATACTCCCGTGGTGGTGTTCAACTGTGACTTTCAGTGTCACCGTCACACTGTCACTGGAACACTTCCACTATCTGATCGCTGACACATTACCGGCCGCAGGTGCAGACGCTGGGCCTTGCCTGCTCAGCGCTGGAGGGCTGTCTAACGCCGGCATGCATCACCCACGCGGGCCTGCGTTCGCTGTGCGGCATGACGCAGCTGACAGCGCTGGACCTGAGCGGCCACGCGGCCATCTCGGACGCCAGCATGGCAGAGATCGCGCGCCACCTCACCCGCCTCATCGACCTGGACCTTCGCAGGCCGGCATGCGATAATCCAGGCGCGGCTGTCGTCACGGACGCCGGCATCGCCGCGCTCGCCAGCCTTACGCTGCTGGAGAGCGTGCGGCTCAGCCAAGCCCAGGTGGGCGCATGCACCAGGGGTTGTTAGTTCTAGTATTGTTGTATGAATTGTTACGCTTACCTGCTCCGGCCTCATGGCGGATTTGATACTCGGGCAATCACCTTCACTCTGCTTCTAGGGCACATTTGGAGGGATCTTTGAGGGGGGGAGGTGCACTCAGAGACTAGCTTCCGCTCCTTCTGTCTGTATAGTGGAAGGGGATGCTTCAGGTGGGCCGGTGCAGAGGGAGGGGACAATGTGTTGGAATCGGAGACAGGAGAAACACGAAAGGTGGGTGCTGGCGCAGGTGGGCCAGGCCGGGTGTGCAGCGCTGGCGTCGCTCCCGCGGCTGCGCTGCCTGGAGCTGTCTTACTGCGACAGCCTGTCGGACACGCCCGTGTGCGAGCTCACGCGCCTGCGCCACCTCAGCGAGCTCAGCCTGGCCGGCTGCGCGAGCGTCACCGACATCGCCGTCACCGCCCTGGTCCGGGGCATGCCTGAGTTGATGCGCCTCGACCTGAGCGCCTGCCACATGCACGTCGGCGACATCAGTCTCTACGCAATCGCCACCCTCCCCAATCTGCAGGTAGGCCCCATTTCCCTTGTTTTTGTATTCCTCTGGCCGTCAGTAAGAAGCTCAGCCTCTACGATGGGTAAGAAATCTTCAGCATATAAAGCAATGAGGAGCAAAAGACAGATCTGTGTTGGGCAGCTTGTTAGTACCAAAACCCAAAGTGAGTGGCATGCCCATCCTTTTGAGTGCATTGCAGATGCATGGCAGGCGGCTTCACACGGTGGCGTTAGATTTGATTTTGATTTATAATTAGTCATGTGGGTGCCCTGCAGGTGCTCCGCCTGCACAGCTGCGAGCGGGTGTCGGACATGGGCATTGGCGGCCTGTGCTCTGGGGCCGCCGCAGCCGCTCTGACCCACCTGGACGTTCGAGGCTGTGAGCGGATCAGTGATGCGGGGGCGACCTCCATCGGCCGGTGCCTGAAGCAGCTCCAGTACCTCAGCCTGGAGCACTGCCATCTCATTGGAGACAGGTGCGCATGAGCTGCCTGGCAAGCGCGCTCATCAAATTTTGGTATCTATGCAGTCTTCATGGGCGGCTTATTGTGCTGCCAGACAAGCGGCACAAAAGTTTACATATGCAGTTGCTAGGATGAGAATGTCAGCGCACAGTGAGCAGTTGCTGGCAATGAGTGAGTGATTGGTGTGCTTGTAGGTCTTGTGAGATGGCAGGGATGTAGGAGCATGATTGCACTCTGCATCTGCCTGCATGTGCCTGTCCCACTGCATGCCTGCTTCAATACAGTACACCTGTGACTCTTCTTCTCCTTCATTCTGTCTCAGGGGAATCAGGACTCTCTCTGGTCTGCCCCACCTGGAGATCCTGCGTGTGGGCGGCACTGGAGCAACCACGGACTCCTTTGCTCAAGACTTCACGCGGAGAGTGCGGCTGGAGTCACCCAGCAACACTCGCATCTGGTGGATGCTGGACTCTTGAGACAGCAATTTCACAACACCCAGATGTGGATAAGCAGCGGACAGAGGCAAGTCCATTTGCAAGCCAGTACTGCATTGTATGTCTGCAAATGGAGCAGCTTGAAATTTGTGTTTTCTGAGGTTCTTCTTTGCACAAGAGTGAAGTGAGAACTACACAGCTGTTGCAGTGGCGTGCAGGTCTTGCTGGTTGATTGGCCATTTTGTGAGTGGACTGCTCAGCAGCCATCGTTTGCAACCCGATAGATAGAATTGAAGCTTGGAGATATTTGGCCCCATGCAGCACATATGCCCTTTGCAGGATTATATTGGGAAATTGATATCAGATGCATTGCCGATTGTCTTGGATAGCGAATGTGCTATCACCAGAGGCATTCATGTTGTGACTGTGCTGTCTGTAGTTGTGGTAGCTTGTGCAGCACTTGTCACCCAACAAATGATGATGGCGCAAAAATTAGACATGACCTTGTCAGTACTGCTAGCTAGCACATGAATACACTAGTTAGAAGTACCACAACGTTGCTTCAGCTTCCGCATATCAATTCTACTGAAACATGTAACGCTTGTTCAGCCAATGGATCATGAAGGCATTGGATTTTTATGAGCTTCATGAAGCAGATTTTGACTTTGCAGGTGCTGTAATTATTCTCTGAAACTGGCCAGCTGGCCTATGCCGTGGCTCATTGGCAACTTGCCGGTGAAGAAAAGTGTTGCTAATCACTGATTCGGGTCATCACAAGTACTGGGACAAGCGGTGCTAATCCGTTCTGCCCAGGACTCTCAAGGCCCAGGCAATCACCCAAATACTGATGTACAAAGGAGATGCTTCCTGGTGTCCAATCAGCAGGTTCTTTTAGACGGTATGTGGTCCTGCTAATGTCCCAGGAATGGCCCGAGCGCCTGGCTGAGCCATTTGAAATCCTTTTGGCAGCGCAGGATTACAGCACACCTTGTAATGCAGTGACATCGCATGTAAAGAAAGCCGAAGCTGCAATGTTTGGCGATCCGCAGAACAAAGTGAGTGTGAAGGGATGTCCTTTGCATACGGTGCTGTCATTGGACAAACCTGTCGTGTCGAGCAAGGCGTGCCTTAAGGGAGGAGCTTCCGCCATGATGGGAGGCAGCTTCCTCCGCCATGATTCCCGCTCAAAGACAAGCAAGGACAGACAGCCGCCCCCATTAGATCCACTTTCAGTCTTCCAGGTTCAGCTCACCACAAAAGTATCTTCCCATCGCCCTGGCGTCCCAGGGGGTATCCTCAGCGCTCAGCGCTTTCCCGGTCAGGAAGCAGCGGGGATCTTGATTGCCCTGCTGGTGGAGCCTAGCTTCAGCGAAACGGAAGGCATAAGAGTAAGCCCCATTTGCAAAATTAAGTGTCCGTATATGCATTTGGCGACAGATCGCAGCGTCTGCCAGGTTATAGCTTTGGCAACAAGGGTTCAACGTTGAAGTGCTCGCTTCGATCCCTGATGCGAGGATTGTGAAAAGGACGGGGGCGCTTGCGATGCCATTACTTCTTGTTCAAGAATATCACATTCAGATGGCACATATGGCGCTGTTTCTAAGGGGTGTTGTTTCTGCAGGAATCTTTGCACGGCAGGATGGATATTCAGGCTTACAGCGGGAGGGACAACTCCGTTTCGCAACGCCTGGCTCGATCTGGCTCGCTGGACAGGGAACTCGAAGGTGTAGGCTCCGGGTTTGCATTGTTCGCTTGCTCAGTGCTCTTTACATACCTCAGTTACTCAATAGTCCGCCGCATATTATCAAGGCCTTCCTCGACAACGAACGACAGAAGATTTTGGGTAAAGCGTAAGACTTTGTGATACGCGCTGACATGGGGAAAACTGCACAACGTCCAATGCTCTGAAAGTTCCGTATCATTTTTCCTTACAGATCTTCCAGCGATCAGCGCAGAGCCTGCTGGGGACAGCCGTTATCAGGCGTACTATAGGTGACCCCAGAGCCATTCTTTTGCGCATGGAAAGCTGTCTCTGTTCGTTCACAAATTCATGTTGATCCTCCTTTACCTGTTGCGCTTCAGGGTCTCATTCACTTCTGTTTGTTCTGAGATAATTCCTCCGGTTGCAGTTCTGGATTGCTGAACAACCACGCGCCACCGTATGATGCTGCATCGCCGACTGTGTATGATCCGGCAGTCGCCGTAACCGGGTGCGCATCACTGCAAATCTCCCAGATCTCTTTTCAAAGGCAACAGTTTGGGATGCCTGCCATGTCTCAAGCCTGCTGGGTTTGCTTTCTAAAGATGAAGAACGTAAATGCATCAGCCCCACCCGCCCAAGGCTGGATAATGCAGAGCAGATTTGCCAGCATCGTTAGGGAATTGGTGCTCATGATGGGCTCTTTTTATGATCCTGTGCTGCTTTCTGGACAGGTCCTCTCTTCCCTATGTATATGACAACAGTGGCAAAGGATTCTTCGATGCAAGCCTGCAGAATCTGATCAACATGGTCGACACTGTGCGAACTGGTGAGTGTCATTTGCCTCCAGGAATGCGCTGCTTTGCTTGATCAATGAAGTGCACTTGCTTGATGCAAAATAGTCCACCCTTCAGGGCAGAGCATGCCAATGCAGGAAGTGGACTCTTGGTAGATGACCGAAAACCCTTTGCTACCCCGCCATTGTGCTTTGGACCCTGGGACAGCTACCTCACTACATCTCCAACCAAGACGATGTCATTCGTGCCCATTTTCGACAGCCAGGCCTGCATGTGAGCCAAACCACCTGATCCATCCCTTGTATTGATCTGAGAACAACCCAGGCAGATTTCCCATCTGATCGTCAGGCCACATTCCCAATCCAATAGCTGATGCATGAAGCAGGTACTGGCAGCCTGAGAATTGGCACTCAGGTTTGGGTTTAGTCTGACCTGTTGGTGCCCGATTGCAGGGACGACCAGAATGGCGGGAACATCGCTCGCAGTCTGTCATACCCAGAGCTCGCCATCCCAGGGTAGGTTCATCATGGATCCCAGTAAATGACCCTGAACTGCCACCCTGATGCTGACTGCCTAAATTACTTCAAGCACCAGCTCTAGAACATGCCGTGCTGACGCCTGCAAAGTTTTTGCACAGCAGCTGCCTATTAGATCCAAGTGACTGTGGCATCTGTGTGGTCTTTGGAGCACCCAAATAACCAGCACAAGCAGGAGTTCCTGGGTGCTCTCTGCTGGCAACAGTCCAAGGGAACAGTCCATCACGCTGAACGTCTTTGCTGGTTGCACAGGGCCACCCATGCGCGCCTGCACCTCCCCCAAGCTGCATCAGACTCCGGCGCGGGCCCCAGCAGCCGCGCACATGACTCCCCCCCTCCAATGGCCATCCTGCCGGCGGATGATGGCCTCGAGGCACTTGTGGCGCACTACCTGCCTGCAGCACTGGAATCCCACCTTCCGCAGCAGCTGTCAGGCAGCCCTCCCTCTGATGAGACCGCACGTGCGTCACCATGTTCATTCTCTACAAGGCTTGCCGGCTGGCTTCTTTGTCATTGGTTACTTATTCATTGTGTCACCTGCCTGAAACTGTCCCTGCCTGACACTGTCCCTACAGCCGGGCACTTTGCGGGATGTCATTAGCTTAGTCCTGCCAACGATTGGGTTCTTCTTGGTCTGCCCCTGTGTGCCCGAAAGCCCAGGCCTTTGAAATTCTGGACCTTGTAAAACGCCTCCCTATAGTGCTCGCGAAAGGCTTTGCCATTTGGTGTGCACAGGTGATGCTGTGGCAACGGGTGACTCTGATCCCATGGATGTGGATGAAGTCCCGGCAGCGCCTGAGATGCCTGCGAAGCTGCGGCAGCTGGACCCAGCTTTCTTCAGGCTTGGGCCGGACAAGATTTGCGGCAAGCCTCTGAAGGAGGAGGACGCTGAAGCATCCAAGGGCACGCCCCTCAAGAAGAAGGCCCGGAGATCCGAGGACCAGCATGCCACAGCCGCGGATCAGCCTGACATCAAGGACTTTGCAGGAAAGCCTGCAGAACAACTGTCTGGAGAGGAGAAGCCGAAAAGGTACACGGGAACCAACTACCACACCCGGAACAAGAGGTGGCGGGCACTCCTCTCCTTTTCGAGGGGCAGCGCAACGGGTGAGCCTCTTTGTCTCCAGCTGCCTCTCAGCAGATTGCGGCTTGCTGAATGTTAGAAGCACATTTGGTAACACTGGCAGTCAAGCAGCTGGCATGCCGATGAGAAAGCTCATTGGTCAATCCACAGATTGATTTATGCATGTCCGTCAGGTGCTCAGGCGTCTTCCAAAGCTGACCTGCAGCATACTTTTACAGCCTCTGGGCAATGTCATGCCACGCGTCCGGAGTTGGGCACCGTTGCTGTGACGTATCAGCAGCAACGAAGCTGAAGAAGGACGTGTGTTTCTGCAGTGGCGCGTCCGCATCACATAGGCTACTTTGGCAGTGAGCTGGAGGCGGCAGTGGCCTATGACCAGGTAGTTATCATCACTCAAAGCCTGCAGCGAAAGACCAACTTCGACCGCAGCTTCTATGTGGTGAGTAAACTATTCACTTTTGGAATTCTGATTGTGTGCGAGCGCATGGGTGCAGCCTTCTTGCGCAAGCGAGTTTCCATTCACTTTTTGCTGAGAACGGGCAACTCCATTGGATGATCCTTAGGCTGCAACCAGAGGCCATTCTGTCGTTTTGGTTGCATGCAACCTCAAAATACATCTGGTTCTGTCCAGAAGCAGCCCACAACAACCAAATAGAGCAGTACAGTGCTTCATAAGGCAGCGGCCTCCACCTGTACGCTGTCACCATCTTGCAAGTGTGTCTATGCAGAGCAAGGAGGAGCTGAGGGAATGGTGGGGGGACATGACAGACGTGTTAGGACCGCCAGACGAATGGGCAGCCAAGAAGGCCGCCCCAGGCACCAAGAGGACATGCAACAGTGCCTGAGCCACCGACGTTGACTGTGAGGCAGAGGAGAGCAGCGAGGACGAGTCCCCCCGGTACCATGCCGGGGACCACCCAATGGTGGCCACCCGGGGGCCCCGCGCGCGGCTGCAGTGCAGAGCTGCTGCATGCCGCGGGAGTTCTTGGAGGCAGATTAGGTGGAGGAGGATGACTCATGAGCCCCTGCAGCCCGAGGGGCAGCCGCACTGCTGCTCGCATGGGCAGGAAGATCCCTTGCTGGCCTGAGCTGCACACAGAGCATGTCCGCGCAGGTACGTATCCATCAAATTCAGACGACGGCAGGCATCTGCAGTCCCCACCTTTGCACCAGGTGGAGCTGCGTAGATTTCCGCTTGCTTCCATTGCGAGTCTCAAAGGCTGGCTTGATAGAAGGTTCATGCAATCGCTGTTCTGCACTCAGCGACAAAGAAGCCCATAGCAGATGAATGACGGCTGATCAGCAACTCTGCCCAAAGAAGTGGATTTCAGGATCGAGGAAACAGTAATTTTCATAAGGTCCAGAAAACCACCAATGCACGATCTTTGCGTGCCAGACACCTGGCACTGATGTACCACCTTCAGGCAGCTTTGCTGTACCGGAGCGAGTAGGCTTTTCTGCTACCAACCGCATACCTTGAGCGCCCCACATATTGACTGTCTGAGAGTCTTGTTGGGGATAGAAGAATTCATATTACATCGACCCAGCTGCGTCTACATAACACTACCGCAACAAGTCTGCATGCAGGGCCCTTGGGTCACTTAGCACACAGCGTGCAGATGACCTGTAGCTCTGCATGTAGCCCAGGCATCATTCAAATGCCACACAAAGAGGGTGATGAACGAGGTTTGGAGCGCTCCGAAATGTGGGAGGAAGTGGTAACTACTTGTTATGTTGCTGCTCACATGGAAGTGGAGACACAGAGACGCTTTGCAGCTGTATCAGAAGTGTTGGTGGGCCTAGAAAGATGGAGAGAGCTTTTTGCCGCTCAGTATACCATGCGCAGACAAGCACAAGCTGTGTACAACACGTTGACGCTCTTGCTAGCTTTCAATCTGTTCTTCTTCATTCGCTAGCGTAGTAAATACATTGGCAGGAGCGGCATAGGGTTCCCTGTGAGAAATATCACAAGACTTGCATGGTGGGAATGGGCGGAGGATATCTGTTGGGCATTGATTCCATTGAGTGCAAGGCAGGCGCAAAGTTAGATCAGGGAGACCTGAAAAGCATGTTGGGACGCTCACTGAGAGCATTGCAGCCATTCCAATTGTCATTGAGTAGTCGTTGAGATCATTGCATCGTAGCCTTACACAATGGATGGCCAGAAGCGCCAGCTAACATCATGTGGGAGGCGGCTAGATGCCATATCGTCCTCACATCTGGTACAGCTAGCGCATACTGATTGGCTGGCAGTGCAATGCCTTTGCCTGGGCAATGAAATTATATTACTTCAACAAACAATGTTCAATATCCATTTGCATGCATCGGGTGACAGATTTGCAGCAAACGTCACATATACAGAAAGCGAATAGCGCCAAACATTGTGACTTGTCCAGTGCAACCGCAGTAACAGGCTGATCTATGCTGATCCTCTAGAGTGGCGGCCACTATCTGCACCCAGTTCCCGCTGGTCCAATTGTAGCAGGCAAAATTGCTCCATTGCAAGAAACAGCCACTGAGAATGCAATCTCACCACCGGGCCGTCTTGGCGGCGTGGCGGCTGATATCAATGAATGCATTGGTGGGGCTTCGTGACTTGCATGTCTTATTTTCATGGGCTTGTCCCAGGGGGTTTTGGCTGATGCGAACGTTGCGCTTTGCCGCGGCCGCCGCCGTGCGGGTGATCCACCGGGTTCATCGCCATCTCACGCATCTGTGACGGCAAATAACACTAGATCAGGCAGGCTTTACCTCCAACAAGTGATTGTTCAGGTCATTGTGCCGTGCTAATTGTTAAAACAGCAGCCACGACACCACACCACAGCAATGTCTCTGCTGTACAGCTGCCTGGCTGCCTGCTGATTCTGATCATCTATCATTCCTCAGGCTAATCCGCACTTAAAAATATATTAGCCACTGATGGCTCAGGTGAAGGACTTGACCAGCGACACTTTTAGAAATAGTATAGGTATACTGGCACCGGCCTGTGGCGTGGCATGCGCGCCAAAGCAGGCCCTACCCCTCAAGCCTAAACATAAGGGTCAAATAGTGGGACCTTCTTCAAGCTCCCCGTGTCTCGAAATTCCCCAGATTCCCTTTTTTTCCATGTAAGAATCTTGTGCAAGCACGTGCCAGCACATGTGCACATGATGTCGGTTTCAGCTCTGAATCGAGGGCTGAAGTCTGGCACTGTGGCACTCTCTTGATTACAGCAAGACATATCATACCACCGTCTTCACAAAATACTCTGATTCAGCATCTGTCGTAAATGCTACTTGAACCTTGCAGCACCCATGCTAGTTCAGGGACGATGAAATTTATAGTGACTGGATTTAAAGAATTCTCGGGCGTGGAAGAAAATCCAACGGAATACATTGTCAATAATCTACAAGACTATCTCAGATCGAGAGGGAAACCCCTGCCAGGTGAATATCTTACCTGTGCAGCCGATTCAGAAACAACGTGTGTGCAAGGTTGGTGATGTTGTTTCTTATAACATAGATATATTCTAGAATGTGTTTACAGGTGGTGCAGAAGCTGTGACGTTCACGGCTCTGAAGGTCGCTGGCAAAGAAGTCTCGGAATGGCTTGCACTAGCTGCAAAAACTGCATCCGAGAGCACGCCGGATGATGCAGAGATCATATGGGTGAGTACAGATAATTCGGAAATCCAGTGCTAACAGCTCTGAGATACCTTGCCATTCCATCAGGGTGGGGTATACCTTCAATCATAGGTGTAGGTTCACACTGCTGAAAGTTGCCTGAAGCAACTAAGCCTTGCAGGTCCATTTTGGAGTTGATGTCCGTGCCAAAGATTTCAAGCTGGAGGTGATCCTCACAAGTGTCCCGCAGCATATGTGATCTAAAGTCAAATCTCCTACACACTCCTGAATTTGCTCTCCCCTTGTGTGAGTTTGCTTTGCTTGCTCTCAGGTGAGGGCCAAGAATGAAGCAAGCTTCAGGTGTCCTGACCAGGATGGGTGGCAGCCAAAGCATGAGGCAATCGATCCTGAAGAAGACATAAGTTCTTACCAGTACACAGATTTGCCCATCAAGGCCATTGCAGGTAGGTGCGTGCTCATGTTGGAGCCGTCTTTATCGTGCCATTTCACCCTGACCTTGTCCTCCTCATAGTTCCACTTTCAGATTTTCTCAGCTGTAGGGTCACTAGTTTGCTTTTGCCCGCAGCATCACTAGGACAGGAGGCCAGCCTATCTCAGGACTGTGGGCGATTTGTCTGCAACTACACCTTGTACTGCTCTCTTCGCCAGTGTTCTCAGCATTCAAAGGGGCGCCCAAGCAGATGGCATTCCCTCTTTGTGCATGTGCCCCCTTTCTCTCTCATAACTCCCGACAAGCAGATCCGATTTGCGGCGAATCTGCTGGATGTGATTGCTGCCACAATGACACGACAGCAGAGCATACTAATCAGGCCTCAGACAGAACTGCTGTAGGCTTATGCTTAGTATCACAGACTGAAGTACTGGGAACTTCAACAGCATTGCCATGAGCATGAATGGAGGAGAGGAAGTGCCCAAAACTCATGAAAGCTAAAGGATAGCAGTACTGGTGTCAGCACCTCTGTATTCTTCAAAATAGGGTCGCCACAATCTTTGGATTGTGATCTGATTTGTAGCATAGCCACACTTGATTTGCAACGGGGATTTGTGCAAATCCCATATATTGGATGAGCCATTGCCAAGGGCAGACACTGTGCTCGCATGGTCTTTCTTTAGTCTATTATAAGTACCTCCCGCCCTCCACTGAGTGGCACTGACCTCGCTTTCTGTCTTAAGGGGGCGCGTGGTGCAGTGAAAGGTCTACGGTAGATCTGACAGTACTCGCAAGAGCACTCATAAATTGACTTATAGTGTTCTGCTGGTTGGCACAGATGACATGAAGTTCAAGCCAATTCAAGCCAGTCGTGATTGTGGTCAAGTGACAGCGGCAAGAAGTGCTCTCCGGCACAGCTGCCATCCCTTTTCCCTTCGCCTTGACACTCAGCTGGCTTTGTTGGCATCCTCCAATAAGATGACTTTGTTTTATCGCCATTTAAAGATCAGCTTGTATTGTTCTTGTTGGAAAGGCCAATAAAGAAGGTATGACACAATATATTAGTACCTTGATGGTAAAATTTTCAAATCTAAGCTCTAAACGACGGTGTGCATGTTAGCAGCTGCAAGTCAATCTAATTATTGTCACCATGCAGATGACTTGCATCCTTGCATGGTTTTTCCTGCTGTGATGACGTCACGCACGAGATTTAGAGGCATCAATCTCTCAGAGGCTGCAAAAGGAACTCCTCCAATGGATTCTGCTGCCATGCTGACGGAAACAAAACCCAATTCTTTCCAAATATCCCATTACAAGACTCACGGTGATGAGGGCACACAACACTTCAAGGCATCAATCTGCGTGGAAGGGACTTCCTTGATGAAATCCGTGGTGATAATCACAAACCTTTGCAAAATCCAATGCGCTCACAGTCAGCAGGATGATCGTGCGCAGCTCTCGCGTTCTGATCTCACTCATCAGGGGGCATTTGCTTGTCCCACAGGGGCAGATCAACTTGGTGACATGACACCATCCAAATTGGGCAGCGTGGAAGTGACTGCAGTCCACCACTCCTCATCGTTGGCCTTGTCTGCGCCATTCTCCAGGCCAGGGACATGGGCCTTGGCTTCACTGGAAACAGTCGAATCCCTGGGAGCTGCATGCGCAACTTCGGCGGCGGCTTCCTCCTTCACAGCAGCTGCACCATTTGGTGGTGAGGGGGGTGGAGGTGGGGCAGCCTGCACCTCATCACTGCTGCTCTGCAGCTGCTTGCTGGTGGCCCCCGGGTCATCTGGAGGCAGTGGGGGTGCACCAGATGCGGCGCTCGGAAACTCCTGGGGTGGCAGGAATGGTGGAATAGGCGGCGGGCGCGGTCCAGGATTAACACCTGTATGCCAAGCAGCTGCAGTTGACCCACAAACGCTGCCGGATTCCAAGAATTTTGTCCAGCTCTAGATGCCTGCAGGTACAGCAGTGCCTGGTCTGTGCGCTGTTGGCAAGTACAGCAGGTCAGCATGTTTGATGTATGTCCTGACTCTCAAAACAAGACTGAGCGCCCCTATGACCGAGCCAGGCCTGTCTTTGCATCCTTCCTACCAGGCTTCTCATGTTAGGCAGGTCAAGCTTGCCTCTTAGGGTCCAGTGCTTCACAATCATCACAGGCTAGGGGAACAACTCGGGGGGAAAAGATGTTGTCAAGGGGGCCGTACTAGCAGTAGGATGCTGGCCAGCGCTGTGTGCGCCAGCCCAGACAATCTGGGGATGGGGTGCGGCTGGAGGGGCAGGTGGCGGCACAGGCAGCGGCGGCTGAGGGAAGAATGGGTGCACAGGCGGCTGTGGAGGCCCCATCACAAGGCGAGGAGGAGACCCGGGCGGTGGGCGCGGCTGCAATCAGGAGCACTAGTGTCAAGACTGGGCGGTGCGTAACATGCATGAGTGCCTTCCATTAGCACCTTGAACAACCCTTTGCTTGTAAGTAGCCACCGCATGATCAAGGGGTCTTTAGCCAAAATTACCCGACATCGAAGTAATAAGGAATGCGGCATAAATTCAGGCTGGGCTAGATCTAGGCTGCCAGATTTGCTTGGCAGATTGGGATTGCTCTTAATACATGCAGAAGTGAAGGGCTCGTGGATTGAAAAAGAAATCAGAGCCAAAGGGGGCCTGACAGGTTGCGATCACAATGAAGAATGAAATGCCTTGGTGGACATCACATCGAGGGGAGCCAGTAAGCGGGTAGGCACTTACCCCGGGGATTGCCAGGGGAGGTCCAGGGGTGGGCACTGGCTGGGGTGGTGGAGGCGCGTGGCTGGGCAGTCCTGGCACGATGGAGCCTGGAGAGGGCTGCAGAGCAGACGCGGCTGGCAGGCCTGCCCACCCACCAGAGGGCGGCTGGGGCGGGGGAGGCGGCAGCGGCGGCAGGCCGGCACTTGCAGCACTGTTGGCATGTGCGCTGGCCAGATTCTGCTGGGACTCTGCAATCTCGTTGTTCGCCGCGAACTTGGCTGCGATCTCTTGCACGCGCCTCACGGCGTCCTCCACATCCACCTTCACTGCAGGCTGACTGGACGCCGCGGCCGGATTTCCAGCTGCTGGCCCGCTAGGATCACCTGCGCCGCCCGGTGCGGCAGCCGTCTTGGTCTTCTGCTTAGGCGGCAGCGCGTTCGCCTCGAACTTGGCTGTTATGTCGCGCACGCGCCGCAGCGCGTCCTCCATGTCAACAGCCTGACCGGAAGCCGCAGCCGCTTTCTTGAGAGCCGGCCCGCTGGAGGAGAGATGACCAGAGACGCTGCCAGGTGCTGCAAAGCTGAGCTGCTGTTGGGGCATTGATGTTGGCGGCTGGATCGGGGGCCGGAATTTGGTCGGACGAGGAGGCGCGGCTGCAGGTGTTGTCTGGCTGCTGCTGGCGTGCTGTGGCCCTGCTGATGGCGGCGCATGTGGCGGCGGTTGGGGAGCGGGCGGGACAGGTTTGCCCCAGCGGGACGTTCGAGCTTTTTTTGCGGAGGGCTCCGGTCCGGGTGGGCCAGGCAAAACGGGAGAGCTGGGCATCCTGTATGTCAGAGATGGGTCATGCATGAAGTCATCGTGCAAGGCTGCCTGTGGCTGAATCTAGATTGCGGAGACTGCTGGTACAGTGAGCCACCCACTGTGCAAGCTCACAACTCACCCAGAAAATGGTGCAGCATCAAGCGGAGGCGGGAAGGTGTCGTCTTCCAAAGTGCTTCCAAAGTCAATGCCCACATCAATGGTAGCTGGTGGCGCTAGAACCGTCGCCTGCTCTACTTTCCTTTTCTGGCTTCTTGAGGCAGCCTCAGCTCTGCCTTTCCTCAGGATCTCCTGTGCGTGCACATTGACACGTTACAATATTTTTGAGAATAAATCGCATTGTGCGGCGTTTAATCAGTCAAGATGGATGCTGTGGCAGCACCTCAAATTCCGAGATTGCTGCTGATGGGAAGGCAGCATCCCTCCGCCACGTCTGCAGCACCTTTTCAGCTTGCACCTGCAGTCAAAACCAGTCCCGACTGTAGTTGAACATCCAAGTCATAGTCATCCTGATGCCCATCATACATGTCCAACTCTAAAGGTGGTAACCACTTAGCATGTATTGGACTACTTGGGACTTCAAGGGGAGAATTCCGTACCAGGGCATCAGCAGGAGCCTCCGCAAGCAGCTTTGCAATGCTGGGTAGCAAGGGAAGGAAACGTTGTGCTGAACATCCACATACATGGGGTCAGAGCCTGCCAACATCATGGTGACAAGAAAAGCTGCTGTTGCAGTGAGAAAAGGCGCTCACTGTATTTGTCTTTGGAGCCCATCTGCGAGCGTGAACTTCTGCAGATGTTGGAGATTATGTAAAAAACAGTGATTCTGTCCTTCTTGCCCTTCGTCATAGCCCTTTTCAACAGTCCAACCACATGCTTGTACCCCTGTACGATCCACGTGTTGCTGTTAAGGCTGTCTTGTCCTCTGTAGCATCGAATAAATACAGTGCGAGATTCTGCATGTGTTAAATAACGATTCCAAGGCCATGGCTTACCCATATTTCTTCAGCGACCGCCATGGCGACGACGTCGTGAATCGACCCTTTGGTCCCCTTTTGGATGCCTTTGTCCAGCAACTTCACGAAATCTTCTTCACGATCCCACATAGCTTTTAAAATAAATTTTCTGATCTGTGAGGTTCACATCCTTGCCAACATGGCTGACGTCTGTATGGTCTAGACAGCCACGACCTGAAGAATTTAGACTTGTCCCGTGGTGAAAGCGCTGGCTATCCGATGCTTGAATATCTGAAAGAATTGATGCTCGAGCAGGAATGCACAAGATGAAGTGTAACAAAAGAAGAAAGGAAAAAAAATTACCACTGGCGATCGTTCTCGAACCAGGGACTTCTTATTCTCCAGGATCGCCACCATTGACTCCGTTTGAATCACAACCACAATTTACCCGGTGCTATTTTGAAATGCTCGGTCTCCTATATACATAATCAGATAGGTCATTTGTCCGAATACTGTGGCTTCTAAGGGAAGATGGCAATGGCAATGGCGATAAATCCGATCAATCTGCTTATTTTTCGACGAGTCTTGAGCCATGCCTTCTCGCTGCAATTTCTGGTTGATCAGACCTGCCTTGGCATTTTAAGTTAGTAACAAGCTGTATAGCAGCACAAGAGAACCTCCAGGTAGTGACATCAACAGCACCTCGACAAAATTTATGCCTCCCAAAGTTCGAGAAAAATTTACGGGTCAAGGACCTTGACTCAAGGACGTCCTGGCGCCAGATCGCTGGGACGTGCTGCAGGAGTGGCTATTCTGAATAGGCTATTCAGCAGCACCGTGTGACTGCCAAAGGTGTGTTGAAGATGACAAAACCACAGGCTGGGATGTGCTCCTGGCTACCACTGTCAATGCATGCATGCATGGCATTGACCCATTGAAAGTTCATTTGCGTTGCAGCACTGCCTATTCCGAATGAGTGCTGCAACGCAAGAGGCTTCTGAATATTCCTAATTTGGTCCCCCATGTGGCCACAGAAAACCTGGCAATATTAAATAGTTTTCAGTGCTGTATTGAAAAGGGTGTTTGACAGGGTCTTGCCATCGAAAGAGAAAGTCTTCCATCTGGATGTTCTGGGATCGGTGCATTGACATCTTTCGGCGGAACTTTAAGAGAAGTACTTTCTTGAAAAGCTGTGGGTGCCCATAATTTTAAATGCGGTTGACTCAACAAAAACCACAACATTGCAAGAATACACAAACGTTACGGTGCACAGAGGCTCCCTGTGGCCCTGTGTCAGTGTGAAACAGTCTGCAATACACTCTTTTGATACTTCTGCACCGGAAACGGTATGAACAGCGGAAGTGTTGGTGCAACAAGAAATAGGACCGACCTGTTTCTCAGGTATCGCAATCAGGCCAGGGGCGCAACAAGGGCACTAGGACAAGCATCAGACGACAGGTGGGATTCTGATAAGAGCATTTTGTGACTTCTGTCCAGTGATTAATATTCCACGATTTGTAGCTTCTGTTAATTGGAAGGTTCATCGTGAGGAATAGAGACAGAAGTGGCAGCATCCAGTTGAAAAATGCCGTTACATGTTGCGCAGTGGGACCCACCGCCTCTTGGAAGCAGCTCTTGCGAGCACCGTTGACAATGGAAGTGCAGCAGAGCTCGGCTCTGCAGGTGTCGCCTCTGCCCTGCCACCGCGCTATGTTGACTTCAAAGAGGCCATCCGCTCTGAGATGCTCAGCATCAAACAGAAGATGAACGACCTGCGAGCCTTGCATGGCAAAGCAGCTCTCACCACCTTTGATGACACCAACAGTCATGAAATAGACATCGAGGTGCTCACCCAAGAGATCACAAGACTTTTCCGCAAGGCAGAGGTCCGCCTGCAGCAATTTGGAGGTGGAGCGTGCACCAGTGAAGCAGATGAGAAGGTAAATATCACCTCACTGCAACCACATCATTCTGTGACCACTGCATGCACGACAAAAATGGCACTGCGACAGCGCTATCGCTGAACACATTTGCTTTGTTGCCCTCACAGGTGAAGCAGAACGTTCAAAGGACGCTGGCCATCGAGCTGCAGAAGCTGTCAGTGCAATTCCGGAAGCAGCAGAAGTCCTACCTCAACAAGTTGAGGAAAAATACTGCATCCTCCTCCAGCTTCTCTCTGCTGGATGAAGCGGGGACTTCTGGGCGAGATGAGGACTTTGACCCAGGCTTCTCAGAGATCCAGGTGACATTGCGCTTGCAGAGCCTGGTGCCTGTCACACATGACTAACCTTCTGGCGGTATTTTTTGTGGGGTTCCTCGCTGCAGTCCCACTAAAGGAGAGTCTTGCGCAGACGATGCGGGTGGACACGATGGATCTCTTTGCTCAGGAGCGCGATCGCGAAGTGCGGAACATACTGCAGTCGATCAATGACCTTGCGCAGATCATGAAGGACCTTTCTGTCCTTGTGATTGACCAAGGGACAATTGTGGACAGGATAGATTACAACATGGAGCAGGTGCGCGCATGCTTCAAGTGCTTTGCAGATGTTAAATTTTGTCACAGTGAGTGGTTGTGGGGTGTCGTGAGTCAGAATGCTGTGCCTTTGCAGGTTGCTGTGAAGGTGGATGAGGGTGTGAAGCAGTTGCTCAAGGCAGAAAAGTCGCAGAAGCAGAGCGGGATGGTCCTGTGTATAATGTTCCTCGTCTGTGCCGTTATACTCATGCTGGTAGTCTACATCTGCAAAATCATCCTCTTCCATTGAGTAGCAACCTTGACAAGACTGTCTCGTCAGAGGCGGCGAGCCTTCCAAGTAACGTGAAGGAATTGCTGAGCAAAGCAGTGAATGTGCAAACACTCCGCTGGAGGGTTGCACAGCTACAGAAGCTGCCTGTCAGGAACACCCTGAAGCACCTGATGCTCGAGGAACTGGTTTGAACAGGAACAGTACTGGGATTGCCTGGGGCAGCTGTCTAACTTTGAGACACTATGCGTTTGACTTGAGTAAGAAGAGTGGGAGAAGGAGTCAGGTACTTGGATTGAGAGCATGGGAGTCTGTGATGCGGCACCGGTGGGTCTCCTCAGCTGCTGCAGCCACTGAAGTCTTATCAGAATGGTGCCGCATGCCACTGGCATGCAGGCAGTGCGGCGTGCCATGCATGCATGCACGGTATGCAGAGCCCGGCATTTACCACTTGAGATCTCATGAGTGTTGGGAAGTCTTGACTTTCCTTTGTGCCACCACACCTTTCAATTCTGTAATAAAGCTGTTTGCGTGATCATGAGATTGGTCATATGGCAGGCACATGGTCCATTCACTAGGGCTTACAAGCTGTTTTCAGGCCAGCAAGTTTTTTTATCTGTGCATTCTTCAGCTGTTTCAGACTGAGTGCTTTCAAACCCTGGTGAGTTGATCTGAAGTTTTCTTGCACTTCTGTGCACTCTAGCAGAATTGCTGTATCTGGAGTCAGCTAGCTGGGAGCTGCAGGTACAGCTCGCGTTTGCATGGATCTGATGCAAAGGTTTCTACAGAGCATGTAAGCGAAAACCGTACTATCTGTCTCTACAACAAGGTGTCACGGTGCTGCTTGCAGCAGCAAATGAAGTGCTCTTCCTTGTCTACACATTGATGAGTACACGAGGCATCCCGATGTCCATAAGATGGCGCACAATAGTATCAACCTGCGTTGCATCATACAAGTTATTTCTGAGCTATCAGTAAGTTCTGACAACCTACTTGATCCCCTGATGTGAGTGGATTTCTGATCCCGATCAAAGTCGTCAACCTACCAGATAGTATGTCTCCGTTCTTCAACATGATCCTGAGGTTGTCCCTCCAATGCCGACATGATTTCCTGACGGAATCTCTCACATGTTAGATGGCCATCTTGCAATATATTACAGTTAAAGAGGGATTTTGCACGACCTTAGTTTCTGCTTTGCTGAATGTCGAAAAAGTGAACTTGATGCCAGTATATCTGCGTGCTGGATGATTTCAAAGAGGCGATCTATGGGCTTCCCTCCTACAAGTCCCGCCCGCGGAGGTGGGTCCTGAATGCATGCATGGATGAAATGATGAGGTTTTTCTGACTCGACAAGGCAACAAAGGACTCTCGTCCAGGTTATTGAACAGCAGCGTCTTCATTTGTTGGGCTGTCCTAGGGGCATCGATCTTGGCAGCATGCAGAACCCCAAGGCATCGCTCCTGCAGGTTTACGCAGGTCTAAGCTCTACGCGGCTCAAGAGTGCCGCGCCCAAATTTGTCATTTCTAAGGAGAAGTCCGATGGACAATGGCTTTGCACATGCACAATTTCTGCGTTAACCAGTGCTACTGGAAGCATCGGAGATTCTTGCTTCACTGGAGAAGCCGTTAGCAAAAAATTGGCTGCTCTAGCTGCTGCTGAAAAGGCCTGGAGAGCGGTGAAGGAATCAGGAGTTGCTGAAGTATTGGAGCCCCCAACTGAACTCAGCACTGTCGTGACTTCTGCCTTGGCAAGCAAGGTGCCAGTTGTGGGGCCATCATTCCTTTCTAATGAATCTGAATTTGTGCAGCAGCTGAGGGTCTTCCAAAGTGACTGCAGGTGCTGTACAAGGATGCATACCTTGAAGGCCATGTCTTGCTCGCCCAAGATTACAACCGTGGTTGCATCCCTGCCACCACTCTGTGCAATGCACGGTCTGTCATCAAGTACTTCAATGCGCGACAGCCCTCCTGTGCAGGCGACCTGCAAGCGATGGCCTATCACATCCGGTCCACACTGCTAGAAAGACTGCCTCATCTTGAGGGTGAGCTCTGTCACCGAGCAGCGGTCTTGTCATTATGTCCCTACACTGGCCACCAGTGTAGCACGGTGCTACCTTTGTCCATTGGGTACTTGGGTGATGAGAAACAAATGCATGTGATGCATGCACACCGCAGGCTCCGAGGTGCAAATTGCCCGCAAGGGACCCCCAACCCTCCTGATCCTCAAGGAGGCCTACACTGGACAGCCCAATGTCTCCAGCCCCTATGATGCCCTACAGGCCTCTGTCAGTTTGGGCGAGTCACGACTCTACAGTGCTGTCCTGCTCCCTGCTGATCCCAGGTGACGACTCAGCAGTCCTACGATTATTATTGCTGCTCATTGCTTTCAATGCTGTCTATGCCATTATTCAAGAGCTGGTGGACTGCATTGCCAACAGGTCAAGCATGCGAGAAATCGAAGTGCGAGGGGGTGGATATTACTGGAACGCCGTCATTTGTGCCTTGGGCGGGGACCCAGACACATCAGAGATGCTGTGCTGGGGCAAGGTCGGCCATGCGCTGCACAGAGTGATTCCTCATGGTCAAGAAACTGCAGACCCCGACAATGACAAGGAGCTGCAAGTAAATTCTCTCACACGCGTGTGCACAGAAAAAGCAGAGCATTTTGATGTCCTGACAAGGAGCAGTGCTCCTCACCAAGATCGTGGGCAGAGTGGCCTCCGGTGTCCTCTGGAAGGAAGGATTGTGTGGTGCTTTCAGGACATCTTGCACAAGCATCTTGGTGAGAGGGCTCCGAGGCAGAAGAAGCCTGCTCAGGAGGCCACGGCTGCAGCGGGCATGCTGCGTAACCAGATTGCAAAGGTGAGCTCATCAGCGTTTTACCAAGCGTACCGTGTTCAGAAAGCCTTGGAGGATCCTCTGTTTGACTAGGGAACCAAGGAAGGAAGGAAGGAAATTACACATCGACTCCAGCCGCCCAGGGCTGATTGGATGTTTTTTTCAGGCGCATGAGCAGGGACTTCCTGTGGGATCTGGCCTGCTGGCAGCTGCCGAAGCCGCTGAGATTGACAAGCTCCCTGTCATAGAAATCCGCAGCCCGATCCTTTACTCTCTACTTCCTCCACAGCAGGTGCTCATCACCCCTCACCAAGTTGGTATTTTCAATCTCTTGAAAGCATTTTCATGTGCCCTAAGGGAGGGAGCGTGTCCTGCAATAAGGATCGATCTGCTTGCAAGTATGCAGGGACAGGGCCAGGTGAATCTCCGGGCGAGCTTTCTTGCTGGCATAGTCGTGGTGGGTGATGCGCTGCTGTCCAAGATACGGCTGCGTCCAAATGAGTGAGGCTCCCTCCTAAACACCGATGGCCATCAGAGGTCATAGACTTCGTAATATTCCCCATCATGCATGTGCATGCTATGCAGTTTTCTGTGAGTCATGAATTTCTGTGAGCCAGAGTGGTGTGCGTAATATTGTGCAGCAAATTGAAGGGCACCAAACGCCACATTCTCACCCTGATCTGTGACACTGAACCACTTCTCCCTCAAATTCCAGGTGGGGACACCCGTCTCAGCGATGGGGCACTTTTGACCTCAGACTCTGTGAGGTGAGTCACTTCTGAGACTGATGAAAGTCAAGACTCCAAGACTTTGCAGCATCATCATGTGATGTTTGGGGAGTGCATTACTGGACAGGAGTGGATGGCGACATTGATGCCTTCAGCAAGATATGCGCTTGACAAGCACATGCCCCTCCTCAGCTGCTTGCCTGCCCAATATAGGTAAGGGATCTCCCTGGAGCTGTCAACAGCATTGTAATGTTGGGTGTGCACATGTGTTGACAGACACACCAGACTTTGCAAAATTGCTCCTATCCTAGGCACAGCTCTGTTTGCACTGCAATGCATTGATGATGTGTGCTTCATTGCGCATGCTCAGGTCGACCAGTGGGTGGTTTGGAGCTTCACCAGAGAAGTTACTCAAGAAAGTCTGCAGCCCCAGCCTGGTTGGCAACAATGATAGCTTCTTCTTCGTGTCCCAGGTGCCAATTTAATACTCATCCCATCCAAGGGCTCTTGCTTGCTTGGCCAATTGTAGAGCCTTAGTGGCTAGCTGTGTGTTGTGGATGCATAAGTGAGTGCTTTACCAGGATCAAAGTGGTATGTACTGTCTAGCCATTCCGACAAGAAAGTACGTGCACTGGCTAACTCAACTAGAGACATGTGGATTTGCAGGACTGTGATGCAGGGGATGCTGACAGCTTCACAACCACAGCCACTGTCAATGTGTTGGGCTGTGAGGAGCCAATCAGGTGAATATTTTCCCTTCCTGCTATCGTACTCAAATTCATTGGAGCCCTGAATTGAACATACGGTCTCAAAGTCTAACCTTGCCTATATGCCACGGCAGTGCCACCAGTGCGCCAGCTTCCAGCGAGGCGGTTGCCAGGCAGGACAGCGCTCTGGCGCTGCTCCGGAAGCTGGATGCCCACATCCGTGCTACAATGTTCCCACCCGGCTCTGTGCACCTGCGCGCCAACACACCTGCGCCTCCTCCCTGCCTGCCTCTGCTGCCTGCTCGACCTGATGCAGATGCTGCCCAGGTGCAGCTCCACATAAAATGCTTCTTGCCAGGAGTCGTTCTGCACCCTTGCCTTTACAGCAGTGCATGCAGCCGCTGGACCTCTCAAGCGCTGGCTTACATGCCTCGTTGTCTAGTACACATTTGGCTTGGTACGGGATACTACTGTTGAGAGCGCTCAGGAAGCAGTGGTGTGGACGCTGCAGTTTGGCATTGAAGTGGTGGAGAAAGGGGAGATGGATAAGGCCATCCCCAAGACCCCGGGCAGTCTCGCCACGATCAGCTACAAGCTGAGTGCTCCGTCTTTCTCCAATGGCGTGCTCGAGAAGAGCCAGAAGTGCTGCTTCCAATTTGGTTGTGGCGGTGTTGCTCCAGAGTTGGATGCCATGGTGGCAGAGCTGGGCTTGTATGGCAAAGCAACCTGCAGGGTGAGGACGCCATTCTACATGCGACATGACATGAAAATTTCCTCTTTCTCTTTATCTTCCTTTTCACCAATGTGCCCCCTCCTGCCTCCTGCTCGCCAGCCCAGCACATGAATTATGTTGGAGTAGCACATGTGGTAATTTGCAGATTTTACCCTTGCAGATTGTCCAAGGATGGTCTGCCCATTGAATGACATTACAGATATGGAGCCAGGCCCATATCCTGAGTGCTTGAGGATGTGGTGATGTGACAGGGGCTGTGGGGCCCTGGTCCCTGGGCAGAGGTCATTCTGGAGGTGGACCTGCTTGCCTGGAAGCAGCCGCCCCCTCAGGTGTGTGGGTCTCTCTTTCCATGCTTCGACCCTTTGCGTGCTCTCATGGTGAAAGAGCGATGGAACAGTCTCATTAATCACAGTCTTGAATACTTTGGTGGCTTCGTTCTCAGAGTCCCCCTCAAAAGCTCTTTGAGATTCCCGTGGCTCAGCAGCGCTATGCCTTTACCCTGGGCCTCATCAAGGAGCAGGGGGCTCGAACAGTCCTGGACATTGGCTGTGGGGAGGGGCGCCTTCTGGAGCACCTGCTGACACAGGTGCTGCACAATGTGTTTCTCTCCATTTTTCCTCGAAAACATGCGTCACATGAGTCCTGTGACAGAAGAGCCTGCAGTAGTCATCAATGATGACTCGTCAGAAATAAAGCAAGGCTCCAAAAGGCGTTCATGCATGCACGCAAGGAAGCTCCGGTGGAGAGCATCACAGGCTTGGACTGCTCTGCCGAGGCTGTGCGCAAGGCAGAGAAGAGAATCAGGAATGCATTGGGGAACGTTTTCCCTGATGAGCGCCTGAGAGAGGACAGCAGAGTGGAGGTTTGCCCGACTGGTGGCTTGGGCCGGGCAAAGGCTCAAGTCTCGCACGGAAACATCACCGACAAAGTCACAGACCCTGGTAGCTGCTCTCCCTTACCTGCTTGCCTTCATCGCAGATCATCTGCATAATTTTGAAATTGGGACCTTGCACCTTGTGTGCTTTGAACACTGCTTACTATGTAATTCTCTGGAATGCAGATTCTTGGGGTGAACTGCAGGACATTGACATGGCGATCATGATTGAGGTTATCGAGCATCTGGATCCGGATGTCCTAGAGTAAGACAATCTCTGTCATATCTTTTCAAGCCTTGCACATGCTGTGATGCATGCCCTTGACACCATATGCTTCAGACAAGTGGACAATGCCTCATTGTCAGCGCTTGTACAGAGGATGATGAGTCATGAATGTGCTTCAGGATGGTTGGACCGGCGGTCTTTCACAACCTGGCACCAAAGACGGTCATCATCAGCACACCCAATCGTGAGTACAATCTGGTGCTGCAGCGGATGGGTTGTCAGCTCCTGGGCAACGGCCTGCGCAACTCAGACCACCGCTTTGAATGGTAATTCCGTGGTGTGCTGCATCTTCGGAACCTTCTGAGCTCATGAGCTAAAACAGACATACGCCCAGTTGTTGACCTCACAGTTTGTCATCCAATGCTTTTACATGTTATGCATAGTATGACTTTCCGCATCCTAATCTCTATGTTACTGTGTGTGCATGCTATGGTTTTGCAGGACCCAAGAAGAATTCCAGAGGTGGAGCACCGACATGGCAAGCAAGTATGGCTACACTGCCGAGTTTACAGGTCTTGGCAACGCCATCCAGGAAGCCACAGCCCTTGCCAGCAGTGGAATGGTGGATGTAGGATGTGCGACTCAGGTGCATTCTGTTGGCTTGTGACCCTAAAGCGGTGCCAGTGTAGATCATCATGAGTCATTGCTTCCAGGGACTTGATTGATCGACTCACTCCACCGCAGATGTTGAACATTCGAGAGACTTCTGATAGAGGAGAGCAAGGCATCTGTAATCCTTGTTTGCATGCATGCAGGTGGCACTTTTCAAAAAGGAGAGGCAGAGCGTGCAGGCCAGTTGAGGCTGAAGCATCTTGGCCTGATGGGTGCTACTGCTTTGAGTGCAAGACATCATGCATAACAGTGATTGAAAGCCACTTTGATCGACTAAGAGGAGATTGCTGGCTGACAGCTGCAACACAATACAGCATGTGCTGTTGTTCACGTTGAAAGATACTTTGCAAAACTTTTGGGACATCATGGGGCCCCCTGGGAAGTCACGGGGGACCTGGGATGTCACGGGGCTACCTGGGAAGTCACGGGGCCCCCTGGGATATCACGGGGCCCCTGTCTGCCCAAATGCGGGTCATGACCTTCATACGTATGCCTTGCAAGGATTCAACTGCAATATAACGTCATGCTAAGACAGGGAAGGCTGGAGAGTGATTATTGAGAGATTGCTGCAACGCACCTAGCCCTGAGGGCTGGACAAGCGTGTGATAATAATGATAATAATAATGATAACGTCATGCTGATGGACCTGTTCCCAGAAATGGGTGTTACACATTGCTGAAGTAAAATGGGTATTGCACACCAATAGCTGCAGCCACTTCAGGCGACGGAGCACACGTACATGCATGTTGCATTGTCACCTTTGCAGTGAGCCAAGCATGTCCATTGTCATCTGCAGTACAAAAGTGGCACTTCATGTGAGAAGGAAGGAAGGAAGATTACACATCATCCAGCCGCCTGTGAATGCAGGACATCCCACACCAGCTGGCTGCATGTTGTGTTGGGCAGCCCGCCTCCCCAGCGGGCAGCGATTCTGCCCAACTGGAGCGACAAGCCACATCGTTATTGTCTTTGTTGCAATCCCATGTGGCCCATATCGCCTGACTGTCCCCATATACAGATCCTAATTCGTTCAAGTCTAATGCAAATGAAGGCATCTGCAAAGAAATACGATCGCCAGCTTAGAATATGGGGTGCTCATGGCCAGACAGCCTTAGAGGCAGCTCGAGTGTGTGTCCTAGGAAGCGCTTGCACAGCAACAGAGACATTGAAAAATCTGGTCCTTGGCGGCATTGCTAGCTTCACAGTGATCGATGACGCCAAAGTTCAGGCTTCTGATCTCGGCAACAATTTTCTGCTGGAAGCCTCAGCCCTGGGGCAGAACCGAGCAGCTGCTGCGACAGAACTTCTACTAGAACTGAACGAAAACGTTGCAGGATCTTACGTAGAGGAATCCCCCGAACACCTGCTGGCCAGCAATCCTCGCTTCTTTGCTGATTTTCAGCTCATATTGGCAACGCAGGCAATACACTTCTCACATATGGCATCTGGCAAGCTATGCTACTAACGTTTTCTCTGGATGATGGGTTGAACTCATTGATCTCTGCTAAAGTTTGATAACCGTGCCATCTTGATCATGCAGATGACAGAGAGCATCCACATCAAGCTTGACCAAATCTGCCGGGATCTGCAAATACCATTGATCTGCATCAGGTCTTATGGCCTGGTGGGATACCTACGAGTGAGTCTCCCTGTCTTGTGTCACTATAGATTCAAGGCCCAGGTAGGCATGTCGATAAATGATGGATACTGATGTCTGATGACTGCTTCCCAGGCCAGCCTGCCAGAGCACACAGTCATCGAGTCAAAGCCAGAGAACAAATTGGAGGACCTGAGGTGCGAGGAACTCATAAGTGTAGCCCTCTGTCACCCAACGCACCGATCTGTGCTGTTACAGTCTCTATGCATGCAGGTTCAACAAGCCATGGCCAAAACTTGAGGAGTATGCAGCTTCCATGGATCTTGAGAACATTGACGACGTCACTCATCGACATGTCCCCTATGGTGAGCTATTCAGGCATGTCATGCTGCGGTTCAACATGCATGCGTGATGAGGCTGCATTTCAGAAGCAGAAACATGAAGACTGCATGTGATGCAGGTATTCTGCTTTTGAAGGCAGTGCAGCAATGGCAGAAACAGCATGGGAGTATTCTGCCTGCGTCAGGAAAGGAGAAAGCGGCATTTCGATCCATGCTCAAGTCATGGCAGAGGTGTATAGATGGGGTTCCTATCGAGGTGAGGTCACTCCGCATTCATAATGAAATCGTTAACATGATCAACATGGGCATCTGCAGGGCCTGTGGTGGTTGCTGACATCCTGGGTCAGAACCTTCTTCTTTGCGTTGCAGGCTGAAAACTTTGGAGAGGCTATCAGCAACGCTCACAAACTCTTTTATCCTCCGACCATACGTGAGTTTTCTCCGCCGAACTCTACTATGGTGCTAGGAGCTGCTTACGCTCTTTGGCTTTGCAACGAGCCCTTGTATGGCTTCCTTAAGCCATACTATCTAGCTGCCTCTGCCGACTTGTGCAGCTTCTGCTTGTGTGAATGATCTCTAGGGAATTGCCGCACATGACAAATATAAGTGGGTTGCAGCCCCTGAAGTGAAGCAGATACTGGAAGACGAGCGGACAAGCCTGACTGCGAGCTCTTCAGACTTCTGGATCCTGGCAGCGGCGTTGAAGCAATTCGTGTATGACGACAACGGTGGTGATCTACCGCTCGAGGTAATTGCAGCGAGATCTCTTTCATGTTTGGACCAGGAATGGGACCAGCTCTCTTTGGCGTGAGCAATATGTGGAATGCAGAGACGGAGCGCCTGAGCCGTTTCATGTGTTGCCAGGGCTCCATTCCAGACATGACATCCACAACGGACATGTACCTGCAGCTGCAGAGGCTGTACCGTGAGCAGGCTGACCTGGACATCAGCGCTGTTGAGAGGCACATGCATGTGCTGCTGAAAAACATCGGGCGCAGTCCTGCCTCCATCCCGCGTTCCTCTGTCTCAGCTTTTGTGAAGAATGCGCGCAACTTGAGGTGCTCTTCACAATCTGAGTCACACCCTCCTGTGTTTCAGGGCATTGCAATGTGAGATGGTGCCCATGTAGGCACTCCAATTATTCACTGATGACCTTCTAGTCTCTTCTGTGAGCTGATTGTTCGAGCTCTGAATTCATTCTTCCTGCAGCTCGATTTGAATCTTGACGCCCCACTTTCTTGGCGAGCACCTCCTCAATTATTGAGCGGACTAATGAGGATTTTGGCTCAGTGTTTGTTCTGCATCCTTAGAATCTTGTGCCTTGGCAGGGTTGTGCGATACCGCACCCTGGAGGAGGAGCTGCAGGCAGAGACAGTGCGAAGCGGGGCTCTGAGGCAGGCGCTGGCAGCCGAAGACACAGTAGCAAATGCATCGCTCTACCTGCTGCTGCGCGCGGTGGACCGTTTCCAAGGAACCTACCACCGCTTTCCTGGCACCTTTGATGGGTGCGCCTTTTCAAACGCAACATTCCTGTTGCAACATGGTATTTCTGTGCTGAAGGTGGCATGCAGGGACATTATGCCGTCCGATAAGTTGTTCTGAGTTGCTTATATGCGCTGCCTTTCTGATCATCCTCTATGGTGCTATGCATGCAGTGAGCTTGAAGAGGATGTGGCCCTTCTGAAGACAACAATGGCTTCGGTCGCGGCTGACTCTGGCGTGGGCACGGCCGCTGTGTCTGACGACCTGATTGAGGAGATGGTGCGATTTGGAGCTTCGGAGTTGCACGTTGTTGCTGCCATCATGGGCGGGATCGCTGCTCAGGAGATCATCAAGTTCATCACCCGGCAGTTTGTGCCTGTGGGAGGCACGCTGATATACAACGCCATGGCAAGCACAAGTTCTGTGCTCCGTGTCTGAGAAAGGGCTTGGTTGGAAACTCGGTGTACTATATAGGAAGAAAGGCTGCTTGTAATCCTTGTACGCTCTGTCTGCAACACCTGTGTGCTATTAATTTCCAAAGAGATTCATTGAACATTTTGTAGAAACATGAGGGATACTCCGAACCCACTGTAGAGTCTCCTGGAACGCTGAACATTAGCCTGAAGGCCATGATTTGGCTTTGCGAGGCTTACAGAGACATGGCTGTTAACTTGAAAAAAGACTGTCGACGAGGCAGCATTCATCACTCTGTTGCTTTGGAGCCAAACAAGAGACCCTCTGAGAAGGCAATCTGGTAGTTGGATTATATCATGGGTTTTCCTGTGTCCATCTTCTTCTGCACAGACAAGCCACACTTCATGCATGAAACGCTGGTCAAGCACAAATGTGCTCTTCAGGCAGGATCCAAAGACTAACTTTGATTAGCACCATTACCACTCAAGACACAGGCACTGTGTATACGTCTAGAAACCATCTCCGCAGCTAATGTCTACACAGCTGACATCAGCTTGTCGGCAGCTGCTTCTGAGCGCACCTTTTCAGCTGTTGTGGCTGGTGATTTCGCCGGGTCACCTGTCAGGAACGAGCTCACACGCCTCCTCTGCAAAACGTCATTTATGCGGTCTTGCAAGGACTTTTTGTTCCAACCTTTTGAATCCAGCTCGGCTTGCACTTCTGCTTCCAATGATTGCATTGCTCTTTTGCATCCACCGAGCTCCTCTTGTAGCCTGCATGATGGCAACCATGCCTGGGTGACAGTATCCTTGGACTTGACGTCATAGCGATTGTGCTCACACAATGCATGCAGTCAACCTCAATAATGTGTACCTGCTTTTCTCTGATGCCAACTTTTTTCTCTCCTCCTCCCAATTTTCCTTTTCTGCCTGCACAGAAGTTCACTTTCAGGTGTCCAAACAGTCATACAAGATCTGCTGGACGAAAGGACTGTTCGCACCTGGAATTCACTTTTCAGGTTCAGCCTCCCAGCTGCAACTGCGAAAATGCAACCAGCTAATAAAACACTCGTGAGACTCCCACTATTCTTCGCTAGATGCTGTCTGATCTTCATACTCAAAGGGAGTGCTTTGCGGTTTTGTAAGGCATCTATTCTCTTAATGGATTCATTTAGTGCTTTAGAGATCTCTCCTAGCTTCTGTTCAGACGCCATTCAAATATTTCCTCTGCGATCACCAGTCACTAGAAGACGATCTGAGTGGGCAAAACGGCGTGGTGCTTGGTACCTGGGGAACGATTTGTTCTGAGTCCTTCTATTGAAGGATGCAATCAAAGACTTCACAAATCTTCATGGAATCTTGCAAAAGAGGCGATGGGACCGTTGCCTAAAGAAGTAGCTTCCTAGCTTGTGCTTCTGCATCTGTAAATTCATCCTAAGATCGGCTTCGTCATGTAATATATTGGAATTTCATAGCTCAAAAAAGTTGATATTGGTAAGCATCAGCATCAGCGTCAGCAAGAAGCAGCGCAGCAAGGAACAGCTGCTAGCCCAATCGCCAAGCCTTAGTCTCAGTTTGGTGCACTTTGTCCAGCCTTTAATGGAAGAGGGACAGCAAGAAGGTGGCCTTTTAATTCCTCAAAGGAAAGATAAACACGAATTTAGAGCGCCAGCCCCCAGGACGTCTCTGCTAGGTGAGCTCAGGCTCATTGCAGAGCAAAGGTGTCACACTGTTTTCTGCCATAATAGATGCCCCAATCAATCAAAGAATTTTTCCTTAACTTGATCCTCAGATGCCGTGTTTTTCTTCACATGAATTGGCTTCATCATGCAGGCTTGGACAGATTGGCCAAACAGAAGCGCTTGGAGAGTGGCCAACCCACAGCGCTGCTAGGTGGGTTCAGAGATAGTGGCGTTCTTTTTAATTTTGTTCAGACAGAGATCTTCTCTTGGGGAGGTTGTCCTCAGATTCCCTTGTGAGACATGGTGCTCTTGCTCACTGCACCCCTGTTTGTCCTCAGGGAAGCGGTTGAGAGAAGATGAAGACGAGGATATGGACATGCTGCCCAGCACATCTGGGCGCCAAGAGGCAGGCACTGCTCCCCAGCGGCAATACCGTGGCCAGCGCATTGAAACTCCATCATATCCAGGTTGGTGCAGAGTCCTTACTTGACCCACTCCCAAGTGGGTGACCGTGTATCTTTGGTGATGGTTTGCCTGTGCCCATTGGAGCTTCCAAGTAGGCTGTTTGTGCAGAAGTAATGACCATGCCACCTTGTTGCGGCAGGTGGAGTGAACCAGAGAGTGCGTGACGACATAGCAGAGCGAAAACGGGAACGAGGGAGAGAGGGGTTGTATGCCTCTACCGTGCAGCAGGCTGGCCGAGGTGACGCTCAGAATGGCGCTTCTCGCAAGGAACGGGACAGAGATGAAAAGAGGGACAGCAGGCGCAACGGAGGCCACAGAGAAGACAGAGATAGGGACAGGGACAGGGGCAGCAGGTCAGACAGGGACAGAGGGAGGGAGGACCGCCATTCTCGCAACGACCGACACGGCCACAGGTGATCTGCTGTGCTGAAGAATCACTCCTTGTCTGATTGACAGGAATGCACACACCTTATGTCTCGCGATTCTTAGACCTGTGAAGAGAGGGAGATGCAGGCTTATGGTGGCGGCTGGTGCAGGTCGCGGCCAGGGAGTGAGAGAGGGGAGGACAGGGACGGGTGGGAGCATGCCACGCCGCGGAGGCAGTCTGCGGTAGAGGACGAGTGGGAAGCCACTCCTGCCAGAGGGGGTGAGGGCTTGTACAGGGGCGGCTCTTCCAAGCGGCCCGGCACTGGGGCGTCCACCTGGGACTATCTGGCCTCCCCCGCGCCCTCGCCCGTCCGCGCAGGCAGCGCTGGAGGTGCTCTTTCTGGTCTTCTATTGTCACGTGCCTGTTACTACTTGAATAAAGATTGCAGCGCCAGCGCTCAATGAGATTTGTTTAGGAGCCGGCTGATGGGTTGTCTGCCTGAGAGGTGCTCTGGAGAGGTGCCATGGCGATGAGAGTGTTTGTGTGCAGGTGTTGCAAAGCCCCGCAAGCGCAGCAGTGTGCGCTTTGTGGAGGACTCGCCAATGCTGACACCAAGCTGGAAGTCGGCGGCTTGGAACAAGAAGCCCGCGGCTCACTCTGCCGGCTCGGACGTTGAGCGCTCTCCCGAGCTGCGGGGCGCCGGCGGTGCAGCCGCCCCCGGTGACGCAGAGTGGGAGCACGCGGAGGCCCAGGCGGATCGTGACTGGTGAGCTCCTGCCCGTGGCCAGTGCTAACTAAGTACCTTTGGAGTAACCAAATTGATATCTCTCATGTGGTTGAGTCTGTGGATTGCCAGGAAATGAGCGCATTGCTCTGTGTGGATGCGGTGTGGCTCTCAGGCGGGCAATAGATGCACATGTGGATGGCTGTGCAGGTACGACCAGGAGGAAGGGGGCGGTGTGGACGAGACGCACGAGCCATTTGTGGGGGACGACGCGCTGTTTGATAAGCGCGCTGCAGAGATGCAGAAGAAGCTGACTCGCAGGGACGGCAGCATGATGACGCTGGCGCAATCCAAGCGCGCCAGCGAGCTGCAGCGGGACATTACTGCCTGGGAGGAGAACCGGCTCTTCCGCTCCGGCGTTGTCTCCTTGCGCGAGGTGGGGCTGCCTCCTCAGAATGTGATTGGTTGTACATGTAGCCACCTTCTGACTGTTGGTACTGATTGTTCCGTGATGCTTGGGCGTCAGGCAGCTCATGCATGCTGGCCTACTGCATTGCAGCATGTCTGGATGTGAGGCTGAGTCAGCATGTGGTCATCGCAGGTGGACACAGACTTTGCAAATGATGATGACTCGCGGCCGATCCTGATCGTGCACGACACCAAGCCGCCGTTCCTGGACGGGCGCGTGGTGTACACGAAGCAGTCGCAGGCGATTCTGCCGCTGCGGGACCCCACCTCGGACATGGCCGTTATCGCGCGCAACGGCTCCCAGCTGGTGCGGGAGGTGCGTGAGAAGAAGGAGAAGAACAAGAGCAGGCAGCGCTTCTGGGAGCTCGCCGGCTCCAAGATGGGCAAGATCACAGGTGCGTGCTCTGCTGCTGCATGGGGGCCTTCTGTACTGTAGCCGGCTTGATTGATGGAATGGTAAAATGTAAGTTTTTGTGGGAGTAAACAGGATAGCGGTGCGGATGTTGCATGCAGATTGAATTCTGAATTGGATTTGATGCTCTGCAGGGCTCACTGAGGAGGAGAAGGCGGAGGGGGAAAGGGCAAAGGATGCATTGGAAGAGGAAGCTGGGGGAGAGGAGGACGAGGATGGCAACTACAAGGGCAAATCCCAGTTCTTCACGCACCTCAAGAAGTCAGAGGTCAGTACTTGTGTCGCCGTTTGTGCAATTTGGGGCTCCTACTCACTTTTGTTGCTGTGGCAACGACACAGATGAGGGAGCCATGTTGACATTTGAATGATATTGACGCAGGCTAACAGTGACTTTGCCCGCAACAAGACCATGTCAGAGCAACGGCGCTTCCTCCCTGTGTATGAAGTCAGGGATGAGCTTCTGCAAGTGATCAGGGAGAACCAAGTGGTCATTGTGGTGGGCGAGACAGGGTCTGGCAAAACCACTCAGGTACATGCACTCTCGACATTCTTGCTGTACTCCAGAACTTCATGCCATTTGGTTGCATGCAGATTGGACGCATACCCACTTCTCTGCGTACGAGTTGAAAGTCATGAAGATGTTGAACCCAATGTTGTGTGCTTGCCCCATCAGATGACCCAGTATTTGCATGAGGATGGCTACACGGATGTGGGCATGGTTGGCTGCACTCAGCCTCGCCGCGTTGCTGCCATGAGTGTGGCCAAGCGTGTGAGTGAGGAGATGGGGGGGGAGCTTGGTCAGGAGGTGCGAAAAGCTATCACAATCCTTTTTTAGGACACCAACATCCCTTCTTGCTGCTGCGCTATTTATGGTTCGATTAGTTGTCATTGGCCTGTGCAAATGTTGTGTGATGTCATGGTGACAGGTTGGGTATGCGATCCGCTTTGAGGACTGCACCTCAGAGAGCACGGTCATCAAGTACATGACAGACGGTGTGCTCTTGAGGGAGACGCTCAGAGAGGGTGACCTGGACAACTACTCGGCGATCATCATGGATGAGGCACACGAGCGCTCCCTTAACACGGATGTCCTCTTTGGTATATTGCGCCAGGTGAGCTTCTGTTCTCCTCGGCTGTGTAAGTATTCGCATGCCAGTGATGAGCTAAGTTTGGCATATTCTGCAGGCGCATAAGAGGCATTATGTAATTGTAGAACTGTTTAAGGGCTGGTAGAGGCCAGGGTCGGATTTGTTGCCTGATGAGCATTGCTTGTTTTTGCCAGGTGGTAGCAAGGCGGCGCGATTTCCATTTGGTGGTCACATCTGCAACGCTGGATTCCAAGAAGTTTTCGGATTTCTTTGGAGGCGTCCCTGTCTTCAACATTCCTGGCAGAACCTTCCCCGTGGAGGTCATGTTCTCCAAGACACCTCAGGTGCGATTGCTGCACCGCTTCACTCCTCCGCCAAGGGTTTACTCATCATGCACGTATCACTGACCTGTAATGCTTTTTCTGACAAAGTTTTCGTGTTGCAGGAGGATTATGTGGAAGCCGCAGTCAAGCAGGCGGTGGCGGTACACCTGGGGCATCCCGCAGGAGACATCCTCATCTTCATGACTGGCCAAGAGGAGATCGAGGCCACCTGCTTCTCTCTGCAGGTGCTCCCTCCTGGCCTTGCGTATTTGACAGCATTTCTTGGCGAATCTCTTCTGGTAGCATGCATAACATGCCTGTTGCAGCCCATCAACAAAGCAGCTCTCCTGAAGTTCTGCTTCATCCCGTGCAGGAGAGGATTGACCATCTGGGCGAGAAGGTGCCGCCGCTGCTCATCCTGCCCATCTACTCCCAGCTGCCCTCCGACCTGCAGGCCAAGATCTTCGACAAGGCGCCTGAGGGGTCGCGCAAGTGCATCGTGTCCACGAACATTGCAGAGACATCCCTGACTGTGGATGGCATCCTGTATGTCATTGACACAGGCTACTGCAAGATGAAGGTGCGCTCTGGCTGCTGCACATGGCGTGCTTGCCTAGGTGCAACAATGTGGGCATGACTCATTTCGTCTGGCGCATAGCCGGTTGAGAAAGTGGACCATGCATGTGTGCAGGTGTACAATCCCAAGATGGGCATGGATGCGCTGCAAGTGTTCCCGGAGAGCCAGGCCGCAGCCAACCAGCGCTCCGGCCGCGCTGGCCGCACGGGCCCGGGCACCTGCTGGCGCCTCTTCACCGAGACTGCTTTCCGCCAGGTGCAGCGCTGCTCAGTGCTTTGGAATGCTCTGTTAGACAGCTGTTGCGAGAGTTTTGCAGCGCTCTGTCTGAGTTTGGCAGAAGAGAGATCTGCTGCATGGGAGAGTTTAGGTTAGTTGCAACCATAGAGGGCATACTGTAAGAGACTTTGGGAGGCCTTTGATGTTTGTGTCCATCTGAAGCTGATGTGTGGTCCTGCGCTGTGCAGGAGCTGCTGGCGGTGTCGGTGCCGGAGATCCAGCGCACCAACCTGGGCAACGTGGTGCTGCTGCTGAAGAGCCTCAACGTGGACAACCTGCTGGACTTTGGGTTCATGGACCCGCCGCCCAAGGAGAACCTGGTCAACTCCATGTTCCAGCTGTGGGTGCTGGGCGCCCTCGATAACACCGGCGCCCTGACTCCCATTGGTGAGCCCTGGCGCAGCGCCCACCTCCTGCCTATTAACTGCACTCTCTAATCATGCATGTTCCCATCACTCTAGGAACCTTGACCAATGGAGGGGTATGGCATTAAGCATGCAATCTCATCATGCGTCATAAGATGGACGTTCTTGCGGCTGCAGCCAAAGCAGGCTTTTGGTGCTTACAACTAGGCTGGGGAGCTGCCATTTATTTGCACAGCGGCTGAGGTGTTGGTGGGCGTTTGCGTGGCAGGGCGCAAGATGGTGGAGTTTCCGCTGGACCCGCCGCTGGCAAAGATGCTGCTGGTGGGCGCGGAGCTGGGCTGCGCGGACGAGGTGCTAATCATCGTCAGCATGCTCAGCGTGCCGTCGGCATTCTTCCGGCCGCCGGATCGCGCCGAGGAGAGCGACGCCGCGCGCGAAAAGTTCTTCGTGCCTGAGTCGGACCACCTCACCATGCTGCACATGTACCAGCAGTGGAAGAAGAATGGCTACCGTGCCGACTGGTGCTCCGACCACTTCCTGCAGGCCAAGGGTGTGCTTCATCTCTTTTCTATTGCAGCCTATAGAAAGGAATCAGCCTCTCTTGTCAAAAATAACATTGTCAACAGATCAAGCAAGTAGTGCTTGCTACTATTATTAGTCATGGATATGGTGCTGTGCAGTGCTTCGCAAAGCGAAGGAGGTGCGGCAGCAGCTGGCGGACATCATGGAGCAGCAGAAGATTCCCATACGCTCGGCTGGCAGCGATTGGGACACCGTGCGCAAGGCTATCTGCGCAGCCTACTTCCACAACGCGGCGCGGCTGAAGGGGATCGGCGAGTACGTCAACTGCCGCACCGGCATCCCCTGCTTCCTGCACCCCTCCTCCGCGCTCTACGGCCTCGGTTACACCCCGGACTACATCATCTACCACGAACTTGTCTACACCACCAAGGTCAGCCGCACCTTGTGCCTGCCCTCTGCACGCCATTCTAGACCTACACTCCAGGCATGCATGCAGCTCCGGGAATAAAGGAAGTGTGCTGTGGTGCATGGAGGTGGGATCTGAGACATGGTGTGTTTGTTGTGAGCAGGAGTACATGCAGTGCGTTACGGCGGTGGACCCAGAGTGGTTGGCCGAGCTGGGGCCCATGTTCTTCAGCATCAAGGAGGGGCACGGTTCGCGTTTGGATGCGCGCGCCAAGCAGAGGGCCGCCAAGGCCTCCATGGAGACCGAAATGGGCGTCGCTGCCGCAACCGCCGCCAAGCTGCGTGCCGAGGAGGCGGCCAAAGACGCGGCCGTGCGCGCGTCGCAACGCAGCGCGATTGCCACGCCCGGCATGCGCACGCCGTCAGCCACCCCTCGCCGCTCCTTCGGTCTCTGATCTCGTGCTGCCGAACAGTGCACCATGGAGTCCCATTGATGTGGCACTGGGGACCCGTGCCGCGCTGTGACAAATTTCGGTGAAAGGTCGGAGAGATCAGGCTCCCTGGACCTTCTGAAAACGCATGCTCATGAGGAAGCCAGAAGTGTGTTGTGTGGTAAATGAGTCTACAGGCCATGTATGCACCAACAAGGATTCGTTGCATTTGAGCGAGTTCCACTTGGTCATAAATAGGCTTGCAATGAACAGCACCATCAAGACACCGCCATGCTGTAACAACGGTTGCAGGATGTGCCACCTGTGGTGCCTGCTAGGCCTACATAGCTATAGTACATAGCTGTAGTACATAACTATTATACGAATGCAAGATCTTGTGGGCCCATTGCAGTTGTGGCATTGTCTGTAACCAACAGGTTGGTTTGAATTCTGTTGGCCATGGCTGTATTTATCCAAAAACAAGTATCAATCCGGCAATGTTCAACATTAAGTTAATCATTTGGGCCTGCGCAAATTGTCGCCAAACTCATGAGTTGGCCAACTTGCGCCTGCCAGGATCCGGATGACCAGAACAATCCTTGGTACGAATCTCAAAAGGTTGGGTACTCAAAAGGTTGTAACTTCCACACATGCCCATGCACAGCACTCAGCAGGGTGCTAGCAAGCAACTGTGTACCCACCTAGTAAACTGACCCATTCTAGCGGGTGTGGCCTTGAGTGACTCACTGACCTTTTATCGACAAAGACACGCGAAAGAGCTGTAATCCTTCTGAGAAACTTCTCGAACGTTCCATGCCCTTTCGATAAGCTTGTTAATTGCGAGCTGCATATTTACAGTGTTATTGTGGGCTGTGAAAAATGCTAACTGTGAAAACTAGTACTTTTGCTTCGTGTTTCTGCTCGTCGCTTTGGTTGAGACAAGCTAAATATGGTGTTGAGTCAAATGCAATTGAAACTAGGCAATCGTTAGCACGCAGCCGAGCGCATGGTTCCGAGAGGTATGCCAGAAGACAAGTTATCTGCCATGCAAAAGAGGTGGGACGGTGGAATCAGCGAATTGAAAGCGAAGATAGAATTGGTTCAGAGTATGGCGAGGTGAGCTCAGAAGCCGGTCAAAAGTCTAGTTAAAGAAAGTCCTGTTGTGTTGTGGACCGTGACTAGGTGGCCTACTGGAAACAAGACTAGTTGGGCTTCCTGCTTCAGGGCTACATTCAGTATAGGATCTGTGGAGAACCTCGAAGGTTGGACGTTGACACCCTAAACGAGGAGCTCAGGATCATGGGTGTGGCACGAATGAGGCTTCAGATAAATCCAGATGCAGCCTTTGGCATGATCTTTGATTTTGAAGGTGCGTACCCTTCTGAACTGCTTATAGTTGTCGCCTTGTGCCTGTCATAAGCAATCGCTTCTGCAGGCATCTAGTCCATCCATGCAAGACCTTACCACACCATGCAGGTGTGATCGCTGACACAAAGCACATGAAGAGGCGAGCGTGGCAGAAGATTGCCCAGGAAGAGGGCTTGCGAGTTCCCAGCGACGAGCAGCTTGACAAGGTGGCGGACATGCGTCTGGAGAGAGCAATCATGGAGGTGCCTACCAGCCTGTGTCCAGGGATTTGTGGGGATTTTGAGCACACATGCAGATGCACCCTTCTTTAGTCCTTGCCTGCATACCTTGATCCAAGGGAAGACTTGGTGATCGCAGGTGTTTCGATGGTCTCAAGATTGGAGCAGAGCCAAGGATTTGGCTTGGAGAGTGGCGAGTGCATATGGTGACGAGTTTGCAGCAGCCTCAGAGCCCCAGCCCGGCGTGCGAGAGTGGCTGCATGTGCTGTCAAAGGTCAATGTGCCATGTGCAGTCGTGTCCACATTTGACAGGTCAGCGCTGTTGGAAATTTCATTTTCGTTGCTGTACCAGCTGCTCACGTTTTGACAGCTGTGACTTTCACTTCTTGGGTGAGCGCTGCTCAGATTTCTGTGGATGGGGCAGGATTTCTGTGCGGAAGGCGCTGGAGAAAATGGGCATCCTGGAGTTCTTTGTGGCCTCTGTGACTAGCGAGGATGGGATGGAGACACTGAGTCAGCGCTTCTTGTGTTCGGCCATCAAGCTTGCGAGGCCGCCCAACCAATGCGTGGTGTTCACCTCCTCGCTTGCAGGGCTGACAGCAGCTCACAACTGCACTTCCAAGGTTAGGCCCCACCACAAATGAATTTTCCTGGTTCATGAGCGCATGCAGACGAGCTTTTATTTGTGTTATTTGGCATGCATGCAGGCTGTTGCTGTGCGGAGGAGACAGTTTCACCAGGCTGACCTCTCAGTCGTATCCCTCTCAGAACTCGCGGTCTACAACATTCGGCGCCTTTTTGCAAATCAGGGCAGCGAGTTCATGAGTTTGCAGCAGGAGACTGTGGGGAAAACACCCAAGCTTCACCGCATCCGCAATGCAACATTGTAGCCAAAAGTTCCCTCTGTGATGTGTATCCCAGGAGTCTGGATGAAACCTTATGTACAATGTTGAATTTTTTTTTGGAATCTCTGTATCGGAAAGACATTGAATGCCAGGCACTCGCATGAGGCTCCCTGGGTTTTTATGCATATTGTTTTGCGCCGTATTTCTTCAATTGTAACAGTGTCATGATAAACGAGAGAGTCTACATATTGATATTGCGGAATTTGGGGAAGGAGATTTTGGCCAAGATTCAGTGAGTCCTCTTGAGGGTCCAGAACTTTGAATGGTAGCAGTCCTCTGAGGACATTCTACTTTTTCCACTGGTCAGGCCCCCATAGCAACTATGACCACTTTTCAGAGGGATGGAGGCTCACATTTTGTGCACACTCAGTAAGGCTCATGGCATGTGGACTCCATCGGATGTGACTCTGATCTGAATGTGATCTGTTCAATTTCCACCAGTAAAATACTCAAGGTGGTCAGGAGTTCCCTTTGTTTTCGTGTATGCTTCGGCATGCATCCTCTCTTGTTGCCCTCCCTGACTCAAGTTTGACTGCCACTGGGTGCACGTACGTGCACTCAGAGGCGTAATGGTAATGGTGGCACCTGGCACGCGTGTGCCGGCACGGGGGCATGCAGTCAGTCACATGCAAGCGCACGATTTTGCCCATCTACGATGTGAAAGCTATCCGGCAATGCATCGATTACCAGGGCGTTCACCATTGTCTTTACAGTGATGCTCTCCTCTGCATGCAATTGCATGCACCGTGCATGTGACATCTGACCCGACTCGGGGGACTCGGAGTCTGCCAAAATTCGGCTGCCCGCTGGGGGCCGGTACAGCACTAGGTATGCCTACATCAGGCACCAAATTCCTGTTCGAGTAGTCTGGTAGTGCAGATGTTCGACACAGTGAGTTGAATTTGGGTTTCAGCGAATTCACTTTGATGACGTCACCTGCTGACTGTTCCATACCTGGTGCATGAACAAAGGCGAAGATTGCCTTGAAGACTCAGATTGCTAGATCGATTGACGACTAATGGTAACAAGATGTCAGTGTCTGCACCCCACATAGGCAGATTGCTTCCCAGTCGGACATCTCTTTTCATCTGTGATGTGCAGGTAAGGCAGATCCTCATGCCATACGTTTACTGTGTGGCCGTTCCTGAAGCGATGCCGTATACCAATGATACTTTATACTCGCAGGAGAGGTTCAGGACAACAATCAAGGGTTACCCTGCTGTCATTGACTCTGCAAGGAGACTGGTCAGAGGGGCAGCAGCCTTGGAGATCCCTATAATATGCACCGAACAGTACCCAAAAGCATTGGGCTCTACAGTCCAAGAAGTGCTGGAAGTTTTGCCAGATGCTTGCAAGCCTGTTCCAAAGACCGACTTTACGATGTTGGGTGAGTCGACCACAATGCCTAGTTGAGAAATGTCTTTGAGATCTGCAGAAAGGTGTGAACAATGAATACTGAAAGCAACGTTGGCCTTCAATTTATTGGGCTGACATGCACTATAACCTGGTGGATTGATCGAAGTATCTGCGCACGACAGTTCCAGAAGTGAAAGCCCAGCTGGACAGCATGCGCCATGTGAAGCAAATTGTGCTGGTGGGCATTGAAGGCCATGTCTGCGTTTTTCAAACAGCTTTGGATTTACTGGGTGAGGCTTGCTCTCCTGGGAAATCATAGCTATGGATGCTAATAGCGCATGCAATGCTTGAACTCTATTCCATATATTTTGGGACTTGTTGCATGTGTCTCACAACACATGCAAACGTTTCAAGTGCCTTGCATGTCATGCGCTCTCTCTGGTTGAATTGCAATGGATTCTCTTTGATTTCTTTCCTCCTTCCTCATGGTGAATATGTTGTACAGAACTGGGGTATGAGGTCCACGTTGTGGCTGATGGGGTGTCCTCATCTCGATGGCTGGACAGAGCAGTTGGTCTTCAGGTGAGAGCTCTCCTGACATTGATTGGCTGCAGTAAATACCCTCAAAAATTGGAGCGTCTTCTTGCCGAGTGATCGGTTTGCTTGAATGATGCAGAGAATTGCTCAGAGTGGTGGCTTCCTTGTGACAGCGGAGATGGTGCTCTTCCAATTGACAGGTGGTTCAAAGGTGAGGATTTTGTTATTTCTGCATTGTTTATTATATCTATGTTCATCATCAGCAGGCCAATTAAGCTAGCTGCATGCAATAAGTGTGCTGCTTGGTGACTGTGTGCAGCACCCAGCTTTCAAGACAATCAGCAATCTTGCCAAGGAGAGCCGTCCTGAAGCGCTGCCCATCGTCTCCATGCTCTAAGCCACACGTTCACAATGGGTTTCAAACACTCGAAAATAAGCAATTCTGTCAGTCGGGATATCCCTGACCTTGACACACTGCGCTCAAGGCATGCTGTTTACTTTTATGCTGCGTGTCACCTTGCTTGTCAACCTGCAACTCTGTGAGCGCTCCTGAAACCAGGAAGGAAATTATACATGTAAAAGCAACTGGGCCTTACTTGAAAATGTTCTCATCTCACTCTCTGGCGCAATTCTGCATATCTCTGAAAAGCTGTCAGAAAATACTTATCTCCTCCTCCGATCCTCTAATATACACCACCAGCTCTCGACCTCAGAGAATGCGACGTCGGCGCGTGTACGAGAAGAGGGCGAAGAAGACCCACACACAGCACAGCACAATCCCCACGGTTGTTCCCCAGAAGCCAATGATGCTGTCCTCTAGCGTGGATCTCAAATTCATGCCGAATATACCGGCAACCATGGCTCCCAGTGCTGCAGCAAAGCTGCCGATGCTGAGGGTCAATTCGAGCCGGTTCACCTGTAGCAGCAGCATGCATGCATTCATGAGCCATGTGGCAATAACCCATGTGTGGCGCGCCCCAACACCCACTCACTCGAACACTGCTTTGAACACAGAGCACAGAATGGACAAGCCTTCCGAGTGCACGGACTTCCCTTCGCTCACCTCGAAGCGCCGTGCAGAGAGGGAGACACCAATGGACTCTTCCAAGTCGCGTGCCCCTGCAAGCAGGCGCTCTGCCTCGCTCTGAGTGCCGGCCGCTCTCTGCAGGTAGTACTCCAGCAAATCCTCAGTTTCCTCCACCTCTCTCTCTTCCATCTCTGCATCGTCCATCTCCTCTAGCGCAGCCTCGGCTTCCACATACCCCTCTCCATCCTCTTCATAGCCCCTGCACAGCCAAGCAGGAAAGGGTCTCATCTGAATGTCAAGGGTCCCGCTCATCAGGGAGTCTGCTGCAAAGCATGCTAACCCTCCAGCCAATCATTGAGATCAGAGATGGAAGACAGACAGAAGTTTGCATCACCTCTCCCTATCTGAATCCCAGCGCCCGGCCCGGAGTGAGGAAGACGAGGAAGGGCGATGCCCCTCGCTGTTATGCGGTGTGGACGTGCCAGGCTCTGACGCTGATCGCCGTTCCCTATCCTCTGAACTGCTGCCACGGGTCTTGCTCCCAGGGCCACCCTGGCTCCCGTTGTCGCTGGAACTGCTAGCCGCGCTGCTGCGCGCCAACTCCCTCTCTCTGCAGGCACCCAGCTTGTTAAAGGACCCAAGCAGGATCTGCAGGATTTGAGAAATTATGGACTGGGAACACAAGCTCCCAATGCAGCAAAGCTATCCCTTACATTCCTAAGCACATTTCAAGACACATGATAGTTAGCAGGGCAGGCGGCTGGGCAAAACTCGCACCGCTCCATGCCTCGCTCCAGTCTCTCTCTCTCACGCAGACGACGACGGTCCTCTCGAATGGGACGGCTGCTGAGGTTCATTTTGCACACCTCATCATCGTCATCCATTAGTTCCTCTAGCATGTCCCTGGTAGTCAGCATCAAAACATTAGGATATCTCACTCATCGTATGAGCACCTTTGTCATTACATGAAGGTTGGTATAGAGCAAGAACACTGCTTTGGACTGTGCGAGACTCTGACCTCAGGTTGTCTGCCTTGGACTCCAACTCCACTAGACACTGCTTGACCCGTCGCAATTCCTCCAGGTTCACAGGTGTGATGTCGCGCGGTAGGTTCATCAGTACATTGCTGACTCTCTTTGACACAGCCACAAGCTCGGCATCCAGGCGCCCTGCCCATGCACAGCTCTGGTCAACCTTGCTGTGCTGTGCAATTAGCATCAGATGTCACCCTGACTCACAGGATCACTGTTGCAGCAAACGTATTGCGCCAGGAGAAGGCCCAGCATACCTGTGGCGACCATGAGAGCACCTTCAAGGATCTCAAGCTCAAAGGGCGGTAGCTTTTCTTCGTCCTGGGGGAACAAAACATTCTGCCCATGCTTCTGCTGCCTCTCATGCGCGCCTTCTGAGGCTTGTAGCCGCGGGCAGACAATTTCCAAGAATTTCTGAGAACAGGGGCTGTTCGGCTCGAAAACCAGGCACTTGTCCGCACGTATAACAGACCTGCTCAATAACCAAGATGTTGCTCAGCTGCACAAGACATCACAAGCAAAACAGCTGCATCAACTAGTTGGGGATAATTTGCATGTGATGGCTGCCACACCTCACGCCTCCCAGGTTGATGACAAGGACATTGTCTTTGATGGTGATGTTAGGCGATGTCTTTGTCAAGCTCAGAGAAGGGTCGATCCGCCGCAAATCACGTGGCTGCAGCCCGTTTGCGCGAAGCAAGTCTCGCCGCTTGACATAGATGCGCCGAGTCTTTCCTGCAGGATCTACCCTTAGCACCTGCAGAGAATGCATTTCACCAAATCTGAGCCGGCGTTGGCAAGGAACAGCCTATTAGAACCACATCTCATTTTGGAACCATTGATGCTGAGGACCTCACAGGGATCCTTAAATTGGGAACAAAAAAAAGAAGAAAAGCTCGTGCATGCACCACACCTCATAGATTGCACGGCCAACTGACGCAGCAGTCTGCCCGTGGTCAACAGCAATCTCCTCTGGGGTGTCAATGTTGTCCGTGACTGTGCTTGCAGAAGGACTGAACAGATCCAATGCACTGAGAGCATTTTGGAACAGCTCTGGAGGTGGACCAGTTGCTGTGGCACCGTTGGTGGTGGTGCTTGGGGCCTCCTCCTGACTCTGATATGCAAGGTTTGCCCCTTCAGCTGTGCGATTTTGGGCTCCCAATGGGCTCCAAGCGGTCCCGTGTGCTCTATGGCGCAGTGAGGATCCGTGCACTGGCGCAGACAGCCAGGCTACATGCCCAAGCTTTGCTGGAAGGACTTGATGAGCGATGAAAGTGCTTGCTGAACTTGGGGGCGATGGACCAACAGCGACCCGAAAACAGCGGACCCCCATGCCAGTGCCCACGGGGCCCAACCTCCCCAGAAATCGTTCAAGGCTTCAACTTTATGCAAGGCTCAGGTGTCTCATGGACTCTTATTTCCAATGAAACACCTGGGCAGCCGGAATCTTCTGCCCAATTTTGACTCTATTTGTATGGCTCATAAACGTGAGGAGAGAGGTGCAATGGATCTGCCAATCATCAACGACTGATGCCTGTTGGCTTCCAGCCATCCCACTGCCAGGTCACCAACCTGGTTTGGAAGAACGCCCCCGGCGACCATTCACCCTTGGGCGCGCCTTCATTTCTTTGAGAGCTGGCATTTCTCCCAGAAGAAATCCTTTCTAGAGTCAAAGCTTCGCCTGATTCACTGTGCTTTGTGACTGTCAATTTTACGCCATGGGTGCTGCCGTGGAGAACAACAGCGACCTCAAGCGCCTGAACTTCATCAAGGCCTACTCCATCTTTGCTCTGGACAAAACCTACAGCATCGCCTCCAACCTCTACACAACCGGCAAGGGCTATGCGCCTTCCAGCCTAGAGCCCCGCATCAAGGCTGTGGAAGAGAAGGTGACGGAGGTCGGCTCGCCCCTCGTCTCCAAGCTGCAGGATCGGAGCGAAAATGTGCTCCACACGCTGGACTCAAAGGTGAGACCCTGCGCCGTGCTCTGCTGCGTCGTCTGAATTCTGCAAGTGATGCTGGCCCCACCGTAGTCATGCGGGCCGGATGAATGCTGCTCTTCTGTGTCCCTTGGAAGGAGCTTCACCTAAGGCTGTGCACCTCATCGGGCTGTGAGCTTCTTTGCGGCGCGGGGCGTGGGCTGACGTGCCCTGAGTGTGCCGTGTGCAGGTCGACAGCCTTTTCATTCAGGCCGGCAAGCTGTATGACAGCTCGGCGGCGGAGCTGCAGACACAGGTCAACCATCAGAAGAAGTTCCACGAGAAAAACCTGGAGCACTACAAGCAGGCTCGCGAGGCTTACCTGAAGCGCATCGAGGAGACGGTGGACTTCTTGAAGAAGGAGGGCATCTCAGGCGCCGCGAAGCTCGCTGCGGACACCGTCGTCGCCCGTGTGGAAGACGCGAAGCAGCTGCCCGCCTACATCGACAAGGAGGCCAAGGTCTGAGCGCACACCCAATTATGGCATGTCACATCGCAAAACAGTGCCAAGGAAACTCTTTCCATGAGCTTGCAGTGCCCTGAGGAGAAGGAAGTGGCTTTGACAGCTCAACATGTGCTGACGCAGGTGGTTGTGTCCCGTGTGACGGAGGCCTGGAACAAGCTTGCGAGCTACCCAGCAGGTACATCTTGTCAGCACAGCTGCTAGTTGTTTTCTGTGCCAGTGCAATTCAGTGAGGACATGCCACTCATGCACTGACTGCTGACCTGCTGTTCTTGATTTGCCTTGCAGTTCAGAAACTCCTGGCGACAGCACAGCCTTCCATCGACTTTGCCTGGAAGAAGTACTCTCAGGCGCATGACACCATCATGGTGAGCTGTGGACCATTCCAGATGCCACTCAGCAAGCTTCTTGCTCAGATTAGCAACATTGCATCTTGCTTGGGTGCTGCAGAACCTGACCAGGCTCGTGGATGTTGCAGGGCTCGCCATACTATCACGCATACTACAACAAGGCTGTTGACAACGGATCCTTTGTCCTGTCAAAGGTAGGACACTGGCTGTAAGTGCCTTGTGCTCGCGTGGCTGTGTCAGTAGTAGGCGTCTTCAGACATGCATGGATGTGCAGGTTAGCTCACATCTCTGCATTCCTTTGATGTACAGGTGCAGGAGACAGATATCTACTCGCGCATCTCGCCTTACACTGATCCGGCGATCGGCAAGATCACAACCTCCCCCTACTACCAGGCAACAGTGAGCCACCTCAAGCCCATCGCTGTCAATGGCAAGGCATGATGGAGCAGCGGCGCATGAACTGCTAAGCGCAGAGCTCACTTTGCGTGTTCCTCGTCAATATACAGTCTTAGGTGAATGGCGTATGAGCCCCGGAGTGTTAGGCGTGTTTGTGTCTTTTTGTGTACTATGGATCAGGAAGTACCATTGTGTTTGTATGTGAGCACGACAACCTTGTGCTTCCACAAGGACACTTGTCAGCCACAGCCAATTTGACTTTTAGGGCCTCAGCTGGTAGGTTGCATGCGTGTTACCTGGTAGAGTGTGTAGAGATAATCGCGGATTGGTGACTCACTCGGAGTCTCTGGTGTGGGTTTAAAGCATGTCTGTATTGGTTTGCTCGCGTCAAATTTGTCTCAACCTGCAACACAATTTGTTTGTGGCAAGGATGAGAGCTGATTATTTCTGTTGCCAGAGTGACATCTTGTTTGTGCTTTGCCGCAGCGGCTGTCTTAGATGATGCCGTTTAGATTTCAGCGCTTGCAGAGCAGGCTCATTATTGCAATCTTGACTGGCAATATGCCACCTACCCATGGTCTCAGGGAGGATTTTTAAGTGGATTAGAGTTTTTGAGAGGATTTGCAGAAGAATTTAACAGCACTGTGTGCTGGGCATAATGGTGTGGCTATGTCATTGTAAGTATTCCCTTACAGATATACGGTGGCAATTGAGCGCAATATTGCTCTCTTGTGCTGATGGCCTCTTGCCTGGCGCACGCTGGAAGAGTCCATCATTGCACATTTCAAAACCAGATTGAGGACAAGACCTCTCTTCTACAAACAAATCCAACCGCTTTGAAATGGGCCTGCAACTAAATGCTGGTCACTCGTTCTTGTTAGATCATCCCAGGATCCAGCGCTCACACGTGCGCAGCACTCAGTGTGCTGCCTCAACTAAATGAAGTCAACCATTAAAGACTGAAGATGACCTCCAAAAGGTGTCAAAAGCCAGCGAAGTTGGCACAGATGCTTCCTAGCAAAATGAAATATACCACATCGAACGCATCAGCCCTCAGAAGAGCTCTGTATACTACTCGAGATCCATCACAATCGGCGAGCTTGACAGGGTGCCAGCATTTGCTCTGAATGCAGGATGTCCTGGTTTTGAAATCAACAAGACTTGTATAGGCCAACAGCAAACCTTTTATGAGCCCATCAAGTCACTGCAGCTGTGTGAGACTTCCTCAGGCGGCTGCGATCAATAGTCAGCCCGGTGTCTGGCTCCAACGAGCGTGTGGCTGGCTTCACAACTGCAATGGTGACGGCCGGCTCTCCAGGAGGCGGAGACGCGGGCGCCTGTGCATAGCCCTGCGCACAGTACACCTTTCTCAATCCCTCTGAACATTTGGATGGGTCAGGGGCGCGCATAATGCGATTTGTGGGAGGGGTTGGGGCCCTCAGATGTGATCAGACCAAGTCCCACCGTGTCTTTGGCCCGCTGCTGCGAGTCTTGGTAGCTGAAGTAGGAATAGAGGATCCCACCACCAAGCCCAATCACGACACCCACAACGTTGCGTGGCTCAAACCTGACGTCACCAAAGATAAACATTCCCAGCCCTGTTGTCAAGATGTCCTTCATTTGGCCTGCATCACCATTACTCCCATTAGGCACAGTCACAAAAATGAGGCTGCAGTGCAAAGAAGGGGTCGTCAATCAATAATATTGCAGCTCAGCACCTGTTACTGTGGTCGCCAATGGCGAGTTGACCGTTGTGCACCAGAATATGCACATGTTCAGGAGGAATGCTTGCGAAGCAGACAAAAACAGGAAGATCTGCAAGCAGGGCATCGCTGGTCAGACTTGTATTTATTCCAATGTGCACATCAAAGCTGACATTGTGCTGGCAAGGTTACACTCTTGACCATAATAAGGTAAGGCTGCTATGCTGTCATGATAATGGATTCAAAGATGAGAAAGCAAAGCCAGTGCAAAATAACCGCAGAGCGGTCATCCCCAGCCCTGCCTGAAAACTGGCGTTGTGGATCTGTGGGTACAGCGCAACGTCTCGAAGCTCATTTGTGGTTGTGAGCATGAAGCTCGTCATAACTGGCAGAGCCAGGACATTGTTGTAGAACAACAAAGCTGACTGCGATAGCCCTGCTCAGCATCCGCAGGGAACAAATTAGAATTGCGAGTCATCGCCATGAAGACCTTCCAGGCATCTTGCCAACAAACGAGGATATCATGGTGGAACTTGGCTGACAACACACCTGTCTTGTCTTTCAGGAGTCTGATGAGGAGCAAGTAGACGGCTGTGCTGACAGCACATATTGCGACATACACATAACCCGGCAGGCTGTAGGTCAGATCTGTTGCGCCTGCTATAACTGCTCCCGTCACCATGAGCACAATTGAACTCTGCACCAAGCAGCACATGTCATTAGCTTGGGGTGACTGAGGAGATGCAGGAAGGCTGATCACACTTCCAGATGATGGGCATATGCTGCAGCAATACAGTTCTTTCAGCAGGCCACTTTATGTTCGGGGGTAAAGCGTGAGGTCACCAGTCCTCTCGGTGTTGGTGTCTTGGAGAGCAGGAGCCATTCGCCACCAACCACCAAGAGGGTTGTGCTCCGTCTAAAGACACTACAAGAACACAGAAAAGGATGGGGCTGAGGATCTGCTGTAAGGCATCCAGATGACACACTCCAAGCCAAGATTGAAATACACACCTGAACATTGGTACTGTGAGGTATCGCAGCGCAGTTACACCAGACACCACATAAAGCCACCAGAATATTGTCAAAGGCAACACCTGCGATCAAAGAGTCAATCAAATGACAACCCTGTGAAGCGCAAAGAGCATCTACACGTTGAACAAGGCGGATGCAAATAAGAACCTGAGCCAACTTACCGTGAGAGCCGTCTTCATTGAGATAGGCTCAATCTCCAGCCATTTGAAGTTTTCCAGTATGAGCATGTACACTATGGAAATGATGATCTGCAGGGTTGTGACAAAGTTGGGGTAGTTAAATTGGTACACAGAGAACACTGCTTTGTTGAACAGTGTCATAGATACTGACACTGCCCCATACGAGAGGCATGCCGATAACTGCTTGACGCTTTGCTTGCTCAGGTTGAGCACCATCTGCTACAACCTTGTTCTCTTATTTGTCAAGATCGAGTACCATCTGTTGCCCTGTTCTCTTACAATAAAGAGGCAAACGACGTCTGATCTAGAAACATTCCTACAGATTGTCGATTATGAGTATCAATCCTGTGCCTGGCTTTGAGATCAATACTTTGGGATCAAATGCACACCCAAGTGCAATGGAAAGTCCCGCCAAACCCTGCTCGATTAGGCTCCTATGGGTTTGAAAAATAAAAAGACAGATCCAGACATATCTCAGACAGTTGTAGTCCATGTGAAACTTGAACAGATCTAATGTCTTTTGCATTTGCGCTGTAACAGGAACTCAGACAGAAGCACATGGCATTTTACATCTAGCGAAACATGCTGCACTTGGGCTCAAGTTTAAGCAGCCTGCCACTGATGTATCTCCTCAGATCATCTAGGTCATATGAAAACTTAAAATATCATTGCGCAGCCTGCACTATGCCAGGATGATCTGTGACTCTATCACATACATAATCTTGAAGTTGGAGTGTGTACACTGTGACAGACAAGATCAGAAGTCTTTGAAGACCCCTGTTGACACATAGCGTTTGTTGCTCTTCGATGCATGCATATCCTCAGGGCCACCGCTGAAATTGCGAGTGTCCTCAGGGTGTGTCACCTGGTCATGCAACAAGATGTCAGCAGTTGCAATGCGCCTGACGTGTGCCACGTACATCTAGAATTTCTTGTGACACGTGTATAGTACTACAAAAAGGCTCAAATGTCCTAACACATTCGAGGCCAGAATTCCTGTGGGATCACCTGTGGGATGTATGGGGCCTTTAATTGGCGCTTGGAGAAGGCAGCCCAGTCAAAATTTGCAAACCAAGGGTGTGCTTTGACATCAGCAGCTCCTGCCTTGAGAGCACCCATCCTCTGGTTGGGATTGTGCACCAGCAGCCGCTTGATCAGATCCCTTACTTCCTGCGCATCACAGAGTCCACTAAGCTGCGTATCTGATACACCTGGCTTGCGCTTCACCTGGACACAAGAGAGATTGAGCAGACCACCACCTTTGAGAAATGTGATGGCACGCTGTACTTGACTTGGCAGATGTTCTTGAACATGGCGACGCGATCCTCATCATAGAAGGGCGGATACCCGGCGACCATCTCATAGATCAGCACCCCCAGAGCCCACCTGGTGAGCAGAGCGCAACAATCCACTTGTCAGTTGCAAGGTCATGCGCTATGTGCATCAATCCCTGGTCCATGCAAACCCACATTGGGCAGATATTATGTGTGGGATCGGCACGTACCAGTCCACTGCCCGAGTGTGGCCAGCTTGTGTGACCAGCTCAGGTGCGAGGTACTCTGGCGTCCCACACAAGGTGTTGGACTTCTGTCCAGGGGGCATTTTCTTGGCAAAGCCAAAATCGGCCATCTTCACGTAGCCTGTTGTTTCGATGAGGAGGTTCTCTGGTTTCAAGTCCCTGTGTCACCAGAAGGAGAAACTCATGAGTGTTTTGCCATTCTGACCCCTCAGAGAGGTGGTGCTTCGTGAAATTATTTGAGCTTGCGTTCTGCTGCTTCTACATGAGGCTGGCAGCATGCATGCATGCACAGACAAGACAGAGAGCAAGCAGAAGCTGCAGTGAGCACCTCCACATGAGGTTGTGCTCCTGCATGTACTCCAGGCCACACACCACGGAGGCAGCATAGAAGCGAGCGTGGTCCTCCTTGAGAGGGCCTGAGCGTGACTGCAGGTAGGTGAACAGCTCCCCGCCCATGACACACTCCATCAGCATGTACAGGTGCGAGCCGTCCTTGAAGGACGTCACCAGGTTCACCATGAAGGGGCAGTCGCACTCCGCCATGATCTGCTTTTCCCGCTTCACATGTTCCTGGCAATTAATCACCACAGAAGTGTAGTGAGGCATGCAGGACTGCGCTTGTATTCATGCAGACAAGGTTTGCCAGCATTTGAAAGAGATCAATGGGAATAGAGAGCAGCATGCTTACATGGAGGCCCATTTCAAGAATCTGTTGTTTGCTCAGGGATTTGAGCGCCATGTATGCGCCTTCATGCTTGACCAGCATTACTTGGCCAAAGGCTCCGGACCCCAAAACAGCAATCTTGACAAGATCTGTGGCTTTGATGTCCTGCGCCACAGATGACCGGTAACATGAGGATGAAATCACAAAAGGCACAAGCATCCGGTCACTGCAAAAACCTTCAACATATTGCTCACCTTCTTTGCTGACACTGCAAGACCGTACTTTGCAGCTTGTGACTCCAAAGCCTTTGCCAAGGGCCCCATGAGCTGCAGGAAGTCTGCACGGCCCAGCTCAAGCAGATCACAGTCTGTCAGGGCCAACACTGTGGCTGCGCGTGGCTCATTGCGCAGCAAAGCCAACTCCCCAAAGTACATCGTGGGTCCCAACCTGCCAATCTCCTGCAGAGGAATTGGAAGAGGATGTGTTGATGTTATGCCAACTAACACTTCAGTGTTTCAAGCAACCCTAATCTCAAAGTGTTGGAAAGGTCTGCATGGGGAATTGTGGAAGGAGCAGCACACCTGACTGGCCACGTTGTGCACGACACAAGTGCCAGCCTCCACCACGTAGAAAGTGTTGCCTGTGTTGCCGGCTTGTACGATGGCTGTACCAGCCTTCACATGCAGTGGCTTGAGCACTGTGCACAGCTGCGACCGCTGCGGTGGCGTCAAAGTCGAAAAGAGTGGTACCTGCCCGTGCATGCAGCATCAGCATGCTGGACAAGTCTCATAAGCATGCACAAGCATCCCCAAAGCCGATCTTTTGCAGAGCCGGTACATTACTTTGCAGACCTCTCCGTGATAGAGTAGTGCACCTTACGGAGTGCTTCAAAGCGCCACATGTGGCGGATGTGGGTGAGGCTCCCCAGAAGGCCATTGAAATCGTCGCGATGCAACGCCAACAGGACACCATCGGTCAAGGCCTTCACGTTTGCCGCCCTCAGATCCTACGGGTCATCACGGCGCAATGAGAGCATGTGCACAGGACTTGTCAACATTACAGCTCCACAGGCTCACATTTCCGATTTTGGAGTTGTACGTGTAAAACCAATAGAATCTTCGCGATCTGTCAAGGCTTCATAAGATTGTGGAGCCATGCCTGATGCATCAGCGCGAGCTCGCCAAAACATGATCCCTTTGACACGCGCGCCAACTCCTTACCGCTGTTGTCAAAGATGGTGAAGGTCCCCTCCTCAATGACATAGAAGACATCACCTGCGCACACCTTCTTTCAGAAAGCAGCTCCTTTGTGGGGAATCAGCCTCATTGATCTGTAGGAAAAAGGAAATATTAATCTGTACACGTGCAAGTGTGACATGCTCAATAAATATACTGGCTTGCACATGCAGTTGCATGCTAAGGCCATCCAGGTGTCTTCAAAGATTGCAGGACATGTGTGGTACCTGGATCCCCCTGCCGGAACACCATCTGGCCGGCAGAAATGGCATGGTTCTTCATGCAGTGGGCCAACTCAAACAGCTGCTGCTCTGAGAGCGCAAACAGGACCGGGACCTTGCGCAGCGCCTCAAACCGCCAGACATCCTCAATCGGCCCCAGCAGCTCATCGAACGCTTTCCTTCCCAGAGAGTAGCAGACTGTGTAGATGTCAGCTGTGACGTCCGCCGCCCTGCAATGTGCCTCCAGCATATCAGATATCTGCTGGGGCATTTTCCTCTTGTGCATGTGCTGCTCAGATGAACAAAGGATTAGCAGTACTGAGAAGGGCTGTGGCTCACCGGACATCATCCTTGATGAGGGCGCGTTCACCAAAGTAGGACCCCTCTGCCAGCTTGGCAAGCACAGTGCGCTCCCCTGCGCTGGTCTTGGACACCGTCACGGCTCCCTCCTGGACGATGTAGAAGCGGTCGCCCTTCTCGCCCTGCCTGAATATTGTCTGCCCAGCCTTGAACTCCACCGCCTCAAGCGCGCCAGCCACCAGGTCACGGCTCTCCTGTTTGCGCCATCACATTATCATGAGATCCAGCTTCCCCTTGTCATCATATACATCTTCTGGACTGCATCGTACTGCCCTGTGCTCAGCCAACATTCATGTCTGCTTGTTTATGCATGCAAGAAGAGCAATGCAAGATGGTGGCAGACATCTTCACAGCAGTGTACTGAGCCCCACCTCTGACAGCACTGCCAGCATTGGCACGGAGCTGACCATCTTCCGCTTCAGTGCTGCCACCTGCTCCTGGTAGGTGCGCTTTATGGAGTTGTACACCGCCCTCTCCATCACCCACAGCTTGCAGTCCGTGACGGCCAGCACGGTTGCAGCTCGAGGGGCGCTGTACAGGAGGGCCAGCTCCCCAAACCCACTGCTCTCACCAGCACCTTCCGTCAGCCCATGCATGGCCCATGTGATGTGCAGTCAGAAAACTTGCATTTGCGAGAAATATCCCAGAGCAGCAGAGCCCACGTACCTGCCGGATGGGTAGGTGTGGACCTTCTTTGGGATGTAGCCGGTGGCTTCATTGTTTATCAGCACATCACAGGTGCCCTTCTCAAGGACATAGAACTTGGTGGCGTCGGTGTCGCCCTGATTGATGATGGTGGTCCCAGCACTGACCATGTGCAAGGACATGCTGCGGAAGATTGCTTGCCGCGCCGGGAGAGACAACATGTCAAACAGCAAGTTGCCTTCCACCGCCCTTTCTGCCAGCACATGCAATGGATGCGTCAAAGCTCCTTGGCAATTGAGCAGCAGACAGGCAAGGAGAGTCATCTATCTTCATCAGGCCACAAGCGTGGAGTAGCCGCACCAAGGACCCGCAACACAGCTTCAGTCTTGGGTATGTTGGGTATTTTGACGTCAGAAGCAATTGATAGGGCGTCAGCAGCTATAGCAATACGCTTCCTGGCGACTTTCATCCTCATCAATTCTTCAGAATCGGCCCCAGCTTCCACCACCTGTGCTGCCTGCGTCCAGTGGCTTTGTGTCGAGTCTCAAGACATTCAAGAAGCAGAACCCATGCGTGAAGTATTTGTACAAATATTTGTTCCTTTTCAACCAAGCTGCAAAACAATTCTCTGGGAGATCACCTTGGGCTTCTGGATATCTGGTGCCGGTGACATTCTCTTGTCAGCAGCGCTCGAGAAGCAACAGTTGCCCATTACGCTTGAACGAGATTTTCTGCCTTCATCAAAGGACTAATTGTTCCTTTGATTCAAACTCATCTTATGAGGCTGTTCTGAATGACACAATATAATTATGCGTCGGGGCATCGGCACTGACGTCGTCAGGCTATGCACTTGCGAAAGTACAACTTATATGGCACGATGTTGAGCCCGCAAAATCATAGAAGAATTGCTAGCTTAACGATCCCAATGACAATAGATGTCGAAGACAAAAGCATTATTCGGGTGTGGACACGGACGTAACGCCCATATAGGCGCCAAGATCCAGCTGAGGCAGGGCCGAGCACCTTGCTTCATATGAAGGGCAGAGATTGTTTGGAAAGTGTGAATTTGGCACAAACCACCAAAGATAGCAGGTGCAACATGTTCGAACGTGAATCCAGTGAACTGCACCCATTTGCATTCAGAAGGTCCAGGCATAGTTAGCTACAGCTAGACTTGAGACCACTGGCAGTACTGGTAAGCACATGACCTGGCAAAACACCTTCAAGGGTGGGCCAAATGTGTTGCTTGACAATGTCACCCAAGGAATGACAGAGGGACAGGATTAGTTGCAGTCAAAAAAAGTACGCAAAATATGAAGGCAGGCAGGTAAGAACAAAAGACTTGATCTATGGAATCGTCAGTTCAAGCATGCAGGCTGCGTAGTATTGTTAGCACTGACACTCCAGATGATCACAAAACAACCCAAGGCCTCAACACCCAACTGCAAGGCCTTCTCAATACCATCCCAGGTTCTGTGACATGGTGACAATTAGTTTGCTCAAAGTATGTCTCACTGCACAATGGCAAAATTTCCGCGTGCTCAAAGTTTGCTCTGGGGACCACAAGATTCGCAGGCAGCACTGCTCCCCTGGTGCTCGCGGGATGCCTTGTTGGGAAGGGGCGCAATGTCCATCCCAGGATTGGCGTCGAAGAAGTTGACGGGCTTCAGATGAAATCCCACCTGAGCAGAATGACCAACACTTGTCAGTCAGAAGACGCGAGCCGAAACAATTTTACGTGTTCAACCATTAGATATTGACAGGTACATCCTCCTAATCTGTTGTAATTTTAGGCGCGCACCCTTTCCACTGGCATGACAGGCCAGTCCTCCAGGCGCGGCACATGAGTGACTCCAAAGGAATGCCATACGACGCAGTCGCTCTCCTTGATTTTGCGGTCCTGCACCCCAACACACACAGCTTCTTCTCAGGTACGGACAAGCCATGCCATGTACAGTGTCGGCAACATGAAGAGCGGGACTGTAAACTCAGCAATCACAACAATAGTTTGAAGTTGTTCCACACACAGAGAGAGGACAAGACAGAAAATCACACCAGACTGGTCCAGTTGGCGATGCTGTTGGTGTCACCAGCAAGCAGCGGGTAGTCTCCAGCTGGGAACTTCTCGTCATCCGAGTAGGGCGTCACCCACAGCTGTTTGGTGGCAAATGCCCCGCGGCGGCTGTGCTCGTTGCTCGGATGTGCGTACACAGGCGGCGACGCAAAAGGCATCAGCTTCCATGCCACAGGCACACCTGCACACCAAGAGCATGCATGCTTGCCTCAGGATATTATTGGCCTCTCATGGATACCTGAGCATCCAGCATAAACGAGGCAAACTCTATGCAAGCAGGGGTCGTCAGATCTACAGCGGCAAGTCCAGGAAGGCACCTGTGATGGAGTTGCGGGAGTGCATATTCTTGATCTTCCACACGCGCGAGCGACGGGGGTCCACCTCACGGACGGCCTGCAACTCTGTCTCGAAGGGAGTCTCTGTGGCAGTGAAGCCCACGCCATTCGGGTTGTCAGGCCCCAGGGGCATGGAGTCGCAGTTCACCTGACATGCAGCGCACGCGCTTCAGTCTGACTTGTCACATCTAAGAAAGTAGATGCTATATTCACTCTGGCAACACGCTTGCGATTGCTTCATATTACAGCCCATTATCTCCTCCTTGTCCAACAAAAGGAGTGGTTGCATCAGTAATAGTTTTCAAATTGCGCAGATATCGATGTGCATACCTCAGTCACCGTCAGGTTGCGACCACCATGGGGGTCATCCACGGCCATGTCCAAGCGCACACAGAAGAAGTGCTGGTGGATCTGAACACAGCATTTGCACGTTGATCAGTGCATCTTACAACCAACAAATGTCTGCTCTGCTACAGCTTCACAGTGCGCACAGCACTTGAGAGGACTTTCAGGGAATGCACTGGCGTTGATGATCTTCCAGTGCTTGTTGCAATATATTGACTGCTTTGGTTCAAAGTGAAGTCACACCTGAGCATTGAGGCCTGGGGCAAGCAGGGTCCCATGGGTGGGCAAGGGCCCCTCTCCCTCAGACAACATGTTGGTCGATAAGCAGCCGGTCAGCTTGACCTCATGCTCGATGGTGCCATCCTGGTAGAAGTACCAGAAGAAGCCGTACTCATAATTTGCAATCTGCGCAGTCATACCAGGTCCTTAAAATATTATCGAGGCAAACCCAGCACACGAGCTTATGAAGAGCCATGGCAAACGCAAAGTAGACTGAGCAGGAAGCACCCACCGTGGCAACAAAGGACAGGACGAGACGGCGGCTGCGGCGCACTTCGCTGTGGCCAGTCCTGTACTCCACATGCTTCCACAGGAGGCCATGATCCTCCTCGTGCATGCAAACTGCCTTCTTGATCAGCATCGGCTCTCCCTTATTCGTGTTGAGCATGGCATCAAAGTAGTGGATCTGCGATGCAAGACAAATTAAGGTCAGGACCGCCTGAGGAGCATGAGTCCCTGGGTGCAATGGATGAAGCTTCCTTGACATGGCAGTGAGAGCAGTGGCCCACAAAAGTCCTCATGCCATTTGTGAGCTGTAAAAATCTACTGTATGCGGCAACTCTGGGGGTGAATAGGGACACAATCAACAGAATAACAGCAAATAAAAGGGAACTTACATGGCCGAGGCAGTCGCAGCCGAGCTCCAGCGAGGAGCAGGAAAAACCAAGTCCATAATCGACAACATCAAAAGCACACTTCTTGTGGAAGGGCGAGCGTGGGTCGCCATAGGGCACAATGATCTCCACTGTGCTGGCGCGATGGAGGACGGGCCTAACGCGGCCCCCATCCTCATACCTACAGCAGAGTAAACACTCTGACTTCACTTGGGCACAGGAGCATCAATACAACAGAACATTCAAACATATGAATAGCACAAACTGGGCTGCAACAACCCTCTCACATGCAGATGCACGCCGACATGCGAAAAGGCTGCTGCATCTGCCATTGTGAGATGAAAGCACAGCGGAGTAAAGACGTGTGGCAGGACAAAAGCACAGCAGAGAGTACTGACCCGACATTGTGGAGCACCAGGCCCTCGCGGTAGTTGAAGGAGACGCGCATGTTCCATTTCTGCCAGCTGACTTCGTTGCCGTGCACCTGGAAGCTGGGGCCCTCCGGCTGCACGATGTTTAGCGGCTTGAGGCCTGCATGCGCGCCAAATCAGTCAGGACGCATGCATGGAAGCAATGCAGCACAACCTACAATAAGGCACGAGTTCATTGGAGGCCCCAGGTCTGACTGGGCCCCAGCAAGGGTCTGTGAGCGCGCCTGAGCGGAAGCCACGCTCCTTCTGCACAAGGGGTGCGAGGTAGTTGGTGCTGAGCTGGGGGATGACGGGCGAGGTGGCCTGCATGAGGGTGTCCAGCACACGGCCGGTGTTCATGTCCAGGAACACCACCAGGTCCAGGGGGTGCGCGTAGTGGTTGTCGTGCACCGAGCCGGAGCGCACGTACATGAAGCACTGTATGATGCGCCCATCGCTGTACTTGCTTTCTTCAGCTGCGCATTGGCGTAAGTCCACCATCAGCTCATGTTGCACACCGCAGCTTTGCCATTGCAGGGCGTGCACAACGGGATGGGAAGCGCACCAAAGCGGTCTCCGTAGTACCAGGGATCAGCAGCCACCATGTCCATATCGGTGATCCCATAGCGGTCCTTCAGAAGACCCCTTATGCCTGGGTCGGCTTTCACAATCTCCTCTGCTTCCACGCAATCCTCGATTGTGACCATGGGCTGCACACCTTCCACCTGTGTGACAAATTCGAGCGTGACAATGCTGCTGCGCCAATTCATTTCTGTAATAAATCAAAGAATGGCAAAAAATGTCCCAAGATGTGGGCTATGAAGCATCCTCAGAGCCCCAGCACTATGTAAGACAGGGAGAAAGTGCGATCGTGCACTTGGTTACATCATGTTGTACCATAAAACAATGACGGAATGCGCGCCTTGACCCAGTTGAGGACGGCCGGAACAGGGGAGGAGAGATCCACAAGCACTTCGGCCACAGACGAGTTGGGTTCAGAGGGAAGCTGCACAATGCAGTGCGCACGGCGAGGAGGCTTGGCCAATCGCCGGCCGCTTGCCTCGTACTCTAGCAATGCTGCCTTTGGTGGCTCCTGCGAATTTCAAAGGCTATCAAAATACGTCAGTCGAGGAATCCGAGGTTGCGACATACCAAATTTTGCTGAAGCAGATGGCTTTGGAATGGAATGAAACTAAGAAGATGACACAATCACACTGGATAAAAATGCATGCAGATCAAGAACTGCCCTACCTCGAGGGTGATGGCATTGAAGCGGAGTTGGGTCAGCCCCAGGGAGTCCGCATGCAGTCGACAGGCCTTTCCAGCGGCTGAAACCTCGGCAGCGGTCAGGGGATCGAGCGGGTGCGCGGTCGTGGGGACAGCGCCAATTTGATGTGGCGTCAGAGCTGGACGGCTTACAAGCCCCAGCAGGTTGTCCACGAAGGTGGGCTTTGTGACGGTAGTAGAAGGCGCCATTGGAGGGTTCACAGAGGGTGATTTGAAGCTAGATCAAGTTGTGATTGAGGGTCCTGAAGACTAACGTACGCTCTTTCTTGCAAACCTTTGAGGAGAGATAATGGGGCTGGCCTGATCAGTATAGTCACTTGCATACCTTTGCAGAAGGGAATGAATTGGGGGTTGAAGCGTACATTGGTTATTCAACAGATCAAGTTAGTGCGCGATTGGTTTTATGCTGAGAATTTGCTAAATATTCTCAGGACACAAGGAACACCGTTTACGAATCCTGGCAACGTGACAATGCAAGGGGTTTAATAAGAACATCAAATGACGACCCAGAATTACGAAGCAGTTCAGACCAATTCTGGAGAGTATGGGAGCTCTTGGAGCTTCCAAAGCTGAGAGTCTCTGTTTTCTTGGATGCAAATTTTGACACTAAACAAGTGGTAGGCATGCCCATGCCTGCTAGAAAAGACAGTCAGCTAATGAAGCTGCATGCGCATATATGCGTAGGGTTGAGGTGTAGGGTGAACAAACCCAACCCCAACTGAACATGCATGTATATGTGCATCATGCTGTTGATCACTTAGACTCGCTTCAAATTGCGTTGAGCTTCAACTATACCAGGTAGGGACCCTCAAGCCCGCCACTATGGCCCCTCGCCTGGAACTACTGCGTAGAGACTACTCAGTATGACAGGCTGTCATTGTGACGCACATCTGCTGTACATGAAGGCAACATGGTAAGCTGGCTGGCACCAGCTTTGCAATGGTCATCGGTACGCTACCAAAAGCTCTGTGCACTTCAAATTGAAAGGCATTACAGTGACCGTGCTGTGCACACGTCATTATCCCTTAGAGGCACCATATCATTGCCACTGGGAACTTTGCTGTGGCACTCGCCTGTCATGTATATGGAACTCAGGGTTGAACTATTGACTCAGAGCTTACAAGTGGCTAATCCAAGTACAAAAATTAGGAGGTGGATAGGCGTGTGGAGTCGCCTACAGCGTCCATCATGTGCTCATACCAGGTCCCAATTCTTGTTGTGTGCATCAGGTCCATGAAGGTATCTGTGCATGTGATGCTCCGAACGACCCCGAAAACAGACAGATCCGCAAGGTCCGGTTTTGATCCGCCATGGAACCTGCGCACGCAGTGTTTACAGTGAATCCTTGATTGCGAGAAGCACATACAGGAGGCTGAGACCCTCGCGCATCATTCACCGCATGTAATTCTTGCACAAAAGATGCAGACATGCAAGTGCTCTGTCTGATGAGGAGAATACCTCTGATCTCCAAGCGCCTCTGTCCACTTGTTGGCAGCCTGGTAAAGTTCCTCCCGGACGTCACCCTCAATACCGTACTTCTTCTTCAGGCGGCCAGAGATGCCCCACATCATGACGGCGCCAACCACACGAGCGGCCTCCCTCTCAAAGAAGCCAAAATTGCAGCTGCTCGCCGTGATGTAGTCAAATGTCTGATAGGACTCGCGCATGTTGCGGTAGATGTTGACTGTGAGCAGGCGCACCAGGCGCTCATCTACCCACCGGCGCCACTCTTCCTCATCTGCTTGCTCAGAACGGTCCAGAGAGGAATTTCCCGACGCCTGCACAACATGACGTGAACAGTCAGTCACATGATGGCTGTCTGATCCAAATAGAAGAATGTCAGAGGAAATTGTTGCTTCCGCGCCACCCACCTCCCTTCTTCTCCTGCCTCCTCCTATGAGATTCCTCCATCCTGACAGGGAAAGGTACCCATGCGACTTCTGCTGCTGCTGCTGCTCCTGCTGCTCCTGCCCAGCAATCTCTGCTGCCAAGCGTGTGATGATGGCCGTGCTGTCTGTGACAATCTCGCCATCAAGCAGCGCCACTGGAACTTTGCGGTACTCTGACCATTTGAGCTGCTTCTTTGTCAGGGGGCTGACTTCCACCGTGCGATAGGGTAACTGCCCGGCAGACATGAGCAGCTCAGGCTCACACTACTATGAATTAGCTTGCAACGCTCAATAAAGCAGGTGATGGAATCAGTGCAGCAAGAACAAGGTAGCTAAGGCAACAGCTCATAGGTTTCGCTGAAGCAATTCACATAAATTTTTGCAGCAAGAGTGTCATGGCTGAAGTAACAGCTCATGCGCATCGCACCTTGTGATAATCAAGAAATGCCTTCACCTTGCAGCAAAATGGGCACACTTCGTATTGGTACAGGATGATCTCGTTAGGTAGACCTTGGAGCCTCACAGGTGGCGAATATGGATCTTTAGAACTCAGACTCCCAACAGAGACCTGTAGGCAGCGTCAAGCAGCATTTGAAGGCGGCCTTCTTGAAGACACAGAGAGGAAAGGTGAGGTGGCACAAAACAACGTTCACTTCTCAAGAGAGTGCACCTCAGGCTCAGCAAATACTGTGATCCCTGTTGCTGCTGCCGCCCCCAATGCGCCCAGCGCTGCGTATCCCCAATTTACACCACTGGCATTTGGCTGCAGCTGGGGGATCGTTTCCAAACAGGGGATCCTGCAGTGTCCAAGAAAGTTGCCAACATGCCAGAGAACAAGCGAAGCCGACTTAAAATGAAGTTTCGATGAAATAATGGTGGAAGTAGTAAAATGATTACCTGTCGTGAGACTTTGATATCGCAGTGATGAGCCTGGGCAGGAGTTGCCTGTTGATCAGATCGCGCTCTCTAAGGAGGAGTGCGCATATTCGATATGCCATAGGCAACCTATCCCACCGCAAGATGCAAGTACGGACGGAAGAATTGAAAGGTACCCCCAAATTCTGTCAAGGCAAAGAGCACTCCATGGGCCAGCCTGCCATGAAATGCCACGTCAGTGGAATGTCACGTGGAAAGTAACCTGCTAACTTTAAGCCTAGAGGGAAAGCAAGCATTAGTGGGATATAATTCGTGCCATGTACCTCTGAAGAGCATTAATTTACACTCGGTGGTCAAGGCAATGCTCCAGTATGCATGCATGCTCATAGATGAGATGTCGGATTCATGTGCACGTTGATCACCACGGTGGCGCCCTCCGATGCTCCAGGATGCATGCATGCTCATAGATAAATTGTCGGATTCATGTGCACGCTGGTCACCACGGTGGGGCCGGAGGGCGCCTCTGAGTCAGGGCAGGCTGCTCCTTGAGTGCTGGAGTCCAATCACAGCTTGAACTTCAAGCCTTGAACCTGCCGCATGGATTAGCCGCCACCGTGGCCATTGCCACGCGAACGTTGTGACGGGTCGTGACATGGTGCGCTTGGAGTACTCCCCTAGAGCCCTGCTTGGAGTTTGCCAGTGCTGCCAGGTGTGCTTGTCAGCAGTGTTACCGCCGCAGGGGCAAACGAGGGCGTGAATCTAGAGGCGCATTCTGCAGATTCGCCAACCGGCAAGTTGCAAGCTTAGAGCCCCGCCTTTGCCCAGTTGCAGGGCCTGTTGCATGCCACGGCATTTGCACAATCTTGACTGGTCCGGGACAGACCCAAATGTTCTGCAAAGACCACATTTATGTCTCTCTACTGTAAAGGCCAGACCTGAATACCCAATGTCAATGGCTCACCACAGGGAAGTACTTATCAGAGACCAGCAGCGCAGGCGCAGCTATCTAGCTCGGGCTGCAGCGAGGTTTTGCACATTGCATTGAAACCTGATCAGCACGCAATACCGGTATCGATCGGATAACGTGCTGCCACCATTTCAGCATGCTGAGGACATGCCAATGTAATTCATATTTTGGCCCGTGTGTCATAGCTAGGTGCAGAATGACTTCATTGCTGTCTTGATGTCACAGATATATTTGTGGACCTCAGATTTCCTTGCATTCAGACTCGCCAACTCCGCATTAACCTTCTTCATCCTGCATTGCACATTCGAGACTGAAGTGTTGTCAGCAAGCAATGTCTGGGAGAGTGTGTCATGCACTGCACAGCAAATGTGTGAGATACCACGGCATTGCAGCGCAGCACTCACGTCCCTATGCATGAGCTGCGCTTGGCAAGCAGCTTGGCGAGTGTTGACTTATTGCCGTCCTCGGCAGCCTGTGAGGCACAGATGGCTGGAAGAAAATCCAACTGGAACTGCTTTTGCTGATACTATTTCTATGTACAAGTGCAACTGCTCCTACCCCTGTGCAGCTGCAGCTGTAGATGGCATTCACATGTGAGTGAGGAGTCAAGCTTACCAACAGCATCTCTGCTTTTTCCTGAGTAAGAACCCTCCTCAGCTCTTCTATTCTGTCAGAAATCGGTCTGTTCTGATGGAGCAGAAACGCCATCTCAGCCTGCAATGCGCCAGATTGCTGTACCATCGCCTCACTTTCCTTTTCCAGTCTGCTGACAGTCTCGCTTCTGGAGGCCAGTTCTGTGCAGAGTGTCTCCTGTTTCCGAATCTCCTGAGATTGTGCATCAGATCCGATGAGTTGCGCAATCACTGCATGCAATCACTGACTCTGCATGAGCCCAAAGCACAATCTTACCACGGTGCTATAACAGAGATCAGACGAAAGGACAGAATACCATTTGCAATCGCTGTTGTAAATGCTCCGCAACCTCTTTTGTACACCGGACCATGAGAGCATCAAATGCATGCATCTGCTCCACCTCCTTGAGGCACAGGCGCTTTAGGGCTACTTGTTGCATTAAGCTGTCATCCCTGCTGTCAAACAGCCAGACATAAATCCCTGAGAGTGCCAACTTTTGCACCACAAACAGCCTCCAAAGCACATACACCTCAAGCTTTAGTACGAGGATCTTAAAAGACTTGCCTCTGTTGCACAAGCTGTAGTCCGCCGCCTTCATCGAGTTCTTCATTCACATGATTCTGAAACTGATGGATTTTAGTAAGAAGGATACCCAGCTGAGCACGCTTGATGTACAGGTTGTGCAGGTGGCTTTGCTTGACTCCCTGTGTCCAAAGAATCAGTTCACTTTTGAACACACAACGTGCCACCATAGTGAGCTTTCATATCTTGACCGGCAGCGCAACGCGCCTCACATCTCCGATGATTCAACAAGGTTTCTTCAAGCTCGTGCAGATCCTGTTTTTGCTTCTCCAACGTCTCTGCCTTTGCATCGACAGTTTTCGACACTTCTTCAAGCTTCAGAAGCCAGCTGTGAACAAAGGCTCCTGTACGTTTAGACGACATTGTTTCCAATGTTAATTGAACAGGGAATTTTTCGAATGCCTTCGCCTGCCCACGTGTGCTTGCATGCATGCAGTCTTTCTCATCAAGGTGCATCTCTCAATCTTTGCATGAAGCTATGCGTATGACTGAAGAAGAGCTTGGCATAATTCCAGTCTGGAATTTCCAGATGCTGCCAAAGTGCGTGCAGGTGTAAGAGCTGCCAGGTGCCTTATATAATTCTCCGTAGTTAAGTTCGAACTCATGAAGCTGATCAGCTTCACACGGCAAGCTTTGCTTGACTTTTAGTGAGTAATTGGACTTGAAGTCAGGCTATAAGTTGTAGGTGATCATATAACTTAGACTTCGGTGCGGTGTCGAAATATTGGATGCAATGGACAGGCAGTGTGTTGCACCACGCAACAATTCTTGCAAGGTAACCTGGCGGGCCGCGGCTTAATAATAGACTGATGGGGTTACATCTCAAGCCTCCAGCATAACCCTACATTACTATAATGTAGATCATAATTGTCAATACGTCATTGTGCATGCGTTGCGGAGTCTGCACATCTCACATGCGGAGCACAGCATTGGAGCTGTCCTTCAATGTGGAGGTCAGTCTTCCTGGGGCCCAGCCGTTGCTCCATGAAGCCAGCTTCAGAGACGGCTTGTCACCTCCCTTGCCCTCCTTGCTGGCGCTGGCAATCCTTCGCAACTGCTTCTCCTCCCTCAGCCACCTGCCAAACATGCCAATCATGGAAAAGTGTAAATAATGAACCAGCAGCAGCAGCATCAAAGGTGCAAATGAAACGTGCCGGCGAGTAGAGCAAGAAAGGTGGGCACATCACTCACTTCTCAGCAAGCTGCAACAACTGATCATTGGCGAGCTCGGGGATGTCCTCAGCTTTGCTCCACACTTTTAGCCTGCCGCCGGACAGAAACATGATGTGGGTTGGCCAGCGCTCCAAGCCATCGAATATGTGAGTGGCCTGCAGAGAGCAACAGAACATCTCATAGGTGTGCTTCAAGAGCAGTGCCATTTATTCATGCATTGCAGAGGTCATGGCTGCAGTCATAGCTATGCATCACAGCAAAAAAAATTCAGTTGTGCATCAGAGCACCAGGAAAGAGGCGATGCAGGGAGACCCCTACATATATTATGCCGGTTCCCCGCTGCTCGGACTCCTCTTTCAGGAAGTCCAGGAGGTCTGCCCTTGCCAGTACATCCAAATCGACGGTTATCTCATCCAGCAGCAGCACCTGTTTGCATGGTCAGCACATGTGTACGTGGTGATGCATGCCTTGCATTGGGCAGGGTGCCGCTGATGTTATCGACATGCCTTTGAGGGTGGCCAATGCAAAGCATGATCAGACAAGCTATTTATTCACCATGTAGGACGCAGCACGCACCTCAGGTGGCTTCAGCAGACCCAAGCAAATCTGCACGCGGCGACGCTGCCCATCTGAAACTCGATGCATGCGCCAGTCGGGATCGACATCCAGAACCTGCATGATCTTTGCTCGCCGTGTTGGGTCCACACCTGGCAGACTTTCTATCATCTGCAGGGCAGAGATGTCCCCCTGCCAAGCATGGCACATTCTAAAACATTACCAAACCAAAGTGGCATCCTTTTGGCAGCGTCTCCAGCGATTGATGCAACCATCTACTCACCTGCATGGGAATGCTGTAACCTGCAAAAGCTATGTCCCTCTCCCAGTTACCTCCCAAGTACGAGAGCCTCCCACTTGCTGTCAGGTCCGTGTTATGAAATGGTGGTACACCCAGCACTGTGATTGACTCCTTGGGGACCATGTGTTTTCCACCAAGGACCTTCAACAGGGTAGTCTTCCCAGCTCCATTGCTTCCCAGCAATAGACAGCGGGCACCCCTTGGAATTCTGATTGACATATTCTGGACGACAGGTGGCACTCCAGGAATGGGCCTGCCATCTGCACAGTGAACCTAGCCGTCATCCACACCTCCACTCCAATCCACAAAAAAGAGATCGCTCACTATGTCCAACCCTAGCATCAGCTCATCTAAGAATAATCATCGTACCGCACCAATGTCAGGATACGAGAAGTCCAAATCACACGTCTCCAACACAGGAGAATTCTCCTCTTCTGACATGGATCCTGCAGTGTACCTCGCTCACAACGTTTCTATAACAAGCAGGCAGTGGCAAATTCCCACTTCTTCGTGGAGAGCCTGGAGGCAATAAAGTGTTCAGCGGGATGCAGATATGTGATTGTCGAGGATGATTGGTGTCAGAACTTTCTCAGAATGTAAAGGCGCGCAAAGGCAGTAAGACGTGGTCATCAGATGTTGAGCGGGCTTGAAATTGCCACGTCTCATCTGACGGTACTCGCACGTGCGCAATATGTCACGTGAACCCATGTGGACTCAAAACTGACCTTGGCAATTAAATTTCATTCAAGTTTCGAACCTCATGTTGTGAAAAAAGCGTCCAAAGAGATTCACTTGTGCTGAAATTTGGCCAGTTTGCAGTGTACAGAGAAATCTGAGTGCTTTTTTTGGTTCTTTGTGGGTCGATGGCGTTGGAGGACAACACATAGAGCGCTTCATATAATTCGTGATCTTGTTTAGGACGTGATAGATATTCACCGAATGTGTTGTGGCAGCCCAAGCTGCAGGTTCAGGGTCAGGCCATTGGCCCGGTACCTTTGTATTGTTTCCCTGATCTCAACTGCATCGGATGCGAAGCTCGCGCAACAAGGGTCTTCAGATGTCACAATCGCGTATAGGTACCTCAGATCTGACGCTCTATTTCGCCCCAACACAAGACGCTCTATTGTTGTGCTGGGAAGAACAGTCTAATGCAGCTGAATTTGTAGGTGGGTCTATAGAAGTTCAACGGAGAATGGGACAAGTTCTTTGCTGAAATACTCGCACATGGGTATGCTCGGCGTTCTCCCAAATGGATCATTAGCTGCAGCGTGGCAGGTACTTCACATCAAATTATCGAAAATGTCAACGCTCTTCCTACAAAGAATATGCGGTCGCCACTGCTCTGAGAGAATTAATTGAGCTTGTGGGCAGGGTTCAGAAGATTGGTGGGAGGGTGGGAGCAAACAGGGAATCTATTGGGCTATCTCCAATGATGCGGGTTTGTCTTGGGGACCGCATGAAGTCCTCGCACCACCAACTGATCAGCTCCCTCTCTGGGGTCCTGTTCTGCATGTTGAGGCAAGGACAGCACATGTGCAGTGACTGCCTCTTGTGCTTTCTTGTTCGCAAAATGCAGTGCTTGAAGCCCCGTCAGCTCTCCCATCAGGCTAACCTACCTGATGAGATCTATATCTGGTGGCAGGATGATTGCGTCTACCTGATTTACGCCGTGTCACGAAAACAGTGCTGGTGGCAAGGAGAGGGAGGTATGCATTGGGCATGTGGTGGAGACATCTTTCTGAAGAGATCGTTTGACTCTGGAAGGACTTGGCACAAACCCAAGGTGGGCAGGGTGGGCGTAGTACTTATGCAGGCTGTGGGCAGAGGCCATCCTGATCGAACACTGTACTCATTCTCTTTGCCCCATCAGGTTGTGTATTCTTTCGATGAGGAGGGTGGCATTGCCAAGATGATCGCAAATAAATTGATGGTGAACTCAAAAGGCCAGTTGTTGCTACCGTTTTGGAGGGAAATGGGGGGCCAACCGGAGTGCAATCAGCGGGCGGCCTTGCACGGCATGCCTGGACTGCTCGTATCTAATGATAAGGTGAGTTTTCTATACGCGAGAGCAATACATGGACATAAATACCGTTTGCTCCTTCTAATTCTGCAAGAGCTCATGATGTAGGAGCTCATCATTTTCTAATCACGATGTTGTGATCAGGGGGAGTCTTGGACGGTGATCAACATTACTATCGACCCAAGGGAAGTTCCTACATGGCTGATAGAGGGGGCGCTAACCAAGGGGAATCACAATGCCATGTACATCCTCCTGTTCCGAACGAGTGCTGGCCATATTTACAGCAGTGAGTCCCATGATGACGGCATGCACTGGACAGCAGCTAAAAGGACGCAGCTTCCCAACCCCAACTCCAAGGTAAGCTTCCTGCTAGTGCATTAGTCTTTTGGTCTGAAGTATCACTATACAGTGTGAGAAATTTTGTGCTCAGCATGCTGCGAAAGTGACCAGCAGGGTCGTGGCAGCACATTGTCCATGCATTGATGCTGATCTTGGGCATTCCAGGTGGATGTTATATCAATACCGAAGGATGTTCTGCTTCTGGCATACAATGACAACATGGAGGCATCGCGATCAACATTGGCCTTAGCAACCTCAATAGACGGTGGAGACACTTGGTCACGCCGCGCTGTGCTGGAGGCAGACAGACGCGGATCTTTTCATTATCCTTCAATCCTTCTCCTCTCCAGCCAGGTGCAGCTCTGCAGGAAAGAAGATGACCAATGCATGATTGTCTTATTATGACTGTCAGTCTAACAGACTTAGCTGTGGTCAATCTCATGCTTACTGTTATCCTGTCCTGGTGCAGGACAAAATAGTTGTCATCTACTCTGTGGACTTCCTCCCTCAGGCAGTAGCTCAGAAAGGCAGCGACTTCTCTGACTGGTCAAGCAGTCTACCATCAATACCGCATGACATGGGTAGCATTGTGAATTGCCAACATAGAAATGACTCCTCTAAATGCAAGGCTAGGAGCAGTGCAATTGCTGAGACAGGTGACACCAGTTCACCGCACATACATTCTGGCACTTCATCAATTGCCTCAAGCCAAAGCACATTTGCGTCTTCATTTGAGGCCTGGGGTCGGGTGTCTCTGGGTATGCGTGTTGCTGTCATCTCTGCATCAGACTTTGACAGCGTAGGTCATTGTCAGGCAGCTGATACAAGCTGCAGCAGTGAAGCCTGACACTAATCTTGTGTGATGATCCAGACTTTCGGTCATGATGTGTGTCTTGTGGCCAATATCTGCTTTCATTCTTCGTGATCCTGGAGCTGTTGAAGCTCAGACGGAGGATCTCTGATGTGCCCCTGTGTTGCTCCTTTGCATGCCATTACTATCGTACATGCCACATGTACATTGCAACAAGGCAGGCATAGAGTGTAAGGCATCAGCTAGCTTGAAAGTCAATCTGCAGCGGAAGAAGAAGGGAAGGGGCATGAGGGGTGAATTTCCTGTAGAAGAGCATCTCTACATATGCATGTCTGCACATGCCACGATTCGATCCCAGAAAATGAGAGTAGACTTACAGTCATTCAACGCCATTAAACTGGTGCGATTTCTGTTGCCATGACCCAGATCTGCTTGCAAGTAAATCCTCAGGTGTGTGCGCTTGTTTGACAGTGGCGTGAAGGCATGCATATAGAGTGGTGCAATATCGATGATGCCAAATAAAGACATGCATATAGAGTTGCCAATCATAAGCTGAGTTAAGCTAGCAATTTGATTAGAATCCCAGCATTTATAGTGACCAGTTCCTAAGGACAAATGCCATCAACATTCCAAGTGGAGTACCAATTGCATAGCCGAGGGTGCCCACAAGAAGAGCTGGGGTGACCATTTTTGACCAACCTCTCGATGTGCACATTGCAACTGCAGTAGCTGGACCGCCAATTGCAGCATTGGATGCCGTTAATAATGCCTGCAGTGCATGAGAAGGTCACGCTAATGCTGTTAAAGACCTCCAGGTCTGTGCAGAAGAGTGCACGTGCAACCTTCATGTGAATTTCGTATCTCTGACACAGGAGGGCGTTAGGCTAAGCGCTGAACACAAAAATAAGAACGAATGACAGGCAGGCAGGCAGGCACACACTGGCAGCTTGATGACAACCAAAATGCCTATCAGTCTTTGGACGTTCATTGCAGCAGAAAATCTTTTGAGACTGACCTGTCTTGGAAGCTGGAATATATTTCCAAGAGAAAGAAGAAGCGAAAGGTGCACAGAAAGCTGTACGGCGATGAACAAGGAAAGCCACCCGCAGTCTTTGAGAGAGCTTGGTGAGCCAGCTGAGGCTCCAATTGTGACAAAAAATATGAGCATGAGAGCTTCGGCCAGCTCCTCAGATCCTACACATATGGCATTCGACTAGCTGGATTCTGGCGCATAACAGTCAAGAAAAGCCGTACAAGTATTGTGACGCGTACAAGAGTGATGGTGACGATGCATCAATGCATAGGCCGAATGTCACCTGCAAAAATGGCGCTGATTGAGCCCGTATATATGTTGCTCCACAGTGCTGCTGCATATGCGATGCATGAAGCTACCAGGGCTGAAAATGCCAGGTTGCAGGTTGGCATGCCTAGCATGCCTGCAGCCCACCTGCCGCAACTGCAAGAGAAAGCCGCGCAAGCCAGGCTGAATGCAATGTTGCTTGACACTCCAGGTTCTGCAGCAGAATTGCATCATCAGCCTTCAACACAATGGCACAACTTCTGCCTGATCATTGCAATTGTTGGACAAACACAAATAATTACCCACAAAGACATGGCTTTGCAAATCATTGATGGTCAAGTTGCGGTTGCAAAAGAGCCCACCTGCACGTGATGAGGAAAATTGTTGCGCCTTCTCCTCCTGACTTCTTGACTCAAGTTCCGCTGGGATGGTGCCAAGAACTCCCAAGTAACAAGCCATGATTGTAATATCTGCAGCAGCATTGCTTGAATCTGGCGGTTCAGAGGCCAGTGGCACAAGACTCAAGATAATGCTGAATATATAGGCAATGGTAGATGAGACCTGATACTTGCAGGAACCGGATGCCAGCTTACCTGCTGTCATTGCTGCAACAAGGGATGAACCAGACACTCCCAGGCCCGCAGCAATTGCTGAGAAATTAATAGATCCACCAATATATGATCCGCACAAACAGGCAGCAACCTGTGCACAGAAAAGCTTCAATAGACACCATGCATTCCTTCTCAGCTTGACAAGGACTAGCACGAGATGCCAGTGGGATGTAGAGCTCCTCTGGTGGCAATATCACCTTCCAACCGTCGACTCCTAGCTTCTGCCCCAGCAGGGCAAAGGCAACAAAGGTACCTGCAACGGATGCAAATGTCGCCAAACAAAATGCTACAGTAGTCGTCCTGGCCACTTTGAACAGCCTGTACTAAACACGCAACAATGACCAACTGCTTTTGGAAGAAGGGGTCATGCTTAGGGAAGGGAGCGAAAGGATGGAGAACATTAGCGCACTCTGTCAGGTTCGCTTCAAGCAGGAGCAGGGCAGCTGCCAGAGGCATAAGAATCTCCCACACCATGGCAAACACAGGGCTCTGCATGGGCAG